AGTATGTTATATATATGTTTCCACATCTCAAACACTTGCTCTTGTTCTTTAAGGTTTTCGTTTTTGTTTTCTCTTTTTTCTTGAATATGGTGTTCTGATATATCGCTCAACCAACAGGTACACATTGTTTATCTGGGAGAGAAGCAGCATGACAACCCCAAGTTGCTCACAGATTCACATCATGATTTGCTTGCCACCATAGCGGGAAGGTAATTTACATGGATTTAGGAAAAGAAAGACTAATTCTGTGAATTTGAAATCTAGGATGCTTAAATGATCCAAATCTTGAGTAAAATGTTTACTAAGTAATTTGGTTCTTATGCTGCAGCAAGGAATTGGCCTCAGAATTAATGGTATACAGTTATAGACATGGTTTCTCTGGGTTTGCAGCCAAGCTCACAGAGTCTCAAGCCCAAAAACTTTCAGGTATATTTTAAAAAGTATTGCTATATATGGGTGCAGCAAAGATTTTGCAATGATTGACAATTATTTACAATATAGATATGTAATGGATTCATGAGCTATACCTTCAGATGCCATCGTTAAGCATTGTGCTTATTGTTGCTTTTTTATGCTTATGAAATGGTGAACTCTAGAGCTGCCTGGTGTTGTTCGAGTCATACCGAATAGTCTTCACAAGCTGCAAACGACTAGGAGTTGGGATTTTCTTGGCCTCTCTTCTCAATCCCCTTCCAATATTCTTCACAAGAGCAGCATGGGTGATGGAGTTATCATAGGTGTCCTTGACACAGGTTGCTCTCTTTCTTTCTCTTAAATAAGTGCACGCACACGCACACACTCATACTCCTACTTATGTAATGGTCCCTGAACACAAGCACTCAATGAAACAGGTATTTGGCCAGAGTCTGAATCATTCAATGAAAAAGGCCTGGGGCCAGTTCCATCCCACTGGAAGGGTGTATGTGAATCTGGAGACAGATTCAATGCTACAATACACTGCAATAGAAAAATCATTGGAGCCCGCTGGTTCATCGATGGACTTCTTGCCGAGTATGGAAAACCACTGAACAGGTCTACAGAGTTCTTGTCTCCCAGAGATGCACATGGACATGGTACTCACACTTCTAGCACTGCAGCTGGTTCTTTTGTGACCAATGTGAGCTACAAGGGCCTTGGTCATGGGACAATCAAAGGGGGTGCCCCAAATGCTAGGTTGGCCATTTACAAGGTTTGCTGGAAAGTTCTTGGAGGCCAATGCTCATCAGCTGATATATTGAAAGCTTTTGATGAAGCCATACATGATGGGGTTGATGTGTTGTCATTGTCAATTGGGTCTTCAATTCCCCTCTTCTCAGAGGTTGATGAGCGTGACGGCATTGCAACTGGTTCCTTTCATGCTGTGGCCAGGGGAATTACTGTTGTTTGTGGAGCAGCAAATGATGGACCTTCAGCTGAGACGGTTCAGAACACAGCGCCATGGATCATAACCGTAGCAGCAAGCACCATGGATCGATCATTTCCTACTTCGATAACTTTAGGAAATAACAAAACTTTCTTGGTATGTATTTCTGTGATTGTGGCAAATAACATTCTTGGTATGCATTTCCAACTTCAAGCATATACTTTGTTGTTTATGTAGGGACAAGCTATGTTTACAGGGCCAGAGATTGGATTTGCAAGCTTGATATACCCAGAATCCAAAGGGCTTGACCCTACTGCCGCAGGGTAATACTTTGTAATACATCCCCCAAATTAGCTTAACAATATGTATTTACGTATAGTTCATTTTCATGAGTTACCCTTTTGCAGTGTGTGCCAATCCCTGTCACTTAACAAAACTATGGTGGCTGGAAAGGTGGTTCTTTGCTTCACTACAGTCAGTCGTAGGACAGCTATAACAAGTGCTTCAGCAGCTGTGAAAGAAGCCGGTGGTGTTGGCCTCATCGTAGCAAAGAATCCAAGTGACGCCTTATATCCATGTAATGAAGACTTCCCATGCATTGAAGTTGACTCTGAAATTGGCACCCGAATACTGTTTTACATCCGGTCTACCAGGTAACATCGATTAATTATCGTCCTTGTTGACACCGCGATTATTATGGCTAGGTTTGTTTGTGACCCTCAAGTTTTGTTTGGAATGCACAGATCTCCTCTTGTAAAATTGAGACCTCCTAAAACATTTATTGGCAAGCCACTCTCAGCCAAGGTGGCTTATTTTTCATCTAGGGGGCCAAACTCCATTACACCAGCAATTCTTAAGGTATGTATCCACACTACACTGAATGCAAATGTTTAATATATAAAAGGCAGGGGGCCTATGTAGTTCTTGTCCACATAAATCTTTCTCTACTTACCCTGGACACCTACATAAACCAGACAACAAAGTGAAATTTCGCCTGCGAAAGTTTTAGTAATTTGAACACTAAACATGTTCTTCAAGAGATCATTTATTTTTCCTTATGTTACTGGAAAGCTCTCAAGTTTTGTCTCCTATAACATTTGCTAGTTCCTTCTTCAAATTTAGAGAGAAGTCTATGTCTATGCTCAAATTTCGCTTCAGGATTCACCATCTAAACTCTTCTTATATCATCTTCTTGTGATTTTTCTGTTGGACAGCCAGATATAGCTGCCCCTGGTGTGAACATTCTGGCTGCAACTTCTCCACTTGATGCACTAGGGGAGGGTGGACATGTCATGCACTCAGGAACATCAATGTCAACTCCTCATGTGGCAGGCATTGTGGCTCTTCTCAAAGCAATGCATCCCAATTGGTCTCCGGCAGCCATTAAATCGGCACTTGTCACAACTGGTAACCACATGATCACATGTTCCTAATTTCATTAATGATACATGCTAAACTTAACCATGTTCTAAATTTTCATGCAGCATGGAGGAATGGCCCATCTGGTTTACCGATCTTCGCAGAGGGATCGCCTCAAAAGCTGGCAAATCCGTTCGATTTTGGAGGCGGCATTATGAACCCCAATGGAGCAGCAGACCCTGGTTTAGTATATGACATAGTCAAAGCCGGCTACATGCAATATCTCTGTTCAAGGGGCTACAACAACTCTGCCATCTCTAGGCTTGTAGGGCAGAACACAAAATGTCCCATTAAGAAGCCCTCTATCCTTGACATGAACCTACCCTCCATAACCATACCAAGTCTCAAAAATCCCGTCACAATAAAAAGAAGTGTAACAAATGTGGGAGCCCCTGAATCCATTTACAGAGCTACCATTGAGACTCCATTTGGTACAATTGTATCTGTAAATCCCAATGCTCTGGTCTTCAACTCTACAGTTCGAAAGCTCGATTTCACGATCACAATCTCCGCGATCCACAGGATGAATACTGGATACTATTTTGGAAGCCTTAGCTGGGCTGATGGAGTGCATGTTGTAAGGATTCCTTTGTCTGTGAGGACAGAGTTTTTGCAACCTTATGATGCAAATGATGACTGAATTGAATGAGTGAAATGATGGAGTGCATTCAACTTTAAGCCTATCTTCTCATATCTATATAAAACAGGACTTCAATCATCTCAAAAAAAAAAAAAAAAAAACATATAAAGAATAAAAATAAATTGGTAAGCTATTTACTCTGTAAAAAAATTATGTTAATGAACATTAGACTGGTCAAATTCCTTAATCAGCCCCACATCAAACCAAAATACCCGTTGAACTTGAGCAGTTTGGGCCTCACTTCGATTTAACTAATTTTTGGGCCAAAAACCCAAAATCCAACAAAACTGAACTACATACGTAAACTTGGTTTGATGAATTTATAAAATTGTTTTGGGGATACAATGAAGCAATGTTTTGACCCATAAAAAAATAAAAAAATTATCCCAAACAAATGGTTCATTTATATAATCTTCGATATTTTTGTTTTAACTTTTTCATAACAATTTTATCCCTTTAACAAGCTGCGTTTAATAAGGATTAAATACTTTTCCAGAGAATGATGAAACATTCAAAATACCATGAATGTCCTTGGTTGATGATGATAGTATTGAGAATTGAAAATATTAAATAGATGTGGATAATATAATAAATTCATATATTTATGGATTAAAAAATATGTATAATATCAAATAAACCAGAACGTACCTGCTATTTTAATTGGAACATCCCATTATCTTTCTTAATTTTATAGGATCATTCAAGAAATAGGGGGGGTTTCTTCCATTGTTATTCCATATCATATTCACCATTATCATTCTAGCAAGAACTTCTAGGAGCTCATTAAGAAATGGGTCTAGGACTGACTTCTCAATTATTTGATTTGTTTATTTTGCAAACTTATCTTCTCAGATTACATTGGTTGGCAAGTTTCTTAGGCCCCAATCCTTTAATTTGTTCATAACATAAATTTATTCATTTTTTAGTCCCCAAATCTTCCAAACCAATTTCTTAGACCCCTTTTCTAATCAGCCCCAGATAATTAATACCATTTTTTATTAGTTGTTTTATGCTTTGTCTTTGTTTATGCTAATTAACTCCAGGAAGTTGTTTTCATACCCTTAGTAAAATCTTTGTTAAATTTTAGAGAGACGAGCCAATAGCCTACTACTAGCAATACCGACATTGTCTCTCAACTTAATCACCTACAAATCCCAATAAATGTAAGGTTTTATCACAGAAGGTCTTGGTAACATTAGTTATAAAATCATACATTATATGTTATATTTTATTTAGTTAAGTTTCTGATATGAGACTTATATTCTTTAACAATTTTTGCAAAGACAAGGCTCATGATACAATTAGCCACTTCACAATCCTATTTTGTAACAAAACCCATGGATAAGTACTGATCAATCTTTGAATTTCGACGAAACAGGAAGCTTTCCTCCATCATTAACAAAATGCAAACAGAATGAATATAATATGTGTCAAAAGTCAAATTTCATTTATGTAAGCATCATATAATGCTTGCATAAGAAACAATCCTAGCCTCCCATGGGCTTAATGTGTTTAATCAAACTCTATATAAGGCAATGCACCAAACTTTTAAGCTTCAAAACTCGAAGCTTAAACGCCATGGCTTCTCTTTTATTGAAGAAGATGAGCAACAAAGTTTCAGTGTTTGTGACATTTAATATTTTCTTAGTGCTCTGTACCCAAAACACTATGATTAGGACGGTCCATGCCAAGAGTAAAGTGAGTGCTCCCAAACTAGAAATCTCTTCCTTTTCCACCCAAAAAAATATATATATATATATATATTTGTGGTTCTTACTATTGTTTTTTTTGTTTTTCTTTTTAAAGGTTCACATAGTCTATATGGGTGAAAAGCATCACCATGATCCTGAGGTTGTAACCAGTTTGCATCACGACATGCTGGCCTCAGTTTTCGGGAGGTATTCATCTTGTAAACCCGTTATAAATTATATATCTTCGAATTTAGAACTCTTTCAATATTGGGAAGAGAAGCACCACTTAAAAGAAAGAGTTTAAAAAAAAACCTTAATACCTTTATGCTCATTAAATGGAATGTTAGTGTCATATGATTTTATATGATAAAATCATTTTCCACACATACTATAGTTGAAAAAATAAAATTAGATTAGCCCCAGAGGAATTGATGAAATCCTGGATTGCACAAGTATTATGTTTGTTCAAGACTTTCAAGTTGACTATTTGCCTAATTATGTCCATGCAGCAAAGAAGCCGCTTATGATTCTATGGTGTACAGTTACAAGCATGGATTCTCCGGTTTCGCAGCTAAAGTCACAGAATCTCAAGCTCAGAAGATTGCAGGTAGGTTTTCCTGTTTACACTGGCTTCAACTTATTAAAGAGATTCAATTCTTTTGGCTCTGCAGTCAATTTCCAAATATTACTCTCACTGATTTTCTTCTAGATCTCTATTTACTCAGAGTTACCTGGAGTTATCCGGGTTATGCCCAGTCACTTTTATTCTCTGCAAACAACTAGGAGTTGGGATTATCTTGGCCTCCCTCCTAGTTCTCCCACTAACCTTTTGCATGACACAAACTTGGGAGATGGAATTGTCATTGGCCTTCTGGACACAGGTTGCTCTCACTTCTCTTTCTGTATTTGTGTTTGTGAGTTTTTTTGAGACAAGCCATATTGGGCAAGGGGGGAATCGAACCTAGTACTTGCGGTGCAGGGGTGGATGTGTTTGCGTTTGTGAGTTTAGTTATAGAAAATATGATTTTAAAAAGTAGTGTTAAAATGGTGGCAGGCATATGGCCAGAGTCAAAGGTATTCAATGATGAAGGGCTTGGACCAATCCCAAACCAATGGAAAGGTCAGTGTGTATCTGGAGAGAGCTTCAATGCCTCAGCAGATTGTAACAAAAAACTTATAGGAGCAAAATAGTACATTGATGGTTTCCTTGCTGAGAATAAGCAGCCATTCAACACCACTGACAGCCCGGATTTCTTGTCCCCAAGAGATGTTTTTGGACATGGAACACACACATCTACCATTGCTGGTGGCTCTTTTGTGTACAATGCCAGCTACAGAGGCCTTGGCCTGGGATCAGTAAGAGGTGGAGCGCCCCGTGCACGCTTGGCGATGTATAAAGTGTGCTGGAATGTGCCAAGGGGGCAGTGCTCATCTGCTGACATATTGAAAGCTTTTGATGATGCAATTCATGATGGAGTTGATGTTATATCAGTATCTCTTGGCACCCAACTTCCTCTGTTTTCAGAGGTTGATGACCGCGATACAATTTCCATTGGTTCATTCCATGCTGTGGCCAAGGGTATACCTGTTGTTTGTGGAGCTGCAAATGAGGGGCCTTCTGAATACACAGTTGAAAACACAGCACCATGGATCTTAACTGTAGCAGCTACTACAATTGATCGATCCTTTCCTACACCTATTACACTTGGGAACAACTTAACCATTCTGGTAATTTGTGGCAAACTTCATGAAGTTACCATATATATAATTCATTTTCTTAATCTAAGTTTTTCTTATTTTGTAGGGTCAAGCCGTTTTTGAAGGAAAAGAAGTTGGTTTTACTGGTTTGGTGTACCCAGAAAACCCAGGACTTATCCCTTCACTAGCTGGGGAATGTGTTAATGTGTCCAGTTGTTGTAATTAGTTTCTGTCTCCCTTATTGTCTAGCAGATTTGAATTTTTAAATGATTGCTTGAGATAAATCCAAAACTTTGGCTTCTTTATACTTATTTTTGGTGCTTAAATACTGTTCAAAGATCATGGTAGAAAGTGGAATTTTTGCACAATACATTGCATTGTCCTATAACAAAGATTCACTTGCAGCGTCTGCGAGTCCCTTTTACTTAACAACACATCGGTGGCTGGAAATGTAGTTCTCTGCTTCACAACAGTGGCCAGTAGAACTCCAGTAGCAACTGCGGTCTCCAGTGTTAGGGCAGCTGGTGGGGTTGGGGTTATTGTTGCCAAATCTCCTGGTGATGTCTTAGGTCCATGCAGCAATGACTTCCCATGCATTGAAGTAGACTATGAGCTTGGCACTCAGATACTATTCTACATCCGTTCCACCAGGTACTTTTGTTCTTAACCATCCTCATCAATCGGTTCACCATCATGCTCATTTTCTTTGTTGACATGTTAAATTTCCATTACTCTCTTTGGTAAACAGATCTCCAACCGTAAAATTGAGCCCTTCTGCAACACTGGTTGGGAAGCCTGTATCAACCAAGGTTGCCACTTTTTCATCTAGAGGGCCTAACTCCATTGCTCCAGCCATACTCAAGGTAAAAAATAAACCCTACTACTTTAAGCCCTTTAAAAGTAAACAAACTTGAATTCCAATTAAACCATTTAGTATTTTTGCTGTCGCAGCCAGACATAGCCGCTCCTGGTGTGAGCATATTAGCTGGCAGTTCTCCCTATGATTCTTTCATGGATGGAGGATTTGCTTTGCATTCAGGAACATCAATGGCAACTCCTCATGTCTCAGGCATTGTGGCACTTTTGAAAGCATTGCACTCCAATTGGTCCCCTGCTGCAATAAGATCAGCCCTAGTAACAACAGGTTCATCCATTACCGTTATGATTACAAACAAAAATTGCAACTTTTGGTGTAAATTAATTAACCACATTAATGCAAAATTTCTTGACAGCATGGAAGACGGATCCATTCGGAGAGCCTATCTTTGCTGAGGGGTCACCCCAGAAGGTTGCTAATCCATTTGATTATGGAGGAGGCCTTGTGAACCCAAACAAGGCAGCAGACCCTGGTCTCATATATGACATGGGCACAGAAGACTACATTAAGTACCTTTGTGCTGTTGGCTACAACACCTCAGCTATCTCTCAACTTGTTGGACAAACCACAGCTTGTTCCATGGTCAAGCCTTCTGTTCTGGATGTGAACCTGCCTTCCATTACAATTCCAAATCTGAGAGAAAATATTACACTCACCAGAAGTGTCACAAATGTTGGTCCAGTCAACTCAGTATACAAAGCTAACATAGACCCTCCACCTGGCATCAGTGTAGCCGTTAGGCCTGAGACTTTGGTCTTCAACTCCACCATTAAAACAATCTCTTTCACTGTTGCAGTTTCCACTACCCACCAAGTGAACACAGGATACTACTTTGGAAGCCTCACTTGGACAGATGGGGAGCATTTGGTGACAAGTCCCATATCTGTTAGAACACAAATCATTCAGTATTATACAGATGGCAATTGAAAATCTAATAATCCATGCCAGAAGGATAACTATGCAAATTAATGATGGAGTTGTAATTTGGTATTAGAATGTAATAATCGAGATCTAATAAAATACTATTATAGTTTAATAAGATTTCTGAGCTTATTACATTTTTTTAGTTTAAACATAAGTTATAGGGTTTATATAAATTGGAGGTCCTAGGCAGAGGCCTTGCCTACCTGTGCCCAGGGCCGCCCTGCAGGAGACCAGTATACTTCTGTTTGTTCTTTCTTGTGTGGCCATTGAAAAGTCAAAAGTGAAAATGTCATTTGATAGTTTTTTTTTGGTGCCATAATTGAAATGTCAATTGATAGGTAAAGAAATAAATATCTGAACCAAAAATCAAAAAGTTCGGAAGCTCCTCTTTTGATTAGATTAGTCTTCAGAGCCTGCTACTTGCATGGTGACCTGATTCAACAATGAAAAGTCATATTCATACAATACAAACAAGGTATTGTACTAAACATGCAGGCTATATAGCTGTAGCTTCATAAATCCTTATCTATCAGAGAGAGAGATATAATGGGTTTCCTTTGGGTGAAACTGAAAGCAACAAGGCTTTACTATTTGTGGCAGCAAGTCTTTTGTTAGTTTTCAATGGCCAGAACACCCTGATTGCACCGGTTGATGCCGAGAGTAGAGTAAGTACTGCTTCAAAAGCTTGAAATCTGTCTCTCTAATTTCTTAATTTATGGAGGATTACCACTAATTACTGTCTGATGTATAGCTTCACGTAGTTTATATTGGGGAGAAGCAGCATGAGGATCCTGAGCTTGTAACCAGTTCACATCATGAGATGCTGGCATCAGTTGTTGGGAGGTATATAGCCTTTACAGTTTTACTTTCATTCAAATCAGTAACTTTTACACTTCGTGCTACTTCAATTTCACCATAAAGAGCACTTAAGCTTCTGATTAAGCGGCTTGAATCGCGATTTTAGTCTTGTTCAAGTAGGTTTTTTTTTCTTGCTTGTTTTTAGTCTGCCACCTGCATTGCAAAGGTGTGGTGATGTGGTGAGGGCTGCTTAATTCGCTTTCATTCATTCATGGTTATGCTGCTTTTGGAAACTTGCATGTTTGAAGATGACTTAATTTATGTTGGTCTCTGGAGGTAAAATTCTAAAATGGTTGTTGATTATGTGGGGTTGAATCTATGCTGCAGCAAAGAAGCCGCCATTGACTCAATAGTCTATAGCTATAAACATGGCTTCTCTGGTTTCGCAGCCAAGCTTACAGAATCTGAAGACAAGGAGATTGCAGGTACTTTTACATTGAGTACTCTTTCTTCGACCACTTTTGATCAATGCATAATGCCTCAAAATTTTCTGATTATAATTAATGAGTATATTCCTTCTGTTCAATATTGTTTTAGAGTTACCCGGAGTTGCTCATGTCATGCCTAATAGCTTTCATACACTACAAAATACAAGGAGTTGGGATTATCTAGGCCTCTCTTCTCATTCTCCCACCAATCTTATGCATGACACAAAGATGGGAGATGGGATTGTCATTGGTATAATTGACACAGGAATATGGCCAGAGTCAAAAATGTTAAATGATGAGGGGGTTGGGCCAATCCCAACCCGTTGGAAGGGTCGGTGCGAATCAGGAGAACACTTCAATGCCACAACAGACTGCAACAAAAAACTTATAGGAGCAAAGTGGTTCATAGATGGTTTCCTTGCTGACAAGGAACAGCCATTCAATACCACTGAATTCCCAGAGTTCTTGTCACCTAGAGATGCAATGGGACATGGCACACACACTGCCACAACCGCTGCTGGTTCCTTTGTGGCCAATGCAAGTTACAAAGGCCTCGGCCTAGGAGTAGTTAGAGGTGGTGCACCCCGGGCTCATTTGGCCGTGTACAAGCCATGTTGGTATGCACCAATTGCAGTGTGTACTGCGGCTGATATGCTGAAAGCTTTCGATGAGGCTATTTATGATGGGGTTGATGTGTTGTCACTGTTTATGGGAAACTACCTTCCTAAGTTCGCAGAAGTTGATAAGCGTGACGCAATTTCCACAGGCTCATTCCATGCCGTGGCCAAGGGTATTAGTGTTGTTTGTGCTGCAGACAATACTGGACTTTATGCTCAGACAGTAGGGAATGTAGCACCCTGGATCTTAACTGTGGCAGCTACCACCATTGACAGGTCCTTTCCCACAGCCATCATGCTTGGGAACAACATAACTCTACTGGTAACTCATGCAAATTTTGTTGCAAACTTGTCTAATTGGGTCATTAATATGCTTCCTTTTTTTTAAATTTGATTCAACATTCACATGTTTTCCTTTTTCTCAATTGGTTTGTATCATAAAATTTTCAGGGGCAAGCCATGTTTGTAGGAAAAGAGGTTGGTTTTACTGGTCTGGTGTATACAGAGGTCCCAGAACTCTTCCCTACAACAGCTGGGTATGTAATATTTATTTGCACATCTTTTTTATATGAAGAAAAAAGTGTTTCTTCTCTTATCCTTTAACTGAACTGAAATTTTTTACATGAATAATTTGGTTTGTGATATGGGAAATGAAACCATAATGCTCTCTGAAAAAAGAAGAAGAAGAAAGTATTCACTTGCAGTGTCTGCGAGTCCCTGTCACTTAATAACACACCTGTGGCCGGAAATGTAGTCCTTTGCTTCACAACAGTGCCCGGGCCAGCACAAGCAATAAGCGCTGTATCCGCTGTGAGAAGTAGGGGTGGGGTTGGGGTGATTATTGCAAGGCATCCTAGTAATCTCTTGGCTCCATTCAGCAATGACTTCCCATGCATTGCGGTAGACCATGAACTTGTCACCCAGATACTGCTTTACATTCGTTCCACCAGGTATCTTCATTTTGCACCACCATGATCAATTTAATAACAAAATTTTCTTTGTTGAGCATGTGAAACTTAGGTCATTCTGTGTTATACATAGATCTCCTGTAGTAAAATTGATCCCTTCTAAAACACTGGTGGGGAAGCCTGTATCAACCAAAGTTGCCTACTCTGCTAGAGGGCCTAATTTGATCGCTCCAGCCATTTTGAAGGTACAATCCCCTACAACATTAGTCCATCCTATTAATTTATCCTATTACTTTGGAGTTAACTGATTAGGGCTTTGTGTCACAGCCGGATATAGCTGCACTCGGTGTGAGTATATTAGCAGCCAGTACTCCCTCTGATCCTGTTATGGATGGAGGATTCGCCTTTCATTCAGGGACATCAATGGCAACTCCCCACATTGCAGGCATTGTGGCACTTTCAAAAGCATTGCATCCTGATTGGTCCCCTGCTGCAATCAAATCAGCACTAGTAACAACAGGTTGATCTATGACCGTTATACTCAGTGGCCAAGTGATTAGCAAGTGCTGGTAATGTAGCAAAATTGAATGGTGACAATTTCAACATTAGGTGCAGCACATTAACAATTACAAAACTTTTTTTTTCTTTTTCTTTTGCAGCATGGAAGACTGATCCATTTGGAGAGCCCATATTTTCTGAAGGAACGCTGCAGATGCTCGTGGATCCATTTGATTACGGAGGAGGACTAGTGAGCCCGAACAAGGCAGCAGACTCTGGCCTCATATATGACATGGGCACAGATGACTACATAAACTACCTTTGTGCTGTTGGCTACAACACCTCAGCTATCTCTCAACTTGTTGGACAAGCCACAGCATGTCCCATTATTATGCCTTCCATTCTGGATGTGAACCTACCTTCCATTACCATTCCAAATTTAAGAAAGTCGATAACACTCACTCGAAGTGTGACAAATGTTGGTCCTGTCAACTCAACATATAAAGCTCAAATAGACCCTCCACCAGGCATTAAAGTAAGTGTAAAACCAGATACATTGGTTTTCAACTCCACAGTTAAGACAATCTCCTTCACGGTAGCAGTTTCCACCACCTACCAAGCGAACACAGCATACTTTTCGGAAGCCTGACTTGGAGTGATGGGGTGCATGATGTGACAAGTCCCATATCAGTGAGAACACAGATCATACAATCCTATATTGATGACAATTGAAAATAGATCATACTCATCCTATGAAATTGGCTACATACTAATAATCGCATTTCTCTCCGGCGACAATGTCTGCCTCCCTTCTCTTTTGTAAGCATAATTTGTTAGTTATATAATGCACAGTTGAAAAGAATATATGAGAGTCTGCTTGATGAACAAGGAAAGTAGACAAGGAATTTGATTCTCTTTTGTGAGTGCACTGAAGAACAGAGAACCAGGTGCCGTGGTGGGCAAATTGATATGGATATAAAAAATGATGCAACAGAATTTTCTTTTCTAGCATTATTTTTTATTCATGAACCAAGCTCAAATGGACAGACAGAAGTCAATTGCAACCCCAACTTTCCCAAGGTCATCCTCCCACTCACCTTCTGCTGTCGTCATGTTTACTTTTTGAAACATGATAGGGTTTCTACAGAAATGCTTTTCGTCCCAAAACAATCCTGCTTTTCCTTGAAAAAGAAAAGTATTCCCACTAATGGAAGGCAAAAGCACCACTCATTAGTTGTGGGTTTGGAAATCTCATGGCAGGGCTCTCATAAAAAGCCAGTCCAATAAACGTGGTGGTAGGGGCCTACTTCAATGCAGTGCAGTGCAGCACCACAATCATTCAACTAACACTCTTCATCATTTGTGGACAGACTATCAATCAAAGTACACATAATATATTATAGAGTTTCACAGATGAGTTTTTTTATATTTAGATATAAGCAATCCATAATTTTTAGTTGGTGTATTTGCAGTTAAAAAATCATATTCAAAAAAGGCACAGCAGAATGCAGATGAATAAAAGGTGAAAAATATTCATGCTTTTTTGCTGGTCCTAAAAGATTATGCTTGGCCATGGCATACACATCACACCAAGCTTTTGTGCCCTACTGTTCAAGTTGACAATAGAAAAAGTTGAGGAAGTAGATAAAGCAAATTATTCAAAGTTTTGAGGAAAAACTTTCTACCCAAAATGATGTCCTCACATGGATTGAGCATTATATTACAAGAGAAAAAAGATTTTCGACTTTTAACATGTCTATTAGGACCATTAGATTATAATTTACAGATGCAGTGATGGCTGGCTTTTAAAGTGTACACAATACCTGTAGAAAATCTCCAGAGTTTTCGAGTCTTCCATTTTTATGATGGATTCCAAAATGAGAAGAGACTGGATATGTGCAAGAAAAAACTACACTCTTGTGGTTCTTGCTCTTTGTTTACTTCAACACCATCTCCATGTCTCAATACTACTTGTTGAGGCCACAAGTGAAGTGAGTGTATATACATAATCTCAAGTTTTAGCTCCAACTCCATTTTCTTTGTTCTTTCTGCACAGCTATTTGACAAGGAGTGTTTTCAGGTGCACATTGTATATTTGGGAGGAAAAAAAAATGATGATCGTGCATCGACAAAAAAGTTTCATCATCAAATGCTAACCACCTTGCTAGGAAGGTATGGCTTTATTCTATACACTGTTCATTATTTTAGTCCTAACGTCAAAATGATTTGCATTCCTAGATATAGAAAGACATAACAAGAAAGCTCATTTTTTTCATTTTGAAGCAAAGAAGCTGCATATAAATCCATTATATACAGCTATAAGCATGGCTTTTCTGGATTTGCTGCGAGGTTAACAGAATCTCAGGCAGAAGCAATTGCGGGTATGGTATTTAGCAAGAAACTACATGATGAACATACTATTTTATCATCATTCATTTTTAACACCATAAACTGCAGAGTTTCCTGGAGTTGTCCAAGTGATTCGAAATCGCATTCACAAGCTCCACACTACCAGAAGTTGGGATTTTATTGGGATCCATCAGCACTTGTCGGGAAATCTTTTAACAAAGAGCATGGGCAAAGGAACTATAATTGGTTTAATAGATTCAGGTAACATCCCCTATTATAAATACTAGTACACTTCAAACTGTACTTGAACACAAATTTGAATATATGCAGGTGTTTGGCCAGAGTCTAAAAGTTTTAATGATGAAGGCATGGATCCTATCCCAACACATTGGAAAGGAATTTGTCAGCAGGGAGAGCACTTTAACTCCACCAACTGCAACCGAAAAATTATTGGTGCTCGCTGGTTTGGAAAAGGCGCAATTGAACATTTTAAAAATCTTAACAAAACCAACACTGTGGTGGACTTTCTGTCACCAAGGGACGGAATTGGACATGGCACTCATACAGCTTCCACAGCAGCTGGCTACTTTGTCAAGAGAGTCAACTACAGAGGACTAGCTTCAGGGTTAGCCAGAGGAGGAGCACCTCTTGCTCACTTAGCGATTTACAAGGCTTGCTGGGCCTTTGAAGGATGCACTGATGCTGATCTTCTAAAGGCATTTGACAAGGCCATTCATGATGGCGTGGACATCCTATCTCTTTCTGTAGGCAATGTGACTCCTTTGTTCTCGTACGTTGATCAGCGTGATTCAATTGCAATTGGTTCCTTCCATGCAACCGCAAAAGGGATTACAGTTGTTTGCTCAGCAGGAAATGACGGCCCTATCTCACAAACCATTGTGAACACTGCACCATGGCTCATAACTGTAGCAGCCACCACAATAGACAGGGTCTTCCCAACAGCCATTACACTTGGAAATAACCACACTCTTTGGGTAAAGCTAACTCATCCTTGGAATGAAAAAATGGGAAAAATAAAGCAGTCACTTAAGATTTCTTGCAATGGCTGTCTGTTGCAGGGCCAATCTGTTGACATTGAAAAACATAAGCACGGATTTGTGGGCATCATATACTCCGAACGCATAGCTTTAGACCGGACAAATGATTCAGCGTGAGAACTCTTCTTTCCTTTTGATTAATATCTTAATTTATCTTCGCATGTGCTGTGTGTCACAATCTTCCATTTTACTTCAAGCAAGGATTGTCAGCCTGGAAGTCTCAATGCAACATTAGCCTCAGGGAAAATAGTACTTTGTTTCTCAAAATCAGATCAGCAGGACATAGAGTCTGCATCAAACACCGTGCAGGAAGCCGGAGGGGTTGGACTTATATTTGCGCAGTTTCCCAATGATGGGCTAGCGTCATGCGATATTCCATGCATCAGAGTAGGTTATGAAGTAGGGACACAAATACTTTCCTACATCAGAAAAGCACGGTAAGAACATAAGAAGATGGAGACAACATTGAAGTGTACACATATGATACAAAATTGACTTGTTTACTGTGGCTATGAAGGTTTCCAATTGCAAAGCTCAGTGACCCAAAAACTGTTATTGGGAAATGGGTCTCTCCACGAGTTGCCTCTTTCTCAGCTAGAGGACCTAGTTCCATGACACCAGAAGTTCTGAAGGTAACAGTACTAATCATATCAAAGACAGACACACATATCAAATACTATGTTTACTTTCTCTTCATATCTGTATTATGTCATTATGACCTTTTTTTTAATACAATGCTTGATCAATGGGCATAGCCTGACATAGCTGCACCGGGTGTAGACATCATAGCTGCATTTCGACCACGTGACACGAAACATATCAACGGTTATGCGCTGCTATCAGGAACTTCAATGGCATGCCCTCATGTTGCAGGGATAGCAGCTCTAATCAAATCTGCACATCCAAATTGGTCTCCTTCAGCAATAAAATCATCTCTAGTCACCACTGGCAAGTCAAAACCAAAACATCTACTTTTACGGTAAAAACTAGAGTCCATGCTCATCTACAACTTACAATAACTGCTTAACTCTTATGCAAATTGCAGCTTCCCAGACTGGAACAGATGGAACAAGCATTTCAGCCGAAGGCCTAACCCGTAAGGAAGCTGACCCTTTTGACATAGGCGGTGGCCATGTTGATCCCAACAAGGCAATTGATCCGGGGCTCATTTTCGATGCTAGTACAGAAGACTACATCCAGTTCCTCTGCTCCCTTGGTTACAGCAGTGCCTCAATTACCAGATTAACCAAGACCAATATAAACTGCATAACAAAAACTCATGGGGTGAACCTCAACCTCCCTTCCATCACAATTCCAAACCTCAAAAGGACAGCAACTGTGACAAGAACAGTGACAAATGTGGGGCACATAAACTCAAAGTACAAGGCATTGGTGCAGGCTCCTCCTGGCATAAAAATGACAGTTGAGCCTCAAACTTTAAGTTTCAATATAACCACTCAAATTCTTCCCTTCAAAGTCACCTTCTTCACAACTCAAAAGTTGCATGGAGATTATAAGTTTGGGAGCCTAACATGGACAGATGGAGAGCATCTTGTCAGGAGCCCCATAGCAATTCGTGTGATCGGATTTGAATCATATAATGATGTATGAGATCTCTGGGAAATCAAATATGAAATAACAACTTGTAAGATTTTAAATTGCTCCAATATGTTCCAATCATGGACATCATGAATTTCAAAATGTAGGGTTTGGACCAGCATAGATCATATTTTGGCAGTATACCACACGCTTTGTATGGATGACAAATCTAACGGTCGAGAGTGATGACAGAAAAGAAAGAGGAGAAGAATTTCAGAAATATCAGAGAAAGATAAATGGAGAAGACTAGAGAATTTCTGAGTTTTTGATTTCAATGAACTAACTCTTACAAAGCATAGCCCACTCTTATGTAAACTAGAGGGGCATAACAGACTAACCACACAGCTTAGCTGTCTAACTAATACACGTGCTAAGTACCAGACTTGTAACAAACTTACTGACTTGCTAATCATAGTTAACATACTAACCATAGTTAACATTTTCCCTACTTAGGTAACTCTCTTAACCTAAGATGAGCACAATGCTGTGAGAAGATAGGACCATGTAGACCCTTTGTAAACACATCAGCGAGTTGTTCATCTGTTGAAACATACTGAACCAGCAAATCCTTCTTCTGCAATTGCTCCCTTACAAAATGGAAATCAATGTCCAAGTGTTTAATCCAGGAATGGTATACTGGATTTGAGCTAAGAGCCAAAGCTGACAGATTATCACAATATGCAATTGGAGGATCTGGCAGATACAGCTTCAAATCTTTTCAAATACATGGGATCTGGATACTTGCAAGTCGAGAAAGAATTTAAGCTTACCCAAGTCCTTCATTTCAAATACAAAACTTAACTCATCAATCACAAGCTGAACCATCTTCTCATTAGAACCTGTAAGAATAATATCATCAACGTAGAGTAAGAGAATTACAACCTCTGAGTCTGAATATCTTACAAAAAGACTAGGATCAGATTGTGAAGCTTAAAAACCTATAGCTGGTAAGTATCCGGTGAATTTGGCATTCCAAGCCTTTGGAGCTTACTTTAAACCATACAATGATTTCTTAAGCTTACATACAAAATCAGGATAACGTGGATCTGCAAACCCTTGTGGCTGTTTCATAAACACTTCTTCTTCCAATTCGCCATGTAAAAAAGCGTTCTTAACATCAAGTTGTCTTAACTGCCATTTATTCATTGCAGCTAGACTCAGTATTAACCTAACAGTGGTGTTGTCACATCCCGGGATCGGCTCCACCGTAGCACGATATTGTCCGCTTTGGGCACTCTTTTCTGCTCTCACAGTTTTGTTTCTAGGAGCTCACAAGCAACTTTCCAGTGGGTCACCCATCTTGGGATTGCTGCTCTAGCCCCAACTCACTTAACTTTGAAGTTCCCATGACTCCGAAGCCAGTGAGCTCTCGAAAGGCCTTGTGCTAGATGGAGGTGGGCATGTACATATAAGGCACATCACCCCATCTCCATTGGTTGATGTGGGATGTTACAATCCACCCCCCTTAGGGGCCCGACGTCTTCGTCGGCACACTCGCACCACACGGCAGAGTGGCTCTAATACTAAATTGTCACATCCCAGGATGGGTGACCCACTGGGAAGTTGCTCGTGAGCTCCCAAAAACAAAACCGTGAGGGCAGAGAGGGGGGCCCGAAACGGACAATATAGTGCTACGGCGGAGCCGTTCCTGGGATGTGACAGGTGTGACGCACTACAAGGCTGAAAGTTTCACTAAAATCCAAGCCTTGCTCTTAATTGAATCCCTGAGCTACCAACCAAGCTTTATGCCTAGCTATAGAACTATCAGAATTCCTCTTTATCTTGTAAATCCACTTACTACCAACAATGTTTTTATTTCCAGGATTAGGAACCAAAGTCCAAGTACCTTGCATATGCAAGGCATTAATCTCTTCTTGCATGGCTTGTTTCCATTGTGGAAAAAACGAGGCTACCTTATAGCTTGCAGGTTCATCTAATTCAATATGAGCATTCAAACATGTATAGTACCCCACATAGTCAGGAAACTGTTTTTTTTTGTACTATGTCATTCCTAAGTGTAGTATGCATGGGATGAGTATTAATAGGACTAATAGGTAAAGAAGCAGATGAGGAAGTACCCGAAGATGAATCCTCAAGTGAAGGTAAAACTGGCAGGTGATGATCACCTAAAAGAGGATGATGCACCTATGGAACAAGAACTGATTCTGAACCACCTAATAGTTGTGCAACAAGAGATGCAGAAATAGAAGATGATGTTGAAGGAGCTATTGGTGTGACTATGGTAGCATGAGGTGTAACTTCTTGCAAAGGCAAAGGAAAAAGAATAGGTGGCATTGCTACCTAAGATTCAGAAACAGCAGTCGTTGAACTGAGCAGTAATGACTTGAAAGGCCAAACAGATTCATCATGAATCACATGTCTGGAGATGACAAATTTTTCATTGGCGATATCATAACACAAAACACCTTTATACCCTGAAGAATAACCCAAAAATACACATTGAGTGGTTCGAGGTTGAAACTTATGCACATTATAAGGTCTGAGATATGGATATACAACAGTGCCAAATATTCTTAAATACTGTAACTCTGGTTGCTTGCCATACAATCGAAAATAAGGAGCTTGATGCTTTAAGGACTGACCTGCATTCTATTTATTAAGTAGACTGCATGTGCAAGAGAATGATACCAAAACTGTCCAGGCATATTAGCAGCAGTCAAAAGAGTCAGAGTAGTCTCTACAACATGTCTGTTTTTCCTCTCAACCATACCATTCTGCTGTGGGGTGTATGGACATGTAATCTGATGCAAAATACCATGACTGCCAAGGAAGTCAGTAAATGTTTTGCTAATATACTCGCCACCACCATCACTTTGAAAATGCTGAATTTTAGCATTAAATTGAGTCTGAACCAAAGCAAAGAATTTTAGAAACTTGGAGAACACCTCAGATTTATTTAAAAAGGGATATATCCATACAAAGCCAGTACACTCATCTAAGAAGAGTACAAAATATCGAAAGCCATGAATGGACTTAAAATGAGAAGGCCCCCAAACATCACTGTGTATCTTAGAAAAAGGAATATCTGACTTGACATGACTACTATAAAAGGGCAGCTTGTGCATCTTTCCTTGAAGACATGAAGGACACAAATCAAACTGTGCATCTTCTGAAACAACCATGTTGGAATCTTTAAGCATAAGCTTCACCACCTCATTTGTTGGATGACCCAATCACTGATGCCATGTAGTAGAACTCACACGCTGACCAAGATAAGCTGTTGGACTGGAAAATGAGAACCGGGCGGATGGAACTTTACAAGGAATGGGATATAAGCCATTATGGCTAGAGCCCTTTAGAAGAATTGCCTTTGTTGCCTTGTCCTGTATATAGAAACCAGCAGAATCAAAGCTTATGATACAATGATTATCTTTGCATAACTGATTCACAGATAAAAGATTTGCAGAGAGCTTGGGAACATGAAAAACATAAGGCATTTTAAGAGAAATTACAAGCACAAGACAAAGCAGTAGTGCCAATATTTGTTATATTCAGACCTTCACCATTCCCTACGGTCACTTGATCAGTGGAATCACAGGGGGTAACATCGTGCAGAGTAGAGACATCGGCAACCATATGATGGGAAGCTCTATTATCTGCAATCCAAACATGATCTGCAATCCAAACATGATCTGCCATCTCTTGTCTCGAAGGAGTTGTCATTGGAGCATAAGCATGTGTAGGCATATTAGAACTGTGAGCTGCCATAGTAGAGATAATGGATGAAGGAGCTTGACCTTGATAGACATAATTCGAGCGATGGAAGCAATCCAAAGCACCATGACCCTTTTTACCACAAATTTGGCAAGCAATAATTGACCCAGAAATCTTAGAACTGTCATCACCGTGACGATGATAACAATTCACGGCAGTATGGCCACGTTTGCCACAAATCTGGCATTCTGGAACAACAGAAAATTTAGAAGAAGAGTCCCCAAATCTTTCTTGAGCTCCAGAAAACCCGCCATGAAAATTGGAACTTGGATACCGAGTCTGTGAAAACCGACCACGCCCAGAGGCAAAACCTCTACCATTACCAGAAGAAAAACCACGACCATTGCCAGAGAAAGATTGAGAACCAGAGACTCTATTATGAAAACCAGAAGCATCATGAGAACCCATATAGGCAACAGAAAGAGTGGGAAGTAAACCCATACCAGTAGAAGAAGAACCAGAATGCTGCAACACCTGACCATGAGAAAAGGTAGAAGACATATACAGAGCATGATAAGTGTGAATTCGAGCTTCTGCAGCTTGTTCCACAGCAAGCAATTGAGCACGAAAATCTTTCAGGGAGATCAACGAGTCACGAGCAATGAGAACTGTCTTGATCATGTCATACTCCGAAGGCAACCTATTTAATATAGTGATCATAAAATCATCATCTGAAATTGGCACCCCAGCAGAGGCCAACTTATCACGAATGTGTTTAAGTCGAAGAAGAAACCGCTCAATGGAGTCGGCACCTTTCTTAGCAGTTTGCAGCTTAGTTTTGAGATGATTAATCTGAGCTCGTGATACAGTAACATAACGATCAGAAAGTTGAAGTCATGCCCCACGAGCGGTCTTGCTGCCAATGAAAAATTCTAATGCCTCATCAGAGAGAGTGGCAATCAGAAAAATCAAGAGAGACTTATCAGTATGCAACCAATCCCTATAAGCAGCCGTGACCTCTGAAGTAACGTCAATCTCATCAAGAATCGCAATTTTTGGGGGAGGAACAAACGAGCCGTCAAAATGGCCAAAAAGATCATAGCCTTGGAGCAGAGATTCAATCTGAAAACTCCACTTAAGAAAGTTGTCATCACCAAGACGAATAGTAACCATACCTAAGAGACCTTCAACCTTGATTGATGAAGACGACGCCATGAGAAGTAGTGAAACCTGAAGTGCAGCAAATCCCTAAATTCAAGAAATCCTTAATCGTAAAACGAAATGAAGATTTGAAGAATGAAAGAACGAATTGAAGAGTCGAAGAACAAATTGAAGAGATTTGAAGAAAGAAAGAACGAATTGAAGAGTTGAAAAACAAACTGAAGAATTGAAGAATGGAAGAACAAACGAAAGAATTGAAGCAGAATTTGACGAAGGGAAGAATTGAAGAGTGGAAGCAAGAGGATCAAGAAAGAGTGTGAGCGATGCTGGCTATGATACCATGATGACAGAAAAGAAAGAGAAGAAGAATTTCAGAAATATCATAGAAAGATAAATGGAGAAGACTGGAGAATTTATGAGTTTTTGATTTCAATGAACTAACTATTACAAAGCATAGCCTACTCTTATGTAAATCAGAGGGGCATAACAAACTAACCACACAGCTTAGTTGTCTAACTAATACACGTGCTAAGTACCAGACTCGTAACAAACTTACTGACTTGCTAATCATAGTTAACAGAGAGCATACAAATTTGCACCCAAGGTATTGTGCTTGATTTCCTCCTCCCATAATGTTGTTTTGTATGCATAAAAAATTCAACTCAATTGATATTGAATACAATTAAATTCCAATCTTTGGTAAAATAAATTAAGATATTCGAACCTTAAAGCATGTGACAAGAGCATCATCGATCACTCTTTTAATATTTGTGCAAATTATATCTAGTGTAATAAACTCCAATCTCTTGGACCCAAATAATAATAATAATAATAATAAAAACTAAATTTAAGGTTGAATGCGTCAGCCGCAAAACCACATTTGCGTGTGATCCAGGTTCTCTTTTAGCATCTCGTCTCAGCCGTCAGATGACCCATAATCAACCGTTCATTTAAGACAAATGCCACTCACGCGGATCGACCCGCCCAGCCGTCGATAAGTTTCAATCCAACGTCTCAATTGAAATTCACAAAAATCCGCGCAGAAAAAACTCAAACATAAGCGGCAAAGCAAAAATTCAAAGATCGCTCCCCACTATAAAAACCCCTTTCCCCTAATTAATCAGATCACCACATTCACTTTATTAGGTGAAAAATCAAACTGTTTGGGAGGTCAGAAAAAATTTTCCGGGAAAATGTCAGGGAGAGGAAAGGGAGGAAAGGGGTTGGGAAAGGGTGGGGCAAAGAGGCACAGGAAGGTTCTGAGGGATAACATCCAAGGCATCACCAAGCCCGCCATTCGAAGACTTGCTCGTAGAGGCGGAGTTAAGCGCATCAGCGGCCTCATCTACGAAGAAACCAGAGGGGTTCTCAAGATCTTCTTGGAGAATGTGATTCGCGATGCTGTGACTTACACTGAGCACGCCAGGAGGAAGACGGTGACTGCCATGGATGTGGTCTATGCTCTCAAGAGGCAGGGACGAACCCTCTATGGTTTTGGAGGTTAAATCTGGCATATGTAATCAAATCCCTCCTTTGATTTGGGGCTTTTGTAAAACTTGTTATGAGCGAACAAAGTGTTTGATGGTTTTTGAATCTGTAATGGCATGCTTTTTAAGCTTCTTCTGCTTCAATCAATGAATATATAAACTTTTGATATGCATTTTTTAGTTGATTTTTACCAGTTTCTGAGAAGGTTTATTTATTTTTGAACCAAACCCATTTGTGATTGTAGGCAAGGTGTTTGTTGGTTTGCCTGATGCAAGTTCAGTGCATCAAGTATTGCTAGTTCATTTTTACATGTGACTGGTTAACTATTTCTTCGAACTAATGTAATTTCACAGCCTTTCAGACTCAGAATTTAAAATCATTACAATCATTTACAAATATGCGGATCAAGTAATAATTTGCAGAGATGTCTATTTTGAACTCTCTAGTGGCCATTTCAACTAGCTCAAGCAAGTTTAAGCAAAGTAAAAACTAGAAATTTGGCGGGCAAGAGTTTACTATTATTCATCTCACAATGAAATCTAACCTATCCAAGTAAGCATCCCTATCCATTGTCCATGGATTTCCTCCGCAGCTTGTTTTTTCGCTCTTGGGCGAAAACAACATAGCTCTGCACAAAGGGCAGGTCAGCTGGCCCTGGTTAACCCAACTATCTAGACACTTGCTATGAAACACATGATCACAGTTGCACTGTTCCCTCACCTCATGGCTTCCCTCTATGTACTCCAAGCATATATAGCATACTGTGTCCTCACTTGCATGCTTTGTGTATCTCTCAAGAACTTGACCAAACTCCACTACTGGAAGCCTTCTCTTGATATATGCAGTTAGAACATGAATTGGGACGGGGACTATTGATGGGCACATACGATCCAACACAAGAACATAATTGTCTGGATTCGGATGATGATGTTCTTCCATGGAGTCAGTAGCTGACTCAGTTATCTGTTCTGAAGGCTTGAGCAGACCCAGATGGCTAAGTGCCAGTATCACCATGACCTTGAAATACTGAAGCAGGTTTAGAAGTGTCCTGAAGCTTATGCGCCATTTCGGCATCTTTATACAAACACAAGGGAGCCCCATGAGATACAGAAGGAAAGAGGGATGGAAGGTGAGTTGTGTTGAACAAAACATATAGCAGATTTATGACTATATAGCATATATTATACATTGCCGGGGAATTGAATATGCTGGTTTTAATAGTAAACTCACATGGTTTAGAGTTGTCTTAAACACATGTTTGACGAGTCATTTTCGCCATAATTTTGTCGAGTATAAGATAAGATCAATTCTGCTTAATACTTGATGAGTGTCGAGTGTCAAGTGCACGCCAAGTTTGATACTTGACTCGGTCTGTAAAACTAGTCATGGTCGAGTTATAACTGTTCTAGGTCCCTTCTTCCTTGAGGAAATAAAATAATAGACTTCAGTCAAAAAACCAATCAGTCCCCATGAAATTGTGTAATGAGCCTCACTAGTAGTTGCACAGCACTCTGCAGGGATTCAAGAATGACGGCGACGACAAAAAAGGCAAGTCATCATGTGAAGTAGAATATATTAGAAGTCACGAACTTTTGGGTCCTTCCGAAGACTAACCTGAATTGAGGGACTATTCTAACTGCACTACACTTATGAAATGCGGTTAGGAGGAGAATATATGAAAAGGTCTGATATTGATTGCTTGCTGATCGGTTCAAAGGCAAAACAGCAGGCCTAAGCAAGTGTTGTCTTTTCTGTACTAAAAGGAGTGGCTGTCAGGTTACATATCTCAGAAACAAATTGTTGGGTTTGTTTATTAGCAATAAAAAATGACATAGTTTGGTGAAACTGATGACATTTCTTCCATACTAAGCCTCAGCATTGGCACAATCAAAAACAAAAACAAAAAGGTCAAGACAGTCGCCATCGTAACCCTGTTTACTTTAATAGCTGAAAATCACCCACACACACATGTATTGTTTCACACAACGCTAGGTGTTGGCGGGCTATTTTACTACCTTAGCTTTGTTCCTCTAGGATCAATTAATTCATAGCGACTCTCATATCAGTACTCTTTTTAAGTTCTTGTCATGTGATAATTTCTACTTTATGAAAAGAGACAAACTTCTTTGTCATTGTTGTATATACCTTGTGTACTTATCTTTTTCATCACATGCTAAATTACGTAAGGAGAGAGATAAAAAAATAAAAATATACACCAGTGACATAGAAGTTTATTTCTTAAACAATACTATATGAGCTCGAGTCGTTCTATGGTGAGGGTGTCATATATGCACCATAGATGTAGACCTTTATATTAGCCACATAATTCATCTAAATAGTAATTTCACTTAAGTTGAATAAAACAATCATGTGACTACTATGAAAATTTACATGAGGGGTCCACACCCTCACAATAGAATTTTGCATATGAGCCTTACATCCACTATTGGCCCGTCAAGCGAGGTTGAGTTTGGGTTCAACAGAAGGTGGCCCAATTGTTCATGCCTCATGGGCTAACTGTACTATCATTTTGGACAGATTACAGGCAATGGCCCAACCTAAAATTACGACGTCGTTTTCTTGCCTTATAGAGACGGAGGTCGTCTCTTGGAAGATAGGATACTGGGTTTTATCCAAAACTTTGCCTTTGAGCTGAGACTCAGTGACTCAAACCTCTGCCATGGCGTCCTCTGTGTCTTCCTGTCACCATGTCCTTTCCTCTTTCTCTTCAAAGAAGAGCAGCAACCCAAACAATGTGAAAAGTCAGCTCTCTTCTTCGCTTTGGGGCTCTCCCATAAGCATAAGCAGCTTGTTCTCTTCAAACCCCAACACGTCCCTGCAATTCCAAACTCGCAGACGTCTCAGTGTCATCGCCATGGCTCCCCCAAAAGCCAAGCCCGGTGGAAAAGCCAAGAAGGGTATTTCAGATTCACTTTTCTGCTTCGTCTTCAACAAATTCCAATTCATTTCCTTGATGGGTTTTCTCTTTTGCAGTGATTGGAATGATAAAGCTGGCATTGGAGGCCGGAAAGGCCACGCCTGCTCCACCAGTTGGCCCTGCTCTGGGTTCTAAGGGTGTCAATATCATGGCTTTTTGTAAGGATTACAATGCCAGGACAGCGGACAAGGCTGGTTATGTCATTCCAGTTGAAATCACCGTCTATGATGTTAGTCTGCGTTGCGTTTTTGGTATAAATTGTTCATTATCTTGGTTAATGTTTGAAAGATTTTGACTATCTTATCAGATTTTTTGATGCCAGGATAAGAGTTTCACTTTCATATTGAAGACCCCGCCTGCTTCGGTTTTGCTGCTTAAGGCCGCAGGTATATGCTCTTTTTCTGTTCTTTCATTTTGCTCTCTAATTGTTTGATGTTGGTTCTCTGAATATTTCTTAAACAATGGCATTTGATTGTATTGGAAGATGTCTTACCATGTTAATTTGCTAATTGATGCTCATCCAATCCAATGGATATCTTACCCAATATTCTTGTGCTAGGCTTAGTTTGTATTTTTGTACTCACAAGTTGATTTCAGAAGGTCATATTTTATCAACTGACAGAATTTAAAAAAAGAAAAGGAAATTGTTTCAAGTTGAAAAGATTTAAGGTGGTGTGGATGAATGATCTTCATGGATGACCCACTTCACATTATTTATTAATGTGAGGTCTGTATAGTCTGTATAGTCTGCCATCATGAATTGGCCATTGAGTTTTCATCTGCCAATTAGTTTGGCATAGTATCTCCTGCCATATTGCTGGAGTGAATTGTAGATGAGGTTTTAAAGCGATTTCCAGATTGCTGCAGATCTCAGGATAAAACTAAGGAAAATTGGCATGCTTACTTTCGTGCACAATAATTGTGGTTTTGATAGTTATTTACTTCAATCAGTATGATAATTGGTTTTGATTATATCTGTCACATATGCTCCTCATGGAGTCTTGGCCACTGTTTTGAGAATTATCACAATCTGGAAAGGCTGAAATAGTTTGGATGGTTGTTATAGTTTGTCATTTTATATATGTTCATAACAGGAGCAACCACATAACAATCTTTTTGTTGATTAATTAAATGCTATTCCTTGCCAGTATTTGATTAGCATTATAGTAGAATATTTGTTTATCTGTGCTGGGTGGTATGTAGGAGTGGAGAAAGGTTCAAAAGACCCACAGCTGGAGAAGGTGGGAAAGGTCACCATTGATCAGTTGCGTACAATTGCACAAGAAAAGCTGCCAGACTTGAATTGCACCACTATAGAATCAGCAATGAGAATTATAGCAGGCACTGCAGCTAATATGGGGATCGACGTCGATCCTCCTGTTCTAGAACCAAAAAAGAAGGAAGTTCTGCTGTAGTGTGTGCTGCCTTCAACATTTTGTTTCCTTGATTATTAGGCTTTGTTCTTGAAATCATATTTGTTGTAAGTAGAGGACTGATGGGAAGTCAGTATGTAAAAGCTATCACCTCCATTTTTGGTGGTTGGTTATAAATTCTTCATCCTTGTATTCTTTACTCTTGTTTCTCCTCTTATCATCTTGTTACTCCTTTTTTTTGGTTGAATCTGATATTTAATCACAATTATTTGTCCTTACTTCTATTGATTATATCCATAATCAAATTGAAGATAAAAGGAAAGCGACTTCAACTTCAAGCAGTCTCTGATTATGGACTATGACTATGTTAAGTGATGCCCTATTACTCAGCCTCATAATGTCAAATGTCGAATAATAATGTGGCAGACAGACTGAATTTTCTTCCTTTTCAATACACAATAAAATTTTCAATGTCATTATAACGGTGATGTTGTCTTCTAAACGTGACGGTGTGACGGTCATATTCAACAACCAAACACCCAACCCAAGTATTTTTATAGATACATACACACTCCTGGTGGAAACTTAGGTGTCGTCCATTAGTGTTACTTTTCTCGATTGTCTTGCTCAATTGTCCTTGCCAGGTTGCTTTCTTTTATATTCTTTTTGTGTTACTATTTTAATTATTGTGCCATTGACCAAAAAAAAAATCGCTTCTTCTTGAAAAAAAAGGACTATTCATCCGCATGTTGTGGAGATAACGTGGTCATATATATGTAAGAGTTTTCAGGGAAGATGATTATTGTTACTACTTGTGTTAGGATTATGTCTTTCTTTGATGATATCCTTATTTTAGCCGTGCATACTGAATAGTGAGGAAAATCATACTTATGCTTCAAGATTATTCAAGATGTCCGACGACACTTCAGAAGTTAGTGTCTTTAGTTAATGCAATCCAATTCTAATGAGTCAAACAAAGTAGAGCAAATATGCAGATAAGTTCAGATTTTCTCTTCTTCTTATTCTTCTCCAATATGGAGGTATTTATACAAGTACAAAGATGTATTAACCCTAAATAAAATAGGAAATATATCTAAATTACAATATGAAATAAATCTCAATTATAATAGGACTAGATAAATGGATAAGTAATCAAAATCCTAACTAAGTAAGGACTCGCCAACATAATGGGCTATTTTCCATTGTTTGATGGCAGCTCCTGTTTATTTTCCTTCTTAAAAAAAAAAAAAAAAAAAAATGAAAAATTGAAAAAAAAAAACAAAAATGATGTCCATCAATTTTGGCCGTACATTCAGATTCCAAAACTCGTAAACTCCAAATTACTAAACCTCAAATTCTAATCCAGGAAAATAACACGAGCACTACAAGAACATGTTAAGGGCCCGTTTGATAACTATTTCAATTTGAGCTTTTAGTTTTCATTTTTTGTGCTAGAGTACAGAGGAAAATGAGAGGGAGAATGGAAGTGAGGATGAGATTGAGAGAGAAGATGGGAGGGAGGGAGGAGTAATAAAAGTGAAATAAATTTCAAATAAATTTCAGTTTTTAAATTTTGTTTTCACTTTTGCTACTCTTCTCTCTCATCTTCCGTCTCAATCTCATGTCCACTCTCATTCTCACTTCCATTCTCTTTCTTTTTCCTCTATATTCTAGCACAAAAAATAAAAACTATAAAATAAAATTGAAATGGTTATCAAACGGGCCCTAAGTTAATCAAAATAAAAAATTAATTTAACTTTTTAACTATTTGCAGCATGTCATATATTATGATGTTTTTTCATTACAAATTTATAAATAAACCCAATTCTAGACATGTATTTATAGAAAAACCCAAGCACTATTTAAATATAGAAACACACCCAAAATCAACTTCAAAGTCAACTTTTTGGGTGTGTTTATAAATGGATTTTGAGTGTGTGTAATGATGGATTTTGGGTGTGTTTATATGTTTAAATAGTGCTTGGGTTTTTTTTTATAATTTAAGCCCCCATTTTAGGTGTTTTAGTGAAACTCCATTTTTTCATTTGCCTAGAATATGAAAGATTTTGTGGTTAGACAAACTGAGAAAGACAGATATATTAAGCTAAAGAAAACAAAACAAAAGAAGTAAAGTATACACCAACTGTTTAAGTGAGTTTTTTTAGTCTTCATGGGCCGACCAGAAAACTAATTCAAATAGGATTATGAATGTCGTCTGCTCAGTGGGTTAGTGGATATAATTAATAATTAATAATTATAATTAAGAAGATAAAGACAATAGTTATTAGAAATTGGACTCTTAATTGGATTTAGTACCCAAAAAACCAATCCATGGATTGGCGGCCCAAAAGGCAAAAGGGCATCTAAAGGTAAAAGAAATCAAGTCATTAATTGTGATTCATGTACTAGCAAACAAAGAAAACCAAATCATCACAAGGACAGGAATCTTCTTAGCAAGCAAAAACTGTTCAACCCTGAATCTTCTGGAAGTGAAATTAGCGATTGTGGCATTTGCACCACCGTCTCTCTCCCTATCTCTAAATATTCTTATATCAACGTCATGTTTCAAGCAGAAAGCTTTCCTCCACAGTAATATTTAGAGAATCTGAGGACCACCACAACTCTATTGTAGCTCCAACGATTCGTACCTATTTTTCAGCTTCACCTTACCCTTCTGAACATTACTGCTTTCAGAGGTATCTGTATCTTTCATCTCTCTCTGGATTCATTATAAAAGTATTCTTTTTATTATATATTTATGTACTTGAATCCATAAATCCAATGTTTTTTCAATTACCCAGATCCTGAAAGAGAGGGAAAAGTGAGTTTATTATGTTATCTTATTTGGGTGCTGTTGATTAGTTGTTTTGGATTTTGCTCTGTTTTTCTGCACTTTTTACGTGATATTGCTTGATGGGTCTCGTGATTTTTTGTTTGGTTATCTGGATGCGTACGTAAACAGCTGCGTATGAAGTTTTCTTTTTTGGTTGGCTTGGTTTTTATGTGTTGGTATATCATATTGCGTCTGTTGTTATCCTTGTTTGTATGATTTATGAACGTATGCTTTTGTTCTCTGATTAAGGTATGCATAATGATTTTTTTAATTCCCATCCTCTCAATTTTCATGTATGCCTCCGGTATCTTTCTTTTTATTCTTATGTATCTCCTCTGAATTTGACTGGTGTGGCTTTTTACAACTTTTTTTTTCCTTCTTCATCCAATTAGATTTTAGTTATTTTATAAGAATAAATGTTTGTCATCAATTGGATCATGGTGATTGATATGAATGCACTACCCGAAATGCTTCTAAGGAGGATGCTGAAGAGTAGTTAAGAAATGCAAGATACGATTTCCAGTAGTATTATTCCTTCTGTTGTTTGTGTTTCTGGCTTTTGGGGTTACATGTGTTTTGATATGCCCTCTTTGCATTTGGTGTCAGGGCAAAGTTTTAGGATTGAAGTGCTCTATTTCTAGGAGCTTTTCTTAATCTTAACTAACCTGTAATTATGATTGTTGGGAAGATACAAATGTACAAGGGGTAGGTCGAAATTGGGTATCTGAAGGATGGTTGGACAAATATAGGATTGGGGAGAAGTACTTATAATATTTTTTCTGTAATTGGAATACTCTGTTGGGCTGTTATACAAATGATCTAATTAGGGAGGTGACATGAGAAAACACGTTTATTCATGTGCTTTCTTTGAGTTCCATGACAGCCAATCAAATGCTTATAGATGTGCTTGTTATCTTTCAATCTTTGTTGTTTGCCATCTTGTATTCATTTGGTCAGTTTCATGTTGTCTTTATCCCACTATTATTGCTCTCAAGCTTGGTTTTTCTTTTTCTTCTGATTTTTATGTGATTTTTGTGGTTATATCTGACATAAAAATTTGCCAGTATTCGCCGCAAAAATCTGAATTACGCCTCATCTCTTAAAATTTCTTGTTGCTTTTCAGATGGAAGTGCATGCACATATAATTGAAGTATCTGGAGATGTGCCAGCTATAGAGACAAGCCCGGGTGTGAGAAAGATTTGTGGGGAAGGACCGTGTGGATTTTCAGATGCTAAAACCAGTTCCAAAGATGCACAGGAACGGTCGGCATCCATGCGGAAGCTTTTGATAGCAGTTATACTTTGTGTTATTTTCATGAGTGTGGAAGTTGTTGGGGGTATTAAATCCAACAGTCTTGCAATTCTGACTGATGCTGCTCATCTATTGTCAGATGTTGCAGCATTTGCAATATCTCTGTTTTCGCTTTGGGCATCAGGATGGGAGGCAACACCTCGTCAGTCTTATGGCTTCTTCAGGATTGAAATTCTAGGTGCTCTTGTTTCCATCCAGATGATTTGGCTTCTTGCTGGGATCCTTGTTTATGAAGCCATTAATAGACTTGTCAACGAGACTGGTGAAGTTCAGGGCTTTCTCATGTTTGTTGTTTCTGCATTTGGTTTAGTGGTTAACATTGCCATGGCCCTCTTACTGGGTCATGATCATGGGCATGGGCATGGACATGGGCATGGGCATGGGCATGGTGATCATCATCACAGTAATGAGGATCATGATGGTACACATAGCCATGGGATTACTGTGACGACACACCCTCATCATCATGTGGTGCACTCCAATCATGATCACACGGAACCTCTGCTCAAGAAACCAGAAGTTAAAAAGACGAAGCAAAAAAATATCAACGTGCAGGGGGCTTATCTTCATGTACTTGGGGATTCCATTCAGAGTATTGGAGTGATGATTGGTGGAGGAATTATTTGGTACAAGCCTGAGTGGAAGATTATTGATCTGATATGCACCCTTGTATTTTCGTTGATTGTGCTGGCGACAACAATCAGGATGCTGCGAAATATTTTGGAGGTTCTGATGGAGAGCACTCCTAGAGAGATTGATGCCACAAAGCTTGAGAAAGGCCTCTGTGAGATGGATGAGGTAGTTGCCATTCACGAACTGCACATATGGGCCATAACTGTTGGCAAGGTGTTAATGGCTTGCCATGTTATTGTGAAGCCGGATGCTAATGCTGACATGGTACTTGAAAAGGTTATAGACTATATCAAGAGAGAATATAATATCAGTCATATAACCATTCAGATAGAGCGTCAGTAGATTTGGAGGGAGATAATCTTTCATAGCTTGAGTGTTGGAATTAGTTGGGTTCGGCATTTTTAAGACTAAAATTATTTTCCACAGTTGATAGATCGTATCTACTGTCTCTTTGGTTTGCTCTTATATATTTCTTTCTTACTAGAAAATACTTTTATTTTGAAGGGATTTCAATTTAGTACATCTCTCTGTGCACAAAATACTTGTCTGCAATCTGCTGCATTTTATGATGAAAAGAATTACAATCAATTGAAAAGAAAAGAAGAGTAATTATTGAAAAATAAAACACATCCAACTGGATATTACACGTTTTTAAACAGCTCAACGACTGAAAAAGTAAAAGCAGAACATGCAACTCGAATGTTTGAAAACCCTGCTTCTTTTGCCATACTTTCTATTTCTTTCTCTGTTCTCTCCTTTCCCATCACATTAGTGTTCATCAGGTACACATCAAACTGAAACAAACTTCTAGCAGAAAGACTAGTTTCAGGGGCTTCTGGTACCACCATATCCACCAGTATCACTTTCCCATGGTCTGGCAAGGCCTCATAGCAATTCTTCAGTATCATCAAGCAATGTTTGTCATCCCAGCCATGTAGCATCCACTGTTTTTAAAATCATTAACATTAGTTGCAAGTTACGATAGCAGACTTTTTTTAGGAAATCGAAAAATCTTTTAAGCACTTTGAAGAATTTGGATAATTCTAACAAACCTAACCTTCATGAAAATGGCATCTCCTTTCGGAATCTTTATGAACATATCTCCTGCAATGTGCTCTATACCTCAAAGCAAAACTCCTCCATAAGTCAGCAAAGCAAAGTGAAGTAAATAGTGATACACTAAATTGTCTGATGGGAAGCAAGAAGCTGATATCATACCAGTATAGGAGGGAGACTTTTCTACAACAGAAGGCAAATCATAGTTGAAACCCTTGATGGCAGGGTACATGGAGATTATCATGTTAAGGATAGTACCATCACCACCACCCACATCTACCAGTGTTTTTAGACCTACAAAACCTTTATAAGTCTTCAAAATCTTCTTCATAAAAATGGGGTTGAACTCTTTCATTGAGTCCTTGAACACTCCACCAAATCTTTCATCCTTGCCAACGTACTCCACCATATTCATTCCATAGGCCTGGCTAAATGGAAGCCCTCCTTCCAAAACTGCATCTTTCAAATGGAACCTGCAGTGACATTAATTTCTTAAAGAATTTACAATATACGAAGATGACCACACTTATGAGAAAAAAAAACACGCACGCACGCACGCACACACAGAGTTTGACATGTATACAGAAACGATTCATTAAAAACACAAAAGGAAAAATTTGTAACACGTCAAATTGTAAGGTATCCATATAACGTGACAAGTATTTTTCAAAATTCGAAAGAAAAATACCAGCTATCTATGGTGACCTTGTCATTGCACAAATATAGCAAAGGTGCCAATGACACACCATCTTGGTTTTTGATGAAATATTTGGAGACAGGTGACAGCCCATAAAGCCTGAGAGCCTCCCCATCAGTTTGGTGTGAGGTGACAGAGCAAGCGAGAACAGAGTAAGCAGACAAAAGGCGAAGCTTACGATCAAGAACCAAATCGGCACCTGGGTTGTTGTTAGAGGGAAGCTGAGATGCTATTTGGGTGGCTGAAAGCAGGGCTCCATGGCCAGCTCTGTGCAGTATGTCAAACACTCCAAGCTCTGTGGCTGCTTTGAGCACCATAGGCACAAGTGATGCGCTTGCTAGTTGCATAGCATATTGGGAGTGAATTTCCTCTTCTTCATTGGTGGCCATTTTTGTCAGCTGTTTTTCCTTTATGTTGGTTTTTATGGTTTTGAACTTTCATATATGCATGAGAGTTCAAAATGGTTTTCAACGTTTCAAACTATTCTGAAATTTTTTAGTTGCCAGACGAAGAAATTGAGCTTCTATTTTGGAGGCTTGACTGCACCATTTTATTATATCCAAAGTCAGTTTGCTTTACATTTAAAAAGAAAAAAGATAAAAAAGAAGTCAGTCTGCTTCTGGAAGCCCAAATAACATCAATTAAACGTTGCTACATTTAACAAATTTGTTTGAAACTTACCTGCTTTACATTTTTAACTAGGGCTGTGTTCGGTGTGGTAACCGCACCAAATGCTCATAACCAACAACTGGAGGAAGACCATATTAGGACCTGCTACTGGATCAACCAAGGCCGGTTTGCCGATGGTTGGTTGTACCGATCAAGTCGTCGGAACGGTTTGCCGAATGTTATCTTTGATAACCCGCCGGTTTTGTCGGTCCAACCACACAGCCTTATTTTTTACCCCCCAAAAAAAAACCCTGTTTCACCGACAAGATGCAACTTGGACCGATATATTCCAAAGTTAAATTATTTGCTCCATTTAGGTAAATACAAACAAGAACACAAGAAACAAGAAAAAGTTATAAATAAATAAAAAAGAAATAAAAACAAGGGGGAACTACATAAAAGGCAAGGACGAGTTCCATTATTCTTAATTAAGAACAAACACACTTTTCATATAAAACACACCATATTCTGCACCAGTACCTATATAAAAATATTCAGCAGTCTTTTGGGGAAAAAAACAAAGATAAAATATTCTGCACTTGGTGGTCTTCAATAGCCACAGTGGAAGGGAAAAGACATAAAGGAGGAATATTTTACAGCCACATTTGATTGGGGTAATTTTTTTTTTCTTCACTGATGTGACAAAAAGAGAATTTTAGAAATTCCAAAGATTGCAAAGGGCTTACCCAAATCAAGCTCCACCTAAGTCTCACTATTTCTGCATCTAAATGATTGAAATTATGTCACCTTCAACTATTGCATATATAAACCCTTCTTCTTTCTACTATGCACACCAGTATTTGTGCATGGTTAATGTTTTATGCATGCAAAGAAGTTATGAAAAAAGGAAAGAGTTGATTATAGTTTAGTACCATGTGGTTGCACTCGTAAGGCATATTAGTTCATGCCTTCTCGATTTTTGTAAGTAAATACCTAAGTCTTTGAAGGCATGTTAGTCCCGGTCCTATGAAATTTTCTCTTTTTAATTGTTTTTTTTAATATTGTATGAATATTGTATTACACCTAAATAAAAACAAAAAAAGCAAAAAGATAGGACCCATAAGTACAACTAGGCCTGGGCACGGATCGGTTCGAAACGGTAGAAGGCTCTTCCGTTAACCAAACTAAAGACTTCGGTAGAACATTTTCTCTTCCGTTAACCAAACCAATGACTTCGGTAGACTTCGGATCAATTAACCTAATATTCGGTTTGGATTAGTTCGGTACGCCCGTAGTACCGTAATAAAAACATATTAATAAAAATACAATTTATAATACTTTCACATAACATAAGTTCTTGAACAAATACACCAAATTATCCTTGTAAAATATAAAAATCCAATAGTTTAATTCATCCAAGTATGAAATCAAATAACTTAGTCACTATATCATTCAATATATGCTCAAGATGTACCGGGAGCCACTTGTGTTTGTTGTTTGAACATTTGAGTGTTATTTTTACTGAATTCTCTACATTTATGTAAATGATTTTGACATTTTTTTTTCACGTTGGGTTCTTTAGTTTTTCATGCTGAATCCAACCATATAAAGAACATAAAATTTGGATCAACAGTTGGAAAGTTATAGGTAAAAAACAGGAGAAATGTCAAAATTAGAAAACATAGGAAATTCATAAATTACTCTCTGGCCAAAAAGTGCTACAGTACCGGGGTGATAAAGAAGTGATAGAATGGTGATAAAGCAGTGATACAATGGTGATAAAAAAGTGATATAGCAGTGATAAATGAGTGATACAAAATGCTAATTGTATTTATCTTTGGTTTCTTGTTTTGTATTTAAATAATAGAATAAGTATAAATATCGGATCAGTACGGGTTTCCGTCGGGTTAGGAATATTTTTTCCGTTAACCAAACCAAACCAAACATCTCGATACGGATCGGATCGGAATAATTAAAATTAAAAAATAATTATTTAACCAAATCAAACCAAACTGTCGGTACGGTACAGTCGGTACACTGATAATTTGGATGAGATGCCCACCCCTAAGTACAACGTAGGCAACTAACAAGAGATCTGAAGGAAAAATTGAGAGAACATGGACTAACATGCCTTACCAATGCAATCACATGATACAAAAATGTCATTATACCCAAAAAAAGAAGGCAAAATTTTATTGAGGCCATTTTGGGTAGTTGAACAAAGCTAATGATAATACAATTGCAGCATTCGCATGCATGATCATCAGTTGGGTTTGAACAAGTCTAAGCAGCACTCAGTTGCAAGTCCTCTGTTCCAGAATTTCTCAAAGTATTCAGCATATGTAAAGTTCCTGTACATGGCTGGTTGATCATGGCTGATCAGGTCCTTGGCTGGCGCAATCACTGCATCAGGTGATGGACAGTAGAAGGTTGGAATTGATATCCTCTCTGAGTTGCAGTTAACCACAGCTCTGTGCAGCACACTTTTGTACTTATCATTGCTAATTACCTGATACCCAAAAAAAAAAAGAGGAAAAAAAATTAATTTGCCTTTTTTGGGTCTTATTAATTATTAATAAGGTAATAATTCCAAATATTTAGGGCATATTAATTAATTTTTACCTGCATCATATCACCAATATTGACAATAAAAGTGTTGGGAATGGGGTTGACAGCAACCCACTTGCCATTTCTAAGGACCTGCAATCCAGGCACTTCATCTTGGAGAAGGATGGTGATTAGGTTACAATCTGTATGTCCAGGCAATCCATATGTAAGCTCTGGTTCTGGACAGGGTGGATAGTAATTCAAAGCCATATGCTGGCCTTGCTTGCCTATTGCCTCAACAATATAGTTCTTTTCTAAGCCCAAGCTTTCTGATATGGCCCCAAGCAATCTTAGTACCAGCCCTCTCACACTTGTGCAATACTCACCCACTTGCTCCCTGTGGACAAAAAAAGTACCAGATCATCAGTTATGTGACCCAAATTTAATTAATTAGAAGTAAATGAGTTCAAGTATGTTGGATACAAGTGATATTGGGGAGAGGGGAATCAAACACATGACCTCGCATGCATAAATAAATACTCTTAACCACTTGAGCTGCAAGTTCTTTGCGAGTATTAATTAGCATAAGATGACAGAAAAGGCAAGAACCCTTTTTTTACCTGAATGATGGGGGATTGTTAGGCCATTCTTGGACATAATCTTCAAGAGGGTAGCAATGGAGTCTCAGAAAGTCCCTCCAGTTGGAAAGTTTTTCAGTCCTGACATTGAAACTAGTGGAAAGCCTTGTGGTCTTTGAAGGGTCATCTGAGTACATCTTCAACCTCTCACTCTCTGGCAACTTGAAAAACTCTCTTGCTATACTTGACATGTCTTTGATCATTTCCTCTGGCACCCCATGATTTTTCACCTGATAAATATAAATGGGTTGGTCCATATTTTTGTTTACTCATTCATTTATGTAAAAATGCAGTGTGTGTAAGAATTATCAATGAAATAATGGGATATATTAATATACCTGAAAGAAACCATCAGTTTGGCAAGCTAGGCCAATCTGTTCGATAATATTAGAGTGGTTGTGGCCATGGAGGTCCTTGAGATCAATGAGAGGAATGGAGGAGGCATCTGATATCTGAACATCACGGAGATTTGGACGGTCAGAGATGGGCCTAACGTAGTTTGAGGGGACATGGTTCACACCGGACATGAGGTCTGTTAGCAGTAGCTTTGTTGCTGTGGCCATTTTGCTCAAGACTGAAGAGAAGTTTTGCAAAAACTAAACTGGTAGGTTTGGTGAATTGTGGTTTTGATCCCCATTTCCCTATTTATAACATTTGAAGAGACATTATTACTCTAAGAAGAAATAACATTTGAAGAGACATTACTCTAAGTGAATTAGGTAACTTTGATTTGTTCTCAAATCAACTTTGAAATTAAATAAATAATTGAATTTCGGCAGAAAAAATTGAATTTCTAAAATTGAATTTCGGCAGAAGAAATAACATTTGTCAAGAAATGTTTGGCAGAAAAGGTTGAATTCAGTGTCTCATCTCATGGTTTTGTTAACAATTCCATTACGGAGGGGGAAGTCTTCAATCGTATATTTCACTGTTGAATGAATTATCCTTTAAACATGTATTTGATTGTTGAATGATTGTCCTTAAAATTTTACTGGTCTACAAGGTTGACACTTGGCAGACCTAGCATCAGAGTGACATGACTATAGGAAACGTCATTCTTTACGACCTGCATGATGTAACACGAATGTCTTATTCTAGGGATTTAGCTTTCACTTGTCCACATCTCCAGCACTCAATATTTTGGTTTCATTTAACGTCCATCAGAAAAATTAATAAATAAATTAGGCAAGTTGAAGTTGCCTAAAAACAATTTACTATCTTATCATTTATTCTTGCCAGAACTATCAGTTTTGTATTGTGAAAAATTGTGAAGTCCTCACCAGTCTGAGACAATAAAAGAATTTACTTGAGAGATATTCCTCAGCCAAATTCACAATCGCTTGTTTAGAAATCAGTAATGGGGAACTTTATCCTTCAATCACATGAGCAAACACAAAACAGGTGAACAGTGTCCTAGAAGGAAATAGACGTAATCATTAATCATGGCAGGCTGGCAGCACAAACCTCTTTGAGATTCTCTAGGAAACTAAATATAAATTATATAATATAATATTTCTAAAAACAAAAATTAATGAAACTAAACATATGGAAACAAACCAAAAAAAAACCAAACAAACGTTCTTATCTTAACCAAAAAAAAGAACTGGCAATGGCAGCAACATACATTGGGAGCTTTAGCAATTTGAAGGTCTTTTCTTTTGTCATTCTTTTTTATAATTAGATGTATAATAGGATTTTTGTAAGAGACATCTTTGTTAACTTATTTTTCTTTTTATTTAGCAAAAAACTCAACAGAGATTCTTGTTCTTCACAATTGGAAATTTGAAGTTTCAAGTTGAAGAAAAAAAATGCTCAAAATCCAAAATTTATTATTCTTTGTTTATTAGTTTTATTGTTATTGTTCGTGTTTTTATAAAAATTAAAAAAATGTTACCTAATAAAATTAATTTGTTGATATATATATATATTTTTGTAGTTTTAGTTTTTAATTTGTCTAAAAGGGCACTCTTTAGAAATTTACCATAGGCTTTAGAAAACCCAGGACCGGCTTTGGCTCTATGGCTGCTTTGAGCACCATAGTGTCACGGGATGAGCGAGCGGCGCAGCGCGGCAGAAGCGAAACACAAATTTCACCACTCAAAGCACACCCGTGTGACCCAGGATCCCTTCGGATCCCAGTCAGCCTTCTCCCACTTCATGATATTCATGACTCTCACAACTCCGCGAGAGGTTCCCCTTCACGTGTCGTCTCCCACTAGACAACAAGTCACACTACCTTGTGACAATACAATCACTCCGCATCCGGCAACGAACCCTTGACGCTTATACATTAAGCGTTGCATAAGACACATCAACTGCATCGACCACGTCGCATGCTTAACTCATGGCTCGCTCCTATCCAAGTCAAGACATAGCGATCCAACACACCATCGGTTTACCCACACTTTTGTCGGTCATGCCTTCATCGTCCACGATAGCCCACATCCTCAAGTTATACACACAAGCTGTCATACTTGCATGTCGCCTAAGCCTTGGCGACATATGTATTCCGAATGTCCCACATAACCATCTATGCATTGCATGGGGTCGCAACCCATGCGTACCGGCATCTGAATATCTTCCTTCCATCTTGGACAAGGCCCGAACCCCAAGCCAAGTCCATTGAGTATTGTCAAATGTCTCGCTAGCCGATGGCATAGCGAATGTCATACGTTGACCTCACTCTTTACGACGATACACAATACGAACGGCCCGCGTGTTCGTACTGTCCTCGGGAATTCCTTTCCCTCGGAGACACATATTATCCTTCAACAATCTTATGCCCGCCCTTATGACTACCTCCAATGTCCTAAGAATGCTCGCTTAGTGCCACAAGGGTGTAAGCACCAGGAGTGGTGGAGAGCATGACACCATGTCACCCCCTATATAGCAGTTTATGCATTTAGCCTTCTGTCATGAGGGAACAACACCTATACACGAGAAGTCATAATTGGGCATAACTCCTTCATATGAACTCCAAATGGCGAACCGTCAGTTGCGTTTCCTGCATCTCAACATCACGAACATTTCGGTATTCTTGGTTCCCTCAGGTTCTCCCGTAACCTTCAGAAATACCCAAAATACCCCTCACAATGCAACCCAGCCAACACCAACCATTCTAGCTCTTAAGCTCTCGCCCTTCCACACTTAGACTACCTCTTAAGCGCATAGATGTCCCAACGGAGTTACGGTAGCACTTGTCACCTGTTCTTCATTGGTGGCCATTTTTGTCACCTGTTTTTCCTTCATGTTGGTATGTTGGTTTTTATGGTTTTGAATTTTTATATATGCATGAGAGTTCAAAATGGTTTTCAACGTTTCAAACTATTCTGAAATTTTTTAGTTGCTAGACGAAGAAATTGAGCTTCTATTTTGGAGGCTTGATTGCACCACTTTATTATATCCAAAGTCAGTTTGCCTTGCATTAAATATTTTTTTAAAAAAAAAGAGGTTTGCTTCTGGAAGGCCAAATAACATCAATTAAACTTTGCTAAATTTAACAAATTTGTTTGAAACTTACCTGCTTTACATTTTTAACTAGGGCTGTGTTCGGTGGTAACCGCACCAAATGCTCATAACCAACAACTGGAGGAAGACCATTATTAGGAACTGCTACCGAATCAACCAAGGTCGGTTTGCTGATGATTGGTTGTACCGATCAAGTCCGAAACGGTTCGCCGAATGTTATCTTTGATAACCCGCCGGTTTTGTCGGTCCAACCACATAGCCCTATTTTTTACCCCCAAAAAAATCTTGTTTTACGGAAAAGATGCAACTTGGACCGATATATTCCAAAGTTAAATTATTTGCTCCATTTAGGTAAATACAAACAAGAACACAAGAAACAAGAAAAAGTTATAATAAATAAATAAATAAATAAAGGGGAACTACATAAAGATAAAGGGCAAGGACGAGTTCCATTATTCTTAAGTAAGAACAAACACACTTTTCATATAAAACACACCGTATTCTGCATCAGTACCTATATAAAAATATGGGTAAATTACAGTAAATCCCCCAACCTATAGGGTCATTTACGAGTTATATCCGATTTTGGGGACATTTATGGGTATATACACAATGTCGCGAAAACTTACAGATTGCCTCCTCCGTTAGCGAATCCGTCAGGAAATCCGTTATGTGCCTACGTGGCGTCTAGCTGGACAATTTTTTAAGGGCATTTTCGGCAGATCAGGTCCCTGGGTTTCGCGCCCAAAACAACACGTGGTTTAGTTTAATTCAAAAAAGAAAAACAAAAAACCCCCAAATCGTGTTCCATATCTAAGCCCCCACTCAGACCTAGCCCCCAAATCGATAGAAGTGGATGCCCAGGTTCCAATTCGAAGAAGACAAAGACGACGATGTCGACGAGGTCGACGATGTCTGCAAATCGAAGATGCGAAGTGGGTCAGCCTATTTGTCACTGCGGCAATCAATGTCGTCTGACGACGTTGTGGACTGACAACAACCTTGGGAGAAGATATTGGGGCTGCGCCGATTATGGGGTCAGAAGAGGTTTGCATTCTTTGAATGGTATGATCCACAGGTATGCGAAAGGTCGAAGATTGTGATATCTGGACTATTGAAACGATTGCGTAAGGAAGAAAATGAAAACCGAAAATTGAAAAAAGATGTTGGAGCTGCCTTGAAAGCACAAAGATTTCTACGAGCAAGTGTTCTGGGTTCTTAGATTTTTTTGATTATGTTGTTGGGAATGCTAGTACTGGAATGGAGAGACTCTGGATCTTCCAAGAATGTGAAATTAGCACTTACATTTTAGGGTCTATATCTTAGAAGAGTTGGGTGATGTATTTTGTGGCCATTTGTGGGACATTTTGGAAAATCAAAGTGCTTTGTGTATGAAAGGTCTGTTTCTTGTAATTTTCCATGTGAAGTTGTATGAAAGATGTTTATGTATGAACAATTGTGAGGCAAATTGGAAATGCAGACTGTTTATGTATGCACAATTGTTAGGGAATTTCCAATTGAACAATTGCTTGAAGGCAAATTCCATTATATTTTGAGTTCAAAACACATGCATACATTTCCAACATTTGCATCTCAATTTTACAAAATGAACATGAGCACCTAATCTGGAATACAATAAAACAGCTACCAAAACCAGAAGTTGGTCCCTACTTGGAGTTGTTGGACATAATCTTCAAGAACCCTTTTTTTACCTGAATGATGGGGGATTGTTAGGCCATTCTTGGACATAGTCTTCAAGAGGGTAGCAATGGAGTCTCAGAAAGTCCCTCCAGTTGGAAAGTTTTTCAGTCCTGACATTGAAACTAGTGGAAAGCCTTGTGGTCTTTGAAGGGTCATCTGAGTACATCTTCAACCTCTCACTCTCTGGCAACTTGAAAAACTCTCTTGCTATACTTGACATGTCTTTGATCATTTCCTCTGGCACCCCATGATTTTTCACCTGATAAATATAAATGGGTTGGTCCATATTTTTGTTTACTCATTCATTTACGTAAACATGCAGTGTGTGTAAGAATTATCAATGAAATAATGGGATATATTAATATACCTGAAAGAAACCATCAGTTTGGCAAGCTAGGCCAATCTGTTCGATAATATTAGAGTGGTTGTGGCCATGGAGGTCCTTGAGATCAATGAGAGGAATGGAGTTTCCCTATTTATAACATTTGAAGAGACATTATTACTCTAAGAAGAAATAACAGAGAACTGTAGAAGCTTCTCATAAAGTCATCAGACGGTAGCTTGGAAAACGTGTACAAATTGTATGTAAAAGTCATTTTTTTACTCATATTATATAAGCTTCACTATCAGAAGTTAAATGTGTAGCTTGTGATATATACTTCAAATTGCTTTACATAAATAACTGAGTAAAAAATCAGATGGCCAGAAGAAACTTGTGTGTATAGCTAGAAGACGATGCAAGGAGAAATGAAAGGTCCAATTTAATTACAATACACAAAAACATGAACACAGACAAAAGAGAAAAATGGCGGTTTTACTGTTTTTGCTGGTCAGTGTGATTCAGATCGGCATGGACCCACGTAATGAGGCGCGTGATTAGATTCCCCAGCCCACTGTATATGGAGCTTGAATGAGGTCACCTAGATGACATAACTCTGCTACGTCACACTCTCTGATGATTCGCATGATTAAGAGCAGATTTAATACAGAATTAACGCAATTAATACTTGTTTCTGTGGACTTCATGGGGATCCCCATCACTTCCAGATAAGAGTGAATTATATTTAGATTTCAACTTTGACTTGTTCTCATATCATATCATGAAGTCAGTTTTTTGGTTTGCTGTCAAGAAATGTTCGGCAGAAAAGGTTGAATTCACTGTCTCATCTCATGGTTTTGTTCTGACGACATAAATCAAGAACATGCAACAAGTTAACAATTCCATTACGGAGGGGGAAGTCTTTCAATCGTATATTTCATTGTTGAATGAATTATCCTTTAAACGGGTATTGGATTGTTGAATGATTGTCCTTGAAAGTTTACTGGGATGTGTACAAGGTTGACACTTGGCAGATCTAGCATGAGGTAATCAGAGTGACATCACTATAGGAAACGTCATTCTTTACGATCTGCATGATGTAACACGAATGTCTTATTCTAGGGATTCAGCTTTCACTTGCCCGCATCTCCAGCACTCAATATCTTGGTTTCATTTAACATCCATCAGAAAAATTAATAAATAAATTAGGCAAGTCTTTCTTAATTCTGGGTATCACACATTGAAGCTAAGATGAGAGGAACCACCAAATTAGATGACGTGATTGTTTTGGTTTTAAACTAAAGTGGGAAGACCTTATGGGAGATTGGTTGATGAGTTGGTTTGGTTATACAATTACACAACTTCTTTTTTGTTTCTTTTTTTTTCACGGAAAATTTCATCATAATTTATTAAATCTTATTTATTTAGAAATACTATACCATTGAAAAGAGCAAATCAAATACAGAACTTCGGGTGCAAAAGTGAATGTCTTTTTATCACTTAACTAAAGGCCCCTTGCATGATGTAATTAGAGTAGCATCACTATACCAACGTCATTAGCTACAAACCAACCCTCAGAATGAGGGAGGTTTTAAAGTAGACAAATGAATAAGACAGTTTTTGTACCAAACAAAAAATAAGATAAGTCTTTCTTAATCTTAGGCTACCGACACCAAGATGAAGAACTAGATGATCTAAACCGCAAGGAAGTTTCATCACTTTCGTCATGTCAGAGACACCGTCTGCGAGTAAAATCTGCAAGTTTGGTCTCTCCCTTGTATGTGCTTTTATGCCTTCTAGGCTTCAATTGTTTTGGGATTTTCTCATCCTGTTGCCTTTATGGGCTTTTTATATAATCCACTTCTGACCCAAAAAGAAAAATCTAAATGCAGCTATATATTTTGCCACAAAATCCACTGCTATATTTCTAAAGCATGCATACTCTGCTCTCTACTATAACAGGGTACAGTATCTAAATCAATATGCAGTAGGAGAAGTGGCACAGAGGAAAGAGTCTCCAATCTCCATGGCTAAACTTCAAGTACAAAAATTAGCAAGCATAATGAATTAAACATTTGTTCCAATGAAAGTATTATCTTCGAGATAGAATACAAAACACAATCTCTACTTGCATTTGTAGTTTCTTTTAACTTTTGCAACTTCGACTTTCTTCAAAGAAAACAATTTAATCCCCAAAATTTCATTGTGGGGATGCACTAAAGAGAGCTTTACTGATGATGCCAGTGGCCTCAATATAGCGATCCATACATCTAGAGATGCAGCTACTCTCACTCCCACCTAGGCTGGATCCTGGTTTCGTGATGCACTTGTCGAAGCACTTTGACCTCAGGGTCTGTGTGACAAATGAGAAACGGGTGAGAAGAACAGTCAGAAAAAGAAAAGAGGTATTCACATATACAGAAAACAACAGAAAAGTGAATTCAAAAAGCTAAAAAACTTGGAGATTTTCCTTTGAAATTCAAGAAAGTAATGACTAACACCGCCTGTAAGTTTGAGTACATAATACCATATAATGGCATCACAATGTTGAAACTTAAGACCTGAAAGGGCCTCATCTCTAAGCATATGCAGACATGGAGATATCTGAAATATCAGTATGAATACCCACTACATTCGTCTAAGCTATCTATGTAGGGATACATTCACATGCGGTTTGGTAGGGCGATTTCCCCAACTCAGATTCTTAGTAACTTCATACATCATAAACATTTTGGAAATTTTCCCAAGGCAACTTCCCAAGAAGATATAACTCATAAGCATATCGGAATATGTCATAGCCTAGGCTTGACAAACACAAGGAAAAAGAAAGGAATATAGACATGATGACTAGTATTTAATTTGTTGAAGAAACAACAAACTCTAACTGGTCTAACTTCTAACAAATAGGAATCAGAAGAAAAGATAGACGCAGTTCTATTTGATCATTAAAGAATATTAAAAAAATAAACTTTTATACCTTAATACCTCTATAAGTTCAAAATAGGCTTAACACATACACAGAACATGCATGAATATGTATTTGCAGACTCAAATAGTTTACCCAACAAACAAAAGAAGGGTAGGCATTCTATTGCAAGTCTTAAACAAGTGATCCATGGGAACTCACTGGCATTAAAAGAACAAGCTTTTATACCTTGATAAATATTTGAAGTTCAATATAAATTTCACAAACACAAAAAAATATGAACTGATATTGCATACTAAAATTATTGAACCATCAAACAAACAAAGGCACGGCATTCTATTACAAGACTTAAACAAGTGAACCAGAAATCAACAAATTTATACTCAACTCCAAGATTGCATATTTACATATACAAAATAAACCCAATATGGTGATGAATATAAGAAACCCATAATAGAAAGAGATAGAGAGATTTACCTCCAAGAACTCCTCGGCATAAGCCTGAGCAAGTTGGTTCTTAAGCTGGTCCTTGAAAGCGTCAGGGTTGAATTGGGTTGCAGAAGATCCACTTGATGGTGATGAAAACGAATCCATTGCTGATTGTCTCTCTTTCTAAACAACTCTTCTCTTCTCCCCTCCGGCCTCCACAACCCACAGAGACAACTACTGTATCTCTCTTCTAAAACCCTACACAACTCCTATTGCTGCTATTGCCTCTATTTTGACTTCTCACCAAATTTTGTGAGGCAGTGAATGAAAACACACCGCTTTGGAGTTTGGCCCATATTTGATTGCTTCTGCTTCAAGGCCCAATCATCCTTGCTACCCTAGTTGGGCTAAGTTTGAATTCGGTATGTCCATCTGGGACTCATTGGATATGCAAATTTTAAATCGCATATAAGGTCTGTTGTTAGCCGAATATTCTTTTTCTTTGGACACCCAATTTTCTTGTTTTTCTTTTTACTTTTTCAACTAAAAAAAGGGAGAATGATGAGAAATTTTTTTTTTGATACAAGCGATATTGAGAGAGTGGGAATTCAAACACATAATCTCAAGTACATAGATAACAGCTCTAGACTACTTGAATTACATGTCCCTTATGAAGTTACGAGGGATGGGACTTTGAGTGTCCACAAAATCCCGCATTTTCTTTTCTACCCACCATATGTGTGCTTCCAGGCCGTCTGGCTATGATGGGTTTGGGATTTTTTGTTTAGGCCCAGCCCATACAATCCTTTTCTTTTAAGTGATGTATATCCAATCCAATCGGTCATAAAACTTCATGCATCAGTAGTTGAGGAAGATTATACCTCATGGATCCTGTGTACATTTTGATATACTTGACATTAAGAGGCATCATTCAAAACCTAAGGTACAAAATTCATCCAATATTTAACAAATGATCCCGTATCTATCTGTCTCAATACTATTTAAGATTGCTGCTCGATCCACCTTTCACCTGTTTCAGCATTTCGAGCTGTATTTCAGATGCAGACAAATTGCTCATATATATCGCATTAATTTCTCGCCTGATCAATATACACATGCTAATAGAGAGAGAGAGAGAGAGAGAGAGAGAGAGAGAGAGAGAGAGAGAGAGAGAGAAGAAGGTGTGATGACAATGAAGCTGCATGTAAGACATGATAGCCGCCAACTGGAGGGTAGAGTATAGTGTGCTCGCCTTTGCCTGCTTGCCTGCTTGCTTGGTGGTCCATTCAAGTTTATCATCACAGGCGTACGTGGTCCTAATTATCTTTCACTCCACAACAACATGCATCAAAACATATACTACCATCCATCCGATCGATGAATTCATTTATGTACCATTAGATTTCAATTTAATTTCGTTATAATTAATTACTTTATGCACACAATAATATACAACATATAGTCAATAAGAGAAAAATGTACGTGAGTTAGGTCAGTTAGCCAAGATTGTGAGCCGGCCCCCTTGCTTTCGAGTTTAATATCCTTCTCTCCGTATATTAAAGTAGTTTAGAATATCCTTCTGTGAAAAAGATAAAAAAAAGATAAAAAAAGGGTGTAAAATGGGCTGGTGGAAACATGAGAGAGAGAGAGAGAGAGAGAGAGAGAGAGAGAGAGCTTCGTATACACGCATACGATACATATAGTCAGGTCACTGTTTGAACATGAAGGAAACATTAAAGTCATGTCAATAATATATTTGTGTGCCACCAACGTTTCTTAATTTCTAAACACTAATTGTAGGATGAACAGCTTTAAATTTTAATTTTTGTACACACATAAAACAAATCATGAACCGATGGATATATACAACCCAAAAAGTAGAGGGTAGAGCCCAAGCCCCGCAACCCTACCCCTAAACCCACGTCTAGAGTGGGGCAAAGAGAAAGTGATATGAGAAGAAGAGAAGAAGAGAGAAGAGAGCGAAAGTTGGAAAAAGCTTAAATTTCCATAACTAAGTACAGGTAAGGCTTAACGAGACGAAGCATATGAGAATGATCAAATCCCATTAAAGCTATGAAAAATTGTGAATGGGGCTTAGCTTAGGCCTAGTAGGGGGTCCACTAATAACTCCAACGGGTGAGACATCATAGTCCACTCCCCCATCCCTCTGCACAAAATTGGCTCATTGCATTGATATGTGATAGCTAGCTAGCTGGGGCAGTGGGCACTTTACTCGGGAGGAAAACACAAATTCATTTTCTGGCTGGTATATGTGCTATGCCTAGCTATATCTATAGTCTTTCAAGTTCAATTACTTTTTTTTGGGTTCCTTTTGATTCATTTTCTAGGGTGTTTGAAAACAACCCACTTTGAGGTTTGGGGTGTGGCCTTGATTTCTTCTTCACATTTTAGTTAATAACCAGACGAATCATGTGCTGCAACATTCACACATATATATATTGGACAATTTCTCTTACCAGGCAATTTGACTTGTTATAAACGTTGATAGATATATTTATGCCATGTTCATGTAACCTATTGTTCGGAAGTCTTTCCTTTATTCATAAAGAGTCATGCGCGTAAACCCTACCTACTTACCATCTTCAATAGAAAGAAAAAAAAAATTATTAGGAAAGGTAGAAGTAAGAAACTAACCTTTCATGACCAGGAAGAAAAGAAAAACGATACATGCATATATAGGAATGAAACACACATTGACTTTCCAAATTATATACAATGAATATGGCATCTTAATTAGTCGGTCTAAGTTCATTAATCCTCACGCCTAAGCATCAATTATTCCTTTCCCCAAAGGGTCAAATTGACACTGACCGTGCTACAGCTAGGTCACCAGCTAAGTTTAACTACACAGAAAATTAGCCACTTGTTTATGAAAAATGTGCGAGCAGATATTAAGCACACCTTAACCCAACTAAAAATAGCACTAGACGTTTGCAAATTGACAGTATTTTAAAAGGAAGTCCAAATTGGCTGATGATTATATATTTAACCACTAATTAATTTGTTTAAGACCCAAAATCACATTGCCTCCAAGGAACAAGGTAGCTATCACCAGATTCTCCTGATTTTGCCCCCATCTACACTATGATTTATTTTTATTTTTATTTTATCAAATCTCTCCCACCTTAGATCTTTTTGTGCATATAGTTGCCATCGCATTCATCCAATTTTATTTAATAAATAAAATTATATATGCAATAAGTAATAGTGATTCATCGCTTAATTTAGGGACTAAACCATGTGTTATAGGGGAACTCCATATAATTATACATAAAGAAGATTTTGTCCAACCTTAATTATTTTTCAATACCATGAAGGTTGACAATATTGTTCAATCAAATTACTTAATGATCAAAGAATGGTGCGATAATATATCCAACAAAGATTCCACTTGGAGACAAGATGATTCTTAAAAAAGAAAACAATGTTATTTTGATCACCATCTTAGCACTACTCTCGTCCAAATTCACTTAACTTCGGAATTCTGAAGAGATTCAATGCATGTGAGATGGTATGATCGCATAAAAAAAAAACAATGTAATCATAATTGCCATATAAGTGAGAACATACCTTACATTATTAGGGCGTTTTTTTTTCCAATTTTTTTTTTCATTGATGCTAATATATTGGCTGCCAGATGGTTTGGTCAAAGGCTGCTTCAAACTACTTTCCCAATGAGAAAAAAGAAAATACAAATGAATCAAATCAGGATTGATCATAGTATTCTTTTATAAATAAATAAAAATAAAAAGCCTAATTGAGAAATGCATCGCATTATGAGAATATAATAAAAATTAAATCAAGAATTAATGCTACTTTTTGTGTTACAACATTTTGCCAAACATGCCACAGTATGAAAATTATTATCTTACGAACACTACAAATTTTCGCGAACAGTTGTGTCATTTTATAATATGTTATCACCAAGACATGATTTTTCCATTAAACAAACAACTAAGACATTTTAAAATGGCAAACAGTGAGTTCCTGTTTATTATTTTTTACCTCGAGAAGAGTTGACACCTTACAACTACATAGCTCTAAGCTTAATTTATCCATACTTTTTTACATTATTATGTAAAGGTTAAACTATAGTTTTGCCCCTTGAACAAAATTATAATTGTCAATTTATTCCTGGATGATTTTTCCCATGTGATACGTACGTGAGTTCTTTTGTACGTGACAGAGCTATAAAATCCTTCAAAATCTTACGAATCACGATATAATTCAGGGATAAAACCGCAGTTTAGCCATATGTAAATTAATAAGCTAGTTGGAAGGTGCTTCCTTTGCAATCCCCTTGTCATAATTTTCGACAAGTGATTAAATTAATTAAGCTTAGATTAAGGAGAACAATAAGACAAGAACCCTGGTTGGGCGGCTAAAACAAGTGGTTTTTACATTTTTGGGATGCCAAAGTTGCAGGTTGGATGGAAAAAAAGGAAGAGAAGTTGGCCTCAAACACTTCTAAGTCAAATGAATCACACTCATATTTAATTAAAATAAATTAAGCAGAGTTTTAAGTGATTCCTTTCGATACACCCAAACGTCACTGTGCTCAGGGGGAGATGACGATAGCCACATGTTAACTGTAGCATCTGTTAACCATGATTAATAATTAATACAATTAAATTTATAAATAAAATATATAAGCCAGAAAAAAATAATATCCCGGAACCCAAAATGGCAAAATGGCAAAATAAAATTGTATTTTTAATTTATAGTGTGGTCCATTTAATTCGCTCCAAGTGGTCGGGAGATTAATCCAACTACATGACAGACATGTTACTAAATAGTAATGCAAAGTTTGGATTAACTAGCTGCTGCTAATTAATTATTGGTGAGTAATCTCCATTAATTAGATGCCGATCCATTGATGTGTTTAACATTGCACGTGTTACATACACACTTAGACTTAGTTACACAAACAAGACGCTTAATTCGATGCCATATTTTAATTAATATTAATTTAGATATATATGTATTTATTTATTTTATTTATTTATACAGTTGTGTTTGCGTGCCGGCTTAGAGGGATCCCTTGATGAGTGTCGAGAGTCAGAAATGAGAGAAGAAAATATCAGAATTTAGGGCATATGCAAAATGAAGAAAAGCTGGAGGATAGAGACATGAAGGGAAACCAGGGCTCACATTTTAATTATGTATGAAGCACATTTCAACATCCAGGCAACTTGAGTTAGGTGACGTTCATCAACCCACTGCCTCTAAGTCTTAATAGTGAGATATATATATTATATGATATATTATTAATGTTTTAATTCCATGAGGACAATGATTGGGTGGTAGGGATCAATATGATCAATGATAATTCTTTATATCTGAAACTACCCTACTACTATTTCTTATGCCATTTCTAAATTTAACTTCTTCTTTTTTATTTTTTATACAACATATTAAAAGACAGGGGATTCAAACGGAAGATTTGGAATGCATGGATAAATTTATAACTTTTAAACCCGCGTAAAAGATTGCATTTCTTTTATTTTACAAGTATAGGTTGTGAAATGAGGAAGTGAAATATATATTTAGTGTTAGCTTCCATATTTTAGATTGGAGTATAGGGCAGTGACAACAATAATGAAGATATTTTAACCAAATAATAAATTATCTATGCATAGGGCAGTTAGACATTGCTACAGCACTTATGCCTCCATTATGTTGCTTGAATTAAAAAAAAAGGTCCATACAAAATAACTGAAACAAACTTAACACTTTACTTCCGATTGACCGACAGCATGACATAATTAACTCATCCTATTCATCATACACTTTTACCATGATATTTAAATTTCATAATTTTGGAAGTTGAAATGGCCCTCTAAACTAATCCTACCAGCTATCGCTCTGATATGCCTTTTGCTAATTAAGGTGCAGGGCTGGCTGGCCTTTACTTCTTCTAATAAAATATATAGTCTGGTTAACCTCAATATTAATTAAACGTATTTGTTACTAAATTGAAATGGATATAGAGATGATCATGATATCACATGAGTTAAAATAACAAACGTATGCGCATATGGGTTTAGCCAAGTTCGCTATAGTGGATGTGCTTCCCACTCTACATCAGAGTTCGAATTCCCACAACTCTGTAGGGGAGTTTCACTAAAACACCCAAAATGGGGGTTGAAATTATAAAAAAAAACCCAAGCACTATTTAAACATATAAACACACCCTTGGGTGTGTTTCTATGTTTAAATAGTGCCTGGGTTTTTTATAAATACATGTCTCGGATTGGGTTTATTTATAAATTTGTATTAATGTAATTATTATATCAAGAGCCTTAATTATGGAGATAATGAAATGATGAATGTGTTATCATCATGTTAAACCTGGTTAATTAAATATCCAATTAATGCGTGGGTATATATATAGCAGCCCTTCGTTCGGCATCCCTATGATGAACCAAACTGCTAAAGTTGCCAGCTCGTCTAATAAGGCTTGATTTTGTTGACAAGCCAAGTTCAAGTACCTAAACACGTTTTATAATTTGTTGACACTGCAAACTGGTTCAACCATCAAATAGAAACCTGCAAAACTGCAAATTACTAGTGAAGTGACAATAATTGTCGATTGAAGGCTCTTTGATATGAATTTCGGAGATCTCTAGAATGAGCCTTTTCTAGTTGACATGAGAGTCATGAATGCCAATATCTGACCTCCCAATATGATTAATAAATATGACTTAATGAGTTGCGTCAAGTGTAATTAATAAGAGCATCCACAATGATACTTTTTATTTCTTACCTAAAAATATAAGAAAGCTATTTTAGGAGCTCTCAACAAAATTTCAACTCCAACCATACTCTCTAATTTGGAGAGTCATAAATGCTATAGCTCTTTTTTGATTGGTCTATCTCTATTAAAAAAATAAAATAAAAAGTAGTTAGCATTAAATAAATGTTTAAAATACTCATTAAATAAAGCAACATTAAATTATAGGGAATCATTAGGAGTCATTTCTCTCTCCTCAGATTTAGGAGCTCCTAGAGGACTCCCTATTTTAGGAGGTGGATAGGGAGCGTGGTTGGAGTTGCATTTTTACGATTCGTTCTTAAAATTTGTCTAAGAAGATAGTTTAGAGAGCCCATTATGGATGCTCTAAGCGAGTCATTGTTAAGTTCGCATTACCTTTGATCTTGTCATTACTAAGAGTTATAATAAATATAATGATGAAATTTTCACTATAAATTACTCTTTTTAACGGGTGACTAGTTACCTTAGTCATGAATGCAGATGAATTAAACTTGTTATTTTCTCTTCGGCATCACATGGAGCGAGCAGGAAATACTGATACCGAATAAGAATTGCCTCTTGAAAATTTTAGACTAGGCCGATTATCATGTGATTGTTGTAAATGACGTTGCTTAACTTCGAACGTAGTGGTTTTTGAACTCCCATTTATAAACAACCATGTAATCACAAAAGTTTGGTAATAGATATAGTAAATAACCCCTTATAGATTAATTAACAGAATACTCTTTTAATGACACCTATTAATAAAGTTTCTTAAAAAAGGACTATCAATTTGAATTATTTTAGCATAATCTTGCACAAAGAAATTAGTCAAACCAAGCTGAGGTGCCACACTAAATTGATACCACTAGAATATATTTCACATGGACAATAGTTCAAACATGTGTGCGAGCTTGAATCAAGCTCAAGCCATCATCAATAATTCAAGCCTTAGAGTAAAAATCCTATCCGTGAACCAGACGGGCCTAAAAGTAAGAATATGAAGAAAAAAAAAGTATTAAAAAAAAACTTAAATTAATATAAATGCACTGGCCAAATCACAAACGACGACATATTTAATTTGTTTGCTTTCACCAATAAGATTTTTACCAAAACAAAAAAAGATTGTTTAAAATTAGGGCTAGTTGATCTCTTAGGAGGCATGAGAGAGGGGATCCTTTGTAGAAAGGTGATATAAATGACTGAATGCTTCAGCAAAGGGCAGTCAAACAATTATATTGCCTAACAGAGAGGGATGGTCCTGTTGAGAAATAAATATGGCAGCAAGCAACAAGTCAAATTAATTATCCCCAAAATAACCCACTTAACATAAACTAATCACCATCAGGTAAATTTTACCATTTCTTTATCTTTTCACCAGCTTAGCTTAGCAGCAGATGCTTCAAAATAGGTACCGTAGAAGCAAAATTCCAAAAATAAAGCCAAAAAGAATAAAAATGGTCCACCAATCCCAGTTGCTCTATTGAATTACAAGTTCGTGCTCCCCAAAACAGCTGGCCCTTTGGGCCTTATCGTAGATAACGTTTAAAATAAATAAAAAGACTTCAATTTGAAAATGAAAAATACCACCCAGGATGATGACAGGTACAAGCTCACATGAGCCCAACCAGATAATACATGGGGTCCCTACGCATATATAATTTCCCAGAATTTATTCATCAGAAACAAATTTATTATTTTTTAAGAAAATACATAAGGAATCAATTGGTCTTCACTTCACTTGATTGGATGATGTTTGGATGTTATTTATTTGTGATGAGTTCGATGCCTAGTTAATTGTGATTAGTTTTATTGTAACTGTGTAACGTTCTTTTGGGTGCACGAGCTCGTTGTAAACGTATTTTGTAAATATTTTATCGTTTGTAAAAAACACATATAAAAAAAATAAAAATAAAAATATGCCTAACTTGAGAAGGTTCCAGGGAGGCACCTCCATGTAAGAAAATTGCACACACATGGTCACATAGTCACACATACACACACACAAATATCTCTTTTTATTTTTCTTCTTCTTTATTTCTTTGTTTCCTCTCTCTCTCTCTCTCTCTTCTCTCTTCTGTCTCTCTCTCTCTCTCTCTCTCTCTCTCTCTCTCTCTCTCTCAAAGCCCAAGGTCAACAACAAGAGGAACTTCTTTGCACTCTTTGAAACGTCCATGGGGTATCTGAGTCTTGTTGGTCAAAGAAGAATGCACCGACCGTCATTGTATTGAGAGCTACGCTTCTAGCTTCTGCTTCTTCTGAGCCTGCTGCCTGCTACTTTCCTCTCTTCTTCTTCTTCTTCATCATCATCTCACAGTCACAGAATTTCCCATCCGCAATCTCAGCCCTAGAAAAAAGAAAAGCAAAAAACCCACAATAATAACAACAAAAAAGAAAGAGGAAAATTGGAAAAGAAAGTGTTGCTTTAGAGTTGAGGCCAAAACCCACCTGCTTTTTTTTTTCTCTTCTTCTATCTCTTTTTTCTTCTTCCTTAGATCTTCAAGATCTAGGAATCGAGGTAAAAAACAAGAGGTGAGAGTTTGATTTTCGACTTTTTTTCTTTTATCATGAATTTCGGGTCAGCTGCTCGAGATGGGGGTTTTTCTACTGAAGATGAAAACAACATAGTGAGAGGTAAGCTTCCTTTCTCCTATGCCTCCTCTCCATCTTCTTCTACTTCTTCTGCTCAGTACAACAAAACCACCAGCATAGCCACTCTTGTCCCTTCTGCTCACTACAACCGTGCCGCCTACGACGATGGCCCCGACACAAAGCTCGAGCTCATGGACTCATCGCCGAGAGATAGAGATAATAATGAAGAAGACGATGGCAGTCGAAGAGAAGAAAACCCAATCGCCATAGAAAGGGAGCACATGTTCGACAAAGTTGTGACGCCAAGCGATGTGGGGAAGCTCAATCGCCTCGTCATCCCAAAGCAGCACGCGGAGAAGTACTTTCCTTTGGATTCTTCCACCAACGAGAAGGGGCTTCTGCTCAATTTCGAGGACCGGAATGGGAAGCCGTGGAGGTTTCGATACTCCTACTGGAACAGCAGCCAGAGCTATGTGATGACCAAGGGCTGGAGTAGATTCGTCAAGGAGAAGAAGCTCGACGCCGGAGACATCGTCTCCTTCCAGCGAGGCCTTGGGGAGTTGGGGAAAGACCGGCTTTTTATTGACTGGCGGCGCCGCCCAGATGCGCCTGATCCCATCCACCATCACCACCACCATCCCCACCCGCTTCATCCGCATCATCATCATTACCAGCCCAATTTCGCAATCGCTCATCAGCAGCAGCAGCAGCATTTCTCCTGGAACCACCACCAACGCTCGGTTCCATGGAGCCCGCTATTGATGAGGCCACCATCAGGGGGAGGACTCGCCCCCCGGGACCACTTGCAACACTTGTCCCAGCAGATTAATTACAACATGAATATGCATCACCCGTATCGAAATACAGGTACAAGTAGCACTGCTGGTGGTGGTAGTGGTGGAAGTTCTTATGGTTACGGAAATGTGGTTAGCTCTTCTGGACCAATTTATTATCTGAGATCGGCCTCATCCGCTGCCCCACATGAATACGAGGGCAGCGGATCAGGATTACAACAACTGCAGCAGCAGCAGCAGCAACAGCAACAACAACAACAAGTACAGCTCCTGGGTCGGGTTCATGAGCCGAATATGGTTTTGGAGTCGGTGCCTGTGGTCCACGGGAAGGCAGCAGCCAAGAGACTGAGGCTATTCGGGGTGAACATGGATTGCCCCATATCGGAGTCGGATCATGAATGTGACATATTGTCGTCGTCTTCATCTCAATATCATCATGCTACAATGGCATCTCCCTCTCACCAACTTTCGCCTTCCTCACAACCCCCACTCCAATTAAGGCTCTTTGATGGCACGCCTCTGCACTCAACTACAACAACAACAACAACTTCTGCTAGTACCACCACCGACTTTCTCAGCATCAGAGGCAAGCACCAGGCTTCTTCTCCATTCTCCATGTCCTTGGATTTTGACGTCTGACAACTCCAACAACAGCATCTCACAATGCCAATAAAGACACAAGGGCAAATTCAGAAGAGTTTCGGAGTTGAAAATTTTCGGTTTCGATTGGTGAAAAAAAATCTTCGGTACAGAAAAGGGGTTACAAGGTTTGGGGTTTTTTTTTCTTCTTCTTTTTCTTTGAAGAGAATGAATGAATGAATTCTAAGTGAGGATAAATATGCCAACAATTAATATTATCCAACTCATGTCTTTATCTTTAATAGTTTTTTTTTTATAGCTTAATTTTCATGTGTATAAATATTTTAATTTTTATTTAATATAACAATTTATATACACACAGATGATCATATATAGTCAGCGCAGGTATATTCTATGAAGACATAGATCCATCATTGCCCCAAGATATAATATTTCATGCTTATTTCTTTTTGTAGCCTCTCTCTCTCCCCCTCTCTCTGGAGTTTAGCTTCAACTCTCCCCCTTCCCCAATGAATTTGTATCACCAAGCCACCATGGCTGCCTCTTCTTCTCACTTTTGATATATGAAGTAATTTGTTTCCAATTTATCCTTCTTTTTTCTTTTGGTATGAATATTCTCTTTGGCCACCGACTTATCTCTCTATTCTGACTCTTCTGACTCTCTTTCTCTCTCTCTCTCCACCTCTCTATCTATCTATCTATCTATCTCCCCAATGTTTTGTTGGTTGGTTGGTTCAAGTAAGTAAGTAAATGGAGACAAGCTTTCCTGACTGCTCAGCAAACTGATTATGATCAGTAGTGCTGCTAGCTATAAGCTACCTGATGTAATTGCAGTTTTGTATTTTACCTTTGGTAGGTTGTTGTTCTTGTCGCTGCTTCGTTGGGCACACCACCGCAGGTTTTTCAGACAGACTTGCAGAGATTAAAAGCAAAGGTAGGCAGTTATATATATATATACAAATCTTTAATTACTATTTGTTTGTCTTCGTCTTTATTTTCGTCATTAATTCTAGCCACCTTCTTTTTCTGTCTGCACAAATGTAATTTTCTTAATTTTTTTAAAATCAAGTCTCCTCATTAATTTAGATCCTATCATGTTTAATATTAATTATAGCAAATAAAAATCACGATTTCATTAATTTGTAAGGCTTTGTCATAGAGTTATAAATATTAATTACAGCATACATACCTGGTAGAAATATATGTTTATGTATATATAATATATATACATGCAAATTGCAATTAATTGCATGCATGAAGTCAAATAAGCAATATATATATATATATATAGTAATTACATGTGTTGGTTAACCTAATCTTGAATTGTTCAACCTGAAATTATCTAAATATCTGTCATTAGTTTCATCACTATATTGAATTCATGAGAGTGATGCATTGTTATCATAGAATTAGCTAGGGTTGCAATTGATATTATGTAGTTTTTGTAAGAGAAAAGAGAACAACCATCTACTTAAGAAACATGAGATTGAAGATGATGGATGATAGAAACATACAATTTCCAAATATGATAGAAATATATAATTTTCCAATATAGATTAAGAATGCAAACTTCAAGAAACTATACCAATTCATGATTTATTTTGTATACATTAATATTAATAACCATCAAATCTTTTGTTCCCTAGTAAATTTTTCTTGATGCTATGATATATGAAAATATAGCATCTCCTAAGAAAATTTTCAATCACTTTATCGCTATCGTATTATAATGATAGAAAAAAAAAAAAAACAAAAAAATTTGTCGCTATTGTATTATTATTAAGAAGATTTTTGTTTCTTATTGGTAATTTGATCTAGGTTTGTTTGATCTTTAATTGTCATATAGATACTAATGTAAAATATGTTCCTTTTCCTAAACCCTTTCACTCTACTAGTGTTTCATGGTCAGATAAGGATTTTGTGGAGTCCTTTGCGAAACACTTACATAAGTTTGCTTGCTAGAGCAGTATATGAGTGGTTTCTATAATTCTTGGTACTAAAAACTTATATATATTTACGGATACACACAGACTAGCTAGTATTACGTACATTTAGAGTATTTATTTTGCAATTGCAAGGGTATATTATACTACATTTAATTTAATTAGCATTTAACCATGTATATATAGAAAATAATCATCTTTAACCTAAATCAATAAGTGCAAGTCCTACAAGTTTATGTGTATACTTTGTATATGGAAATAATAATTTGCCACATTTATTTGTCCGAAATCCAACGAGAAGACAAAGTAAAACCAGAGTTGATTAAGTCGCAAGGGTTCGATTTAATTGCATATTATGTCTTGTTAGATATATAGCTTGATGTTATTGTAGCCTTCAGGGTGAACCACATAGGTATCTTAATTATTTATCACATAGATGGTTTGTGATAATTTTCCAATTTAAGTTAAATTATTTGTTTTTTTAAAATTTTTATACAAGCGATATTGGGGGAGGGTGGTTTTCTCATACACACACACACTGTCAAGGTGCCATGGGACGGGGTTTCAAACCTGAGGTTAATGGTTTGCAAGTCAAGGCTTTTTTCATTAGGCTAGACTCCGTTGACAATTGTTTGGTTTTTAAAATTTAAACTGATGAACCCTTAATAGTAAAGTTGTAATTGAATTTCCTGCAAAACGAAGTGCATTTCTTACAATGAAGCAGCGGCATTTGGACACATGAACAACCTGGAAATAGCTTTGCACATGATGAAACTATCATATATAGTAACATTGTTAGTTGTTTCCTTGGCAGGTCCTTATCATATATACAGAGTTGTGGATATTCTTTGCAAGTATAGAAAGCTGGTAATATTCTTCGGTAATTAATGCTTTCAGGTGTTAATGGCCGTTTTTCACGGTTTTGGCATGAGTTTTTTTCTCCATAGAAATTCCCAATTGAATGTTGAGTCACCTGTTCACAAATCTTTGGATTTGAATGAAGAGTATAAAAATTCTCCTTCATTTCTGGTTTGGAATTTCAGAAAGGTTGTTGAACTTTTAAGTCAGTGGTGCAAAACTAACTCTATGATATTCCTATCAAAGAAAAAAAAAACCCTAATTCTATTTCGTTTTGCGGATTTTTCTTAGCTACTATTTGATCTAAAGAATCATATATCTTAAGATGTCTCAACAATGCGATTGAGATTGGGAAAGAGTGCTAGCATGAATCAAGTCATGCAAAACTTTTAAGACATATTCATGTATAAAATTGAAGGTAAATTTCTTTTCTTACCGACGCAAATGGTGCATCATCGCCCGATTAAGTTGTTCAGTTGCCTAATCAATTCGAAAAGGTATAATCAAAATGTCCCCTTTAAATTGTTCCATATTATATAACTAGCCATCTACCTCATTCGTTCCTAAAATGGCTCTCTATTTGTACAAGATATACAGAATTTGAACTCTGCCAATTGGGGATATTGTTTTGCTGAATTGCTGCTGAATTGTTGCCCTAGGGATATGCCTTGGTCGTAGTAAAAAAAAAAACTAGATTCCGATTTTATTATTTATACCCACTATCTCCAAAAGTAAAAATCTACTATTTTGCACTCGTTTTTTTTTTTTAAAAAAAAAATTAATAAAAAAATAAATAATAAAGAAAAATTCCAAGTTTAAAAAAATATTAAAAATAAGATGGCCAAATCTGGCCATCGAGAGAAGGGTAGGGGTGACTGAGGAAGAGATGACCAACTGGATTGTCAATGGTGGGTGGGTGGATGGAAGGGGACGGGACGGCAAGGAAAGGAAAGATAGGTGTTTTTTTAATATTTATTTAAAAACAAAAAATTCGAAGATGGGATTGTTGGTATAAAATTAATGGGAAGATGCATGTGATTGATGATGTAATTAACCAGAAGGTTTCGCTGGTAATTTCATGCATGGAGATAATAATTGTCGGATGAAAGAAAGAACTGGATCAATCAAAAGTTCAAAAGTGTTAAGGAAGTCACACATCACATCCTGCTGACTTTCAAAACTTTGATTAATTTTGGTAGAAGGAAACTTGAAGACGGCATATGTGACATGACCAGAATATTCAATGGGAACGACTTTGAACAAAACTCGAAATAGAAAAAGACCCCAATTCTTATCAGAAGCAAAAACCAGAAAATTATTGAGTAGAGATGAGCAGTGTCCTTTCGTAGGCTCTGGTTTATTGGAGCAGTAAAGCATAAGTACTGTTGTGTTTGGGGTTGTCATCCTTTACAAGGACAAATCCACTGCCAATGCTTAAAAGCTTGCTATTTTCCAATTAAATTGACCTCACCATATATATATTTATTATATATATATACAGATTTTCTCTTATACGGACATCTGAACGTTATTACTGTGACTATATCCCTGCTTTCCTCCTTATTTACAATGACGTCCTTATGTAATTAGGTTCAAATGGAAGAAGTGATATATATATTTATATATATATATATATATTGTGTGTGTGTGTGTAAATTGTAATGCATTCAATGAGGCCCCTACCCTGCAACTGGGGGCGTCTATAGATATATATGTATGTAAGTATAGATATATAGGCAGGCAGGTAGGCATGTAGGGCGAGATAAATTGATGATGGAGAGTGGTCAGTGATATCAGAAAATATAGGGATGCTGCTGGCATGCAGCATTGCAGGTAGCAGACCGGACAAGCATAACGAAATATTTTGGACTAGTCCCGATTGCATTTAACAGTTTGCGATTTCCCTACACTCTTCTCTTCTGCAATTATATATCAATCAAACTGCGCTGCGTTCTTTCACATTACTTTGACAGTGATCACGTCCGTACGTTATTGGGTTTTGTTTTCTGACGACATGATAGCTTTGCTTCCAAGCTTATGGCTAGTTAGCTTCAATAATTAATCATGTTGGTGCAATTGGTCCACCTCACATTATGAAGAAATTATATGTCAACCAAACCAAACCCATCTCTTTTTTTCGGTTTAATTACAAACATATTGGCAGGAAGCAAAAGCCAAAACTGATTTTGCTTCTTCTGAATTGCATAAGAAACCAAAACAACCTGACTTACATCAACCTAACCTAAATTGCATTGTCTTCCTAAACAACCTGGTTGGATAACACAAAATATATATTATACGGCTTGGAATATTGTAGGCACACGCGACATGGGTAACTAGCTAAAGGAAGGAAGGACATTAAGGATGACGAAAAAGGAGGTGAGAGGCAAACAAGATTCCTATGCCTTCAAAACTTCAACTTCAAAGCCTCCTCTCTCTCTCTCTCTCTCTCTCTCTCTCTCTCTCAAACCCTGGAGAGAGAAGAAGAGAGAAGAAGGCAGTGCAGTCCCCACTCTATGAAAGAGAGGGCAAGAGTAGGTCTTAGGGTTGAATAGGCGTAATCAATGACGCCAATAAAAGGAAAAGAAAAGTAGTAATATTTTCATTAGTCTCTCTTTCTTTCTTGATCTTCTTTTTCTTCTCATGACTTTGGCCAACCAAGGACGCGTGCAATCTACTCCCAATCCATACTGGACTAGTTCTTCTGCATGGCCCACGTAACGTTGATCTCTCTCTCTCTCTCTCTCTCTTTCTTTTCTTTAGTTTTAATGCACCACATTCCCGTGATATATGAATATATATGAATGTGAATGCGATACCCTTTCTCTCTCCTCATGCTCTTTCTCTCTCTAAAAGACTCCACAAAAACACTCTCCAAGTCCAACAAATTGCATGTGGGTAAATAAAAACCAAAACAATTCAAATAAAAAAAAAAAAAAAAAAAAAAAAAAAAAAAAAAAAACCAAGGAAAAGAGAGTGAGGTGGCGTGGCATGGCATGTAGCAATGTGGCCTGCTTTTGTTTGTTTCCTTATTTCTCCCACTCAACATTCCATGTCCCCAAAGGCCAAATGGACCAGACACCCATCTGGGTCTGCTCACGTTCAGAGAGTTTTTCATCAAAGATGTCAAAAAAAAATCCAACGGCTCTGATCAACTGGGTTTTCACTTTTTGTTCCGTTATTACAATCTGATCACAGACTGTACACACTCATGCAGAAACCAAAAAAGCGATATAAAGAGAGAAGAAGAAGAAGAAGTAACAAAAAAGCTGGTGGGTTTCTGCTACGGCTTTCAAAATTTTGGTGTGAAAGACAGAGCATTAACAGCGACAGTGCAAAGGCAGCCGATCCCATAAAACAACCGCAATTATATTATTAAGGGAGGTGAAAGCAATGGGTCATGGGGTGGGTGCACAGAGCAAGCACACCCTAAAAGCTCCAAAGCAGCCGTAAAGATGCGTAGCAAAACCTTACTATTTTTGTAAAAGAAAGAAGAGAAAATAGCCACAGGCCACGCCCTTCCTTGTGTGGACATATGAGAGAGAGAGAGAGAGAGAGAGAGAGAGAGAGAGAGAGAGAAGTTAACAAGTAGGGTTTATGTGTGGGCCTGAGTTTTTTTTTCTCTGAATTTTTCTGACCCACCTGGATGGGACTGGATGGGATGGGATGGGATGGGATTTGTGCAGCTGATCCATAGCTCTCCCTCTTTTAATGCTGAGTATTCAGTTTCATGCTAAGGTATCCAAACTGCACCGATGATTCCACAGGCCCAGTTGGATGGCCACCCCTATCCCCACCCTAATCCCTTTCCTTTTCTGTCTCTTCCTTTACCCCTATTTCTGTCTTCTTTTCTCACTCTCCGAGAAACCAGTGACTAACTCCTTTTTATTTTTTGACAATGCAATATTTTAAATTACTTCGGTATACGAGTGCAAGAAGGTAGATATATGTTCTTGACCAATTGACCTAATCTATACTCGCAATAACCAATTTCTTTTGTTTTCTATTTTTCCTTTATGAATTTTTCACTAATTAATGAGCCGGTTTAACATTAGACTAATAGTTAGTTGGTAATATTAACGTATCGAGTGACTCTGTTTTTATTTTTTTGAATGTGACGAGGAAGTGGATGGTGGGATTTTTGTGGTTAGCCAAAGGGCATTTGGGTTTGGAATTGTTTTTGGGAAGGAAAATGTGATTATCAAGTAGAAAGTGGTCTACCACATTGGCTGATTTAACTTTACCTGCCTACTTTTGTCTCTCTTTACCATGCTTTTAATTTGTTCCTCAATGCTTATGTAACATCACAATTTTGGTTTCATAAAATTATGAAGATGTGGGTGTGGACCATTTGGACCATGTGAACCATATGGGGCAGAGAGAGAGAGAGAGAGAGAGAGAGAAAAGGGGGTTGGAGTTAAATCATGTTTGATTTACATTCTCATAAATAACAAAAATATATGAGTAATGCTACAATACTTATCATATTTTTATCCCGCATTTCTATACCACATGATGTGGCATATCCATATTATATGTCACATCAATTAAATCAATGAAGTGTATTTTAATTAAGACAATTAGAAAAATAAATCATAAAGGAAAAGAAAATATTAAATAATTTTAATTGATGTGGCTGTCTACCTCAGCTGCCACATAAGATGGTATAAAGATGTGGTATACAAATGTGGTAAGAGAAATATTATTCAAAACATATTGTTATGTTTTTCTTCCTCAGAAATTTGCACATAGGTTTATTTATGATGGTAAATGTAATGTCTGAGTAAAAGAACAGGAGATAAAAAGATGATGATTTAAACACGTAATTTTGATTAATTTTGATAAGATAAAAGTTATATTGATTAATTATTTGAGGGGTTATGGTGAATGATTAAATGGAAACAAAATAGCAAAGTTTGATAGGGAGGTCCCCTCTGCCATGACCTGTCACTTTTGTCTAGGTGGGTGAAGGGCCTGGTACAGAGATGGCTTGTCCAATGTCCATGGTACTTTCTTCTTCCCCACTTCTCCCCACTGGGCTGCAGTAATGTTGCATAATGTTTCATGTGGTACCACATGAACCAACAGTAATTTCAAAATTAATCAAATATTAATGACCTCTGTTCCTATTCATTCACTTTTTCTTTTATTTATTATATTTTATTTTTAACTTTTTGCCCATATGCAAGGGAGGGACCCTTCTTTTTCTATACGACAATGTGCCAAAGTATTGAAAAATGTATTTAATTTGTCAATTAATGGTGGAGTTAAATCAGCTAAACCAACGCTATTATCGATGTAAAAACTTTTTTACTGACACAAAGGCATGCAACCATCTTTTAAAATTAGAGTTGATTTCAGAACAAGCACAATCCAAGGTCAGTGGTTGGTCTCCTGGTCTAAGTTGTCCAATGATTGGAAGGTATCAATTTTTAGTGCAACATTAAACTATAATATATGTTTTTCTTGTCACATCTAGATGTCCACATGTGTTTTTTAGCTTTATTTGCATTATTTCATTTGATGGGTGGGATTAAGATGTAAGGCTTAGCCCAACCCATCACTTTCTCTTTTTCTTTTTACCTGGCTTAGCCCAACAATGAATTTCAGTGTAATTATATCAACTGCAAATTAAGAAAGAAAGAAAAAAAAGAACTAAGCAATGACAAATTTCTTTGCAGCACATCAGAAATGATCCTCTTTGAGATTGTAGATGGGTTTTTTACATCTCTATAATCCTGAAGGAACAGATTTTCCAGGCAATGCTTTAACCAAAATACGTATGTGTCATCATAAAATGGAAATTTTATCCACTGTCCAAGCAAATTGTTTCCACCATCCAGGCACTCAGAACCATCAACCTTGCATTCTAAAGACTTGAACCCTAAATGCAAGTCACTCTATATAACTAGTACTATTATGTACTGCATTTCGACTATGATTTGTACATACAACCAGGTGAAGAGTCTCTAGCTTTCAACACCAACAGCTCCTTCTGGTAGTATCCGGAGAACACGTCTACAGCTAGTGTATGTCTCTTGTTAATAGCTTGCCTGAAACCTAACAGAGCAGAAAATGGGCAAAAGTTAAATTAAAAATGGAAGACATATAAGAATGGAAGGGAAGTAGTTCACCTTATTTTTGTCTAATTTGCGGCCACCCATTTCCAATTGCATGCATAAGACACAAGTTTCATACTTCATGGAACATAATGCCGCTTCAGCCTGAAGCCATAATTTTTTATACACCGAAGCTTGTGGGTCTAACTCTTCCGTGGTCAAATGATTGTCTCTCAATGCGTTGCCCATAACCTGCATCTTACCATTACAAGTGTGAAGTTTCAGTTTCCAAGTAGAGAAACAACATTAAGCACTGATATGATAATTTTCAGCAACAGGTCCACAAATTATACCTGAACGATGTCATTGCTCTTCTCAGTGCCTACGCCACTACATGAAGCAAAGGAATCCAACATTCTCTCAGTGAAAACATGAGAATTAACCTTGCGCCCCTCATGGTCATTCTGATAATTAATCTCTTGTGGAACAGCCAAGGCCTTTTTCCTTGTTACTTGAAACCCCATGTTCGAGCACTGAAAAACATTATTTAGGCTCTCAGAACAACAGAACATATACACATGAGCATTTGTAATTTCATAAAAGAAAATGATGAAATTATTTCCTTCAGCCAGCTCCCAGGTGGACACAGATAAAAGTATAACAAAAATATTACTATAATGGCATTGTTATTACGATAATTATTATTAATCTCATTGTAAGCAATAATATTAAATCTACCGAACATTAAAAAAAAAAAAGGCATGTAAGTGAAGGTTAATGCTCTCACAGAATAAAAACCAGTACGACAATAGTATGAATTCAAATGTAAGTACATCTGTAATACATCTAGAAACTAGTATGTTAAAGAGGGCATCATTTCTATTTTAGAAGATGAGTAAATTGCACATGTATCCATCATAGCATCCCCGCAAAATTTAAAATGTTAAGTACCCAAGAGCTTTCAGATTCAAAATTTCAAACAGGAAAACAAAGTTCAGTATTTTCTTCAAAAAAAATTCTCAACATTCAAGGTCACACACACATACCCCTACCTTGTGCAGCTCTGTTGATTTAACAGGACAGTACGGAGTGCCTGTTAGAGTTATATCAGAGATTGGAACCTTTCCTCCATCACCATGTTGGATGTACATACAAAGATTATTGATTATATTCTGCATCAAGTCATGCTTATGTTCATTTAGTGAATCTAAATCATTCGCGCACTTCTGTACAAGCAATTCTGAGAGATCGTGCATCATATTAAGTATTGTGGGAACATCTAATTTTGAATGTGTAGACAACAACTTGGACAAACCCTCGGGCAAATTGAGCACAGAGCCACTTTCTGAGTTATTAAGCAGGGGATAAACTCTTCCCAGATCATGAATGTCATTAGAAGTCTGAGTTCCTATTCCTTTAATCGATGAAGAAGACTTTGATCCTGCTTGATCAACGGGTCCATGTCCTTTGGAGGATGAATTAACAGCTGAAGATTCACTCTTTCGGAAAGATGAGAAATCATCTCCAACGTAGTCATTTGCATGGTAATCTACAATTGCTTTAGCATGACGAGGAAAAAATTGAGGTGCCAGTGGATTCAAACTATTACGCACTTCTTGTTCATTTCCAACAAAGTCTGAACTCAAACCCCTTGAAACTCCATATTGCCTAGAAGCCAGGGTTCCTTTCCAACAAGGTGAGTCCAAATCAGAGTCATTCTCATCCAAATTTTTTGAAATTGAAACAGCTCCTTTGGGACCAAGATGTTTCAAACTGAAATCATCAGGAATATTGGTTAAAGTAATTAGTGGCTCAGATGTTGCCTTCAGTAATGCACCTATACCCTCACTAGAGAGAGATTTGCCATCTTTGCCTCCTTTTCCTTTGTCATTGGGACTTCCATCATGATGAATCTCTTTCCCTTCACCAGATATCAGGCCGTGAAGATCATTTATGCCAGAAGGACTGCATTTGGAAGAACTATCATAATTGTTCGGTGGATAATTTCCTTTAAAATCCACTTTCTTTGACAAAGTGAGATTCAAGGGTGAAACAGTTGTGCTAGTATCTGACTCAAGCAACACAGCTGGAAATGAGTTATTTGTCGGTAAATGGAAAAACCGTAGATTTAGCTGTATAAGCATCAAGTTTTGTAAAGCCACTATCGCACAAAGCAATTTCGGAATTGCAATGACTCCAAGTCACTTTGGGTGCAGTATATGGTAGCTGAGTTTGAGAATAGTCTTGAAGCCTTGATGTAGAGGAAGTAACTGACATCGGAAACTCATGTGGAGTCGCCCTAGTATTAACCGCTGAAAAAGAGAAAAATCCAGCATCTAGTTGGTCTGTGGATCTTGAAATGAACTGATTTTCAGTTCCTACAGTTAAATCACTGCATTTTTCATGGACACTTTCAGAATTCTCATGATTGGGCTTTGATCCCTTAACTGCAGGCTTTCCTGTACAGAAGCAAGTTATGCATGAAGCTCTTACTGTATTGACATCATAACAAGTAAGCCACAGAAAATAACTTTTATTTCTTACTACCCTTATCGATAATGTTCCTTCCATACAAGAAAGCAAAGGCCCTTTGCAACTTAACAAAAAATGTAGAATAACAGTACAAGAGAAAAAGAAAAAAGGAAGAATTTATTTTTCCTAAAAGTTCGAATAGTTCTTCATGCAAACAGTGAGAGTTCTTCTGAAAACTTAAAATCGTTCTTCACGCAGTGTTATGTGATGCATCCAATAATCATGATTGATAAACAATTATCTTCTCTCTCTTTTTTTTGGTGGTATTTACATTCTCCTATAAGTTACACACCTTATGTAACCAAAGTAGAAAACACTCATAGTGATCGATATAAAGTGCTAGGAGTTGCTCAAGCTTTAAAAAAAATAAACAACTAAAGAGATTGTGCGAGAATGATCCGTTTGTTATTTTGAGTTGATCATAAACATTAAACAAGAAGAGATCAACTAGTAAACATCAACCTAAGAATTTACCACCACAAAGTGGCAAGTGCTTTGAAAATTCTTTAGGAAAATGTTTACTAATCTATCTTAAAGGGTTGCACAACAAAGGTGGTTGCTCTTTGTGAAATGACAATAAAACGTTGTGTACTGGGCATCAACAATGAAAGAACTGAATTAATTTCTCTGTTTAGTAACTTAAACAGAAAAGGGATAAAAACAAACTTAATGCAGAAACTCAATTTCATAAGCATAGTAACCTAGGCAACGAAAATTACCTTGTTCAAGCAAGGTTTCATAAGCCAATGAAGCATTCTTGTTGCTGCAGAAACTGGCTTGGCTGTACCCAAATGATGAAAGCTCCGTGAAATTGGTTAAGGACTCCTTAGAGGCCGAGGGCATAAAACCCAAGTCTGAGGCAGCATTTGCAGATGGGTACTGTGGAATATGAGAATCCTCAACAAACTCCAAGAATGAATAAGGTGCAGTGGAAAATGGGTCATCTTCCAAGTTGATATCAGACACGGGTTTGAGCATGGAAGCACAGGGGTCTGCTGAAATCAACGAAGACCAAGACGGTTGGTGAGAAAAGGGGTTCAATGAAAAGGGCTGAGCTGCAGGTGACAAACGGGACTGAACTACTGACGATGAAGCTCTCTTTCCATGGACATCCCCCTCCATCTCTATGCAATGAAGTTCCAGTCAACCAGGTGGTCAAAACCCCCTTGCCAAACAAAACCCCAGACCCAATATCAGAGAAATCATTGCATTTACTCAAGTAAGTGAAAGTTAAAACTTTTTTAGCTACCCATGAATATTGATAAGCAGAAGAACTCTAAACTTAGCCAAGAAGGCAAATTTAGAACATACCTGTTGCAGAGGAGAAGCAAGCAAAGACTGGTAGAAGCACAGAGGAGGAGGGATGTGCCTTTTGATCAAAAGAAGAAGGGGTCTGTTGGTCTTCCTCTAATTATTAATTGATTTGCAACAAACAAAGAAGTGTTTTTTTTGTTTTTTTTTTTTTTTTTTTTCGATTTTGGTTTTTTGTATATTCACCCTTTGACTCTGACTCTTTATTGTGCCTCCAATTTTTTGTATAATTCTCTTCGGGTGGATACGAATTCATATAACTTTCTATTACAGATTAAAATGTGTCTGTTTTCAAACCCTGTTCTCTAATTTTGGTTTTTCAGGTGTTTATAAAGTTTTATATCATCTCCGAAGTTTAGGAATTCGACACGGATTCTCGTTGTAATTTTTTTTCACTTCAAATTTTTTGTTTCTTTATTTGTTCATATGGGATATACTAATTCTAAAGAAAAACTCAAGTAATTGTAGAGTTTTTACTGGGGAATGGTTAAGCGGGTGACAATGAGTCAACTGACTTTGAATATTTTGCCAATAGAAAACAAGACCTAGTTGTTTATATATTTGTCGACCTTTGAGCCAATACCGTGAAAAAGCGGACATCTCTAATATTCCTTGCAGACCAAACAGTTAAAGACGAATTTGATTTGACCTGTTGCCTTAGGAACGAAGAAACAAAAAGTCCCTGTTGGCTGTTGCTTTCATAACCAAGTTCAGAGGAAAATTCCTAGCAAGTTTAGGCCTGCTTTTCCCATGGAGATGTTTCCCACCAAAGTACAATGGCAGAATATTTATTAATTTCATGTTCAAAACCTCTTTCAGGCTGATGAGCTGAAGAGAGAGAGTGAATTAGATGAGAAACCCTCTTGGTGGTGCAATTCAATTTCCCAAAATTTTATACAGGAGTTGCAAAGCCAAAAAAAAAAAAGGAGTTTTGGTCAAGTCCTGATAGGATTGAAGATCTTTTCAGGGCAACCAATCAGAAAGGGAATCAAGGTGCTTTGAGTGACCACACCCTGTATGACAAGGCTGCACTGAAATCCCTTTCAACTGTAATGTGAAAATGCCAAAATAATCACCATCTCAGCTCAGTTGTTGTCATTATCAAAACAATAATTCCAAACAAACAAAAAATATGAAGTTGGGTAAAAGAGAAAATAAAAAACCAGTAATATACATTTAAGTGCTTGAGATTGCTCCATTGAATATATTCCCCACTCCTACATTCAGCATAAAACCAAGCCTGCATACTGTACAACACTAAGATATGGAGATGGACAGATTTCTTCTTATTTTTCTCCAAACCATATGCACATGTACTAGTTAACAACAACATATAAAAAGTACATAAGATCATGATCGTGGAACATGTTACATAACATAGCACATAGCAGAGTCACATGAGGCAACAAGCATTAACATTATCATCATTGAACATGTTGCTAACTTTGTCATCCCCCCTTTGAGTCACTGGAATTGTCCCATGTTTGTCCCCAACATTGTAGCCATGCCTATAGTAGTTGTAGCTCTCTTTGAACTCATTGATTGTGTCCTTGAAATAGTCACCGGATGATGTGAAGTACAAAGGAGGGTTGGGGTAGGGCCAGAACTCTGCCCTCTTTCCAGCCCTCCTCACTGCCTTGAGAACTTTGTTGCGATCAACGTAACCGATTACCGTCACCTTTTCCATCGGTAGGTCTACGTCCACGGAATCGATCCCTGAGTACACAGAAAATTGATTTTACTGCAGAGTTTTACATATTAATTAATTAATTAGCTGTATGTCACAATTGATTATTTACCTCTGAGCTTGAAAATGGCATTTTTGACAACCCTCTCACAGCCAGTGCAGCACATCCTGACTTTGAGCTCCACAGTCTGTAAAGCAAACACGGTTTGAGAATCTGTTCTGTTCTTGCAAAAAGTATGTTTTAGTTTTTACTTGTTTATTTGCTGAACTTTCCTTCCTTTCTTTGATTCCTTCGTTCCTTTTGTTGTTTCAAACAGCTTTATACTTTTGGCAGTTATTAATTGGAAACCAAAGGGATTAAGAAAAGCCATGTTGGGTACAAGAAACGTGGTTTAAGAGATCAATACGTGACAAACAAAGATTCTGCCATGGTTGGAGTTTCTCCACCATACCAATCGTTCACTGAAACCATGATATTTATAACTCTCTGCACCGCTTCGGACAAGTTTTCTCAAATGTTTTTCTCTCTACTTTTCATGACAAATATATATGTTCTTCTTTGTTTTGCATCTATTTCCCTTGCAGCATGAATAAGACAAGCAGAGGCTTCATGCTGCAACTATGTGAGTGTTTGTGTGTGTATAGGATCTGACAAGCAGGATGAATAGCATCAAACACATGAAGAAGAGAAGCCATATAAATAAAGAGAGACAGAGGGAGGAAGAGAAGCCATGCATGGTGATGAGATACCTCAGAAGATCGAAAACACAATAATTGAGATGAAAGCGAACCTGCAACGAAAGGGGCCGACCCTTTGGCATGTTGTGTTTGATTTTCTCGAAGTGGCTGTTGCTTTTGTAATGGTGATCCGGGTAGTCAAGGTAAGAGAAGTACGCAATGGATGATATGATAGAGCCAAATATTCTCTTTAGTACCGTTGCCATGACCAAGGGCTAGTTGTGTGTTATATATACAAAGAAAGAAAGATGGGAAACTTAAAGACAAACCCAGCCCTAGAAGATATTCCTTTGTAGCCTTGGCATCCCTTGCCTTGTGTTTTTTTATATCTTCGCAATATATTCCAAAGGTGTCCTAAACAATTCCAAGTTAGCAGTTTCTTGGGGTTAAATTCTATGGTTTTATTTTGGGGATAAGAGACTCCCAAATAATTAGAACTTTTAGACAGGGAATGGTATCTAAATCCTCACATTAATGCTTGAAATGTGGGTCAAGCTAACATGGCAGCTGACACGGAGAAGAGAATATCAGCTCTTATAGGGATATGGATGAGCTTATAAGGAATAGGAAAGATGGGTTTTGATGCAAAGGGGACATATATTCTAAATATCTTCTCTCTCTCTCTTTTAAACCAGCTTTGAAAATCACTTACACACAGCATGCACCATCTATCTACAAAGTTATATTCCCATATTTCTATTATCTGTGCCTTCTAGTCTATGTTGGTGTTCTTCATTTCCACAAGCCTATTAGAAATGGAATCTTTTGGGTTCTATACTTTTTAGTTAAAAATATTACTTGGAAGCTCTACCAATAAACTATGCCATAAATAAACTGGTACACTAGCATTCAGAACCACCAAAGTGCTCAACAAAATGATGGCATTTTGTTCCTTCCGGCGGGCGGCGGCCACACCAGACCACACATACCAGAAAACATGTATTTTGGGTCCTATACATGTGATTTGTTTACAGATAAACAAATAATGGACATGGCTAGTTGGTGTACTTTTCTAGCAGCTTCTTGTTCATGTGTTTTAATTTATATTATCCATAAATTCTCAGAAAATAATGCTCTACACGTAATCACACGTATATGCCGTTTTTACTAGTTATTAGTGTGGAATCCTGGTTTACCGAATAATTCTGGTTTAATGGGAAGGTTTGATGCTTCAATTGTTCTGCCTTTACCTGCATTCTGATAACATCTCTCTGCATTATTGTTTAAATTTCGGACAAAAGTATTTCTCATGCCATGGCAAACTTTAGAAGACAAACTGTACAAAAGAAAGAATCTCACATTTGAATATAATAATTGATAACACCTCTATGTTCTTGAAATCAAACACTTTCTCAAGTGTTCTTAGGACAGTTGGAAAGGCAGCGCGAAATGCACACGTAAAATCTAGAGGTTCTAATCCCAATTATAATTTATATTAGGCATCAGATGAGATGAGATCATGTTATTCTTAAGCAGAGAATTTGGTGATGTAGTTCCATTTGATTGTTTTTCTATACAAGGTGCTCACATAGATGCCTGGTTTTGGACATAAAAATTTGACAAAATTGGAATGAAACTTAAGAACCAGATTGGGCACTTACAGTTTCAACCAGAATTTTCTCTACCCTACATCAGAAAATTCTAGAGTTTAAAATCTTTCAGTCCACCTGGAGAGCATGCTTGAACAAAATTTGTTCTTCTCTCCATATCCCACCAAAATTTGTAACTTAAATTTGGCAAGCACCTAATCAGCAGGGGAAAGAAAGGAAATTTGTTTTAATAATCCTGCTTTAGGGACAAATTACAGTTTGACATGTGTTTACAAACTTTCCTTTTTGTGATTTTAACGACTTAGTTTTGCATATATGTCAATATGTGATTTGCAGTTAAAGAAGGAATGACTCTTAATGAGTAAGAAATCAAGTAGTGCTCGAAAAGAAATATAGTAGGCATGCTTGACCAAAATTTGTAACTTAAATTTGGCAATCACCCAATCAGCAGGGGAAAGAGAGGAAAAATACCATTTCTCCTTGCAAACAAATCACCATTTGATATATGTTTAGAAACTTTTCTTTTTTGTGATTTTTAATGAGTTACTTTTGTATGTGTGTCGGTTTGTGATTTACGATTAAGGAGGAATCGCTTCTTATAAGAGCCAAGTAGTGTTCGGAAAGAAATATGGTAATAGTAGGCATATATAATACAATAAAGTCTTTGAGCATATAACCATTCAATCTATGCATATATGGTAAGAGAAGGGTGTGATATCTACTAACAAATTGATCCTAACTTTCTGAATTACAATCTCTTACCAAAATGCAATGCATCACTTATCTCTTGGTTTGCCATTTTCACCTGAAAGCAGCAAAATTTTGCATTCCAATTTGTGGTCACTTTCACTTGAATTGCACACAAATCTAGTGGGGAATACACACAAATTACTCATGTCTTCGGATGCAACCTTTGTACTAACTGGGGCCATATTTCATTTCAGGCAACCTTTGTAGCGCGAAGTTCCTTATTAGCTGGGCCATATGTACTTCCAAATACTTGGGAAATCATAATTTTTACTGGTGTCATGGTCCATGAAAAATCTAGGCCATGTTGGACTACATCCCCTCTGATAAGTTCTTGCCCACTATTCACAAATTCATTATCTCATTTCATATTTGGAATATTCTGCAGCACCCACCCCAGTTTTCTGGTCCACATAAAAAATGGTAGCTTTTGTGGTTTCAACTTTGAACATACTTGTCTTTCCGGGCCCTCCCATATGTGGAAATAGGTGTTCATCCTGTGCCATTTTTTAAGCCCGTCACTCCACTGTTTTCCTGGTGCAATTTAGAAATTTATTGGTAAAAACAGAATCAGATTCATCCAGCGAATAACTTTTTAAAACCCAATACAAAGCATACAGTGAATAATATGTTGGTTTTTTCTTTTTTCCGTCAACACGTCTACAAGAGGAGCCGAGTAAGGGCAACACCACCAACAAGTCCAAAGAGGCAAACCTAAAGCGAATGAACAATTACAAAATTTATATAAGCATGATCTCAAACTAAGCTCGCAAAACCCGAACCAACCCGTAAACCGAAATGAACATCACTGCCAACACCTTAAGTAACATTGCCGTCACACTTTCTGCATCTAGACTTGAAAGAAAATGCAAAACATGAGCGAGTTTGGAGGAAACTTGGTCTCCAATTATCTAACTGCGCCTAATGCAAACAAACATCCAAATCACATACCTATAGCAAAAAAACATCCAGACAATTGCAACAATCTCCTTCAAATATGAGGTAGAATCATGAGCGCTAGCCCTTCTCTCTTGGACAGCAAGCAAGCAACCTGACCATGCTCCCGCTGCCCAAGTTAGATGTCCTCTGGTCCAAGGACCTTGTTGGGGTTGCTTCATCCTGGGCTTTGTACGACTGGGTCCTATGTTGTCCGTGGAGTTAAAATGGGGAAAAACAAAAATTAAAAATTAAAAATGAAGTGGTTAATTTTGCCTAGACCCTGTCCATCTTACTTTTTCTTTCTGGAGGAGTTGTGGTGACGCAAACACACTTCAAATAAAAATACAATAATGATATGGATAATAGTCATCATCTATATGGATAGCAGTCATCACTATATACAAAGCAAAACCCATTATATCCTAAGGCATAAATGTCTGTCCCATTATTATTAATTTAGCCTTTAGTCACGTGTTTGTACCTGTTAACAAATTTGATCATTTTCTTCAAAATTATGTTAAAACTTAAAAATAGAGATATTTAAAATTAATTAAAAAATCTGTAGCTAATTATAAAGATTTAAACTCAAATAATAATTATGCTAAAATGATTAAAACCCACACAACCTCAACCACCACTCCTCCAATGGTCTCGATTCCTGTAGGAAAAAAAAAGTTTCCTAGTCAAATTGATGCCTACTCTTTTCTTACTGCGATTTTTCTTCTTGAAGCCGAGAGAGAGAGAGAGAGAGAGAGGTTGTGGTTTAGGTGGGGTTGGAATGGTGGTGAGGGTGGCTATGGGTTTGGGGTTGGAGTGGTGGTGGTCTGGGTGGCGGGGTTTGGGAGGTGGTTGAGGTGTGAGCTCGAAATTGAGGAAGGTGAAAATTTAAAATTAAAAAAAAATTATTTTCAGATTGATTTATAAACACAAGGACTAAATTGGCAAAATTAATAACATAGGACTAAATTGGCCAATGGAATAAAACACAAATATAAAATGACAAAATTGGCCAATGGAATAGAACACAAATATAAACACAATGACGAAATTGGCCAAATTGAAAACACGACTAAATTGGCCAATAAGATAAAACACAGAGACCATTTCCATTTTAACATTTAAGCCTATCCTTAATGATAAAAAGTTTTAACAACATTACATATCCAATAAAAGTTCATATCCTTAATGGCAAGTGATAATGACAATGGCGAGTGATAATAATAGTGATAATGACAACGGCAAGTTGAGTAATAATAGTGATAATGACAATGGCAACAATAAGGGAAGCATGATCAGTTAGTTGGTGGTGATTATGGAAGGATACCTAAAAACTCGGCGGCCGACCTTAAAAATATCAACTTAATAATCTAAGATTAGGTCCGAGGATTAAACTGGGTTAACTGCAATTTCCCAAAACAGATTGAAGACATAAAAAACCCTAACTTTCATATAAAAAATTCATCCAATCTCATCAAATTGATCCATATATTCATAACAAGTTATGAACTTTAAAGAATATAGGTCAAAGGGTGGCCATAACATCCATCAAATTAATCAAAAGCAACCAACTTTGTTAAGGGAGGAGAAGAAAAATTCCAAATTTGTACAGAACATTCACCGCATCAGAATTCTTAAAAAAAACAGAGAAAAAAAAATAAACCAATGAACCCTTACACGCTAAACACAAAAAGCCCTATCCTTGAAACATTAAGCAGCAGCAGGGGCTCCTATCAGAGGAGGAGGAGGAGGAAGAGGGTAGGAAGAAACAAAGGGAAGACTTCGGAGGATGAGAAACCGAACCCGCCTGGGAAAAGGAGCAGAATGGAACAAATGCTCTAAAACCCTTGCCAACAAAAACGTATACTCCTCCATCAGCTCAGCCAAACCCGCCACCAGTATCATTTTTCTCTCTCTAGCTTCTGTATCTGCTCACCCGCTTACTTTCTCGAAGAACCCAACTTGAACACAAAAGACTCTTGCTTGACTCTAGAAATTTCTCTTGAACACCTGTTTCTTTGTTTCTTAATCTTCTCTCACTTGACTCTTATACTACGAATTTATACATGACATGTGGAAGTCGGTGGAGGGTAGTGGCAATTATGTGCAGAGGGTCATGTGATCTGATGTGGGTTTGATTTTTGGTTTCTGAGTGAGCATTACCACGGCGCCCCCACAGCCCCACCATATCTAGGCTAGGAGTTTCTAGTTTCCAGTGTGCTCAGCTAGTTGGCTGCCACGTGTGCGTCTCCACCAGATGACTCTCACAGGATTTAGATTTTTACTCAATTTATAAAGAAAAGTTGGTGGTTTTTGGCTTTCTCAATCCTTATCCTCTCTATCCGTTTCTTTATTTTACAATTATTACGTGTCCTTTTGCCACGCAGTGCACTGCATATGCCATATACTTGTCAGTAGACTGATTTGTTCTTCTCTAGGAATCTCTATTGTTTGTTTCCTAAACAATACAGCTTTACTTTTCTGGTGTTTCATAAGCCAGCTGATTTTTGTCCTAGCATTTCAATGGTGGAATGCCAATCGATTACTTGATTAGCCCCTTGATTAAGGCTAACCCAACTGTAATTAGATTACTGCTTTGAATGCTTTCTTCACATTAGACAAAGCTCGAATTTGATTTGATCAGAAAATAAAAGGGGCAAAACAGAAGATAATCAAACAAATTAAATTACAAATTTTACACTTTATTATATGTTGTCAAAGCTAACTAGACTCTATACAGAAAAACAGAGTTGTCTGGAAGTGGAAATACAGACGAAATCTTAATACACACTGTCAAATATTTTTTCTCATCTAAGGCTACATATGCACGCACATATGAGAATGCGATTTACAAGCCTAAACCCCGTTCCAAATGAAGTAAACACAGAGTGGAACGAAGCGCCTAATCACCTATGGCCTCTTCCCTGCAAAGTCAAGATCTTGAGGCTATCCAAATCCCACTAAAAGCTATGAACAGGGTTACAGCTAAAGGAATGCCGACCGAAATAACAAATGTAGAAATCAGGCCACGGCGTTTTGGCAGCGCCTTCGAAGCCACTGACAGCCCCATATGGTTGCTGTGTAATGAAATATCCCTACCCGTCCTTAGCTTCAACTTTCCGGGGGCTTCTTCGGCAGTTTCCCTGCTCTTATCAACCATTTCTGCTGGCGAGTCTTCAGCCATTTTCCCGTTCACTTCCAACTTTGAAAGATGGCACTCTGCATCATGCTCATCGGAATCAGGAATCTTCTGTGTGGATTCTCTGGTCTGCATGAAACAATATTGCTCAGTTAAAATTTGATGAAAACATAAAACATTTATGTATAATTAGAATTCATATATTGGCTTCACCAATAATTCTTACCTCATTAATGGTTGACTGCACTTCATCTTCTTTCCCAGGGGTTGGTTCTCCCACATTGCTATCAGCAACTGGATTCATCTGCAAACGGATTCTTCTGGGAGCAGAGCCCTGAGTTACAGATTCATCTGACTTTAATGGTTGTTGAGGCTGGCGGGCCTTGATCCTGATTCCAGTTATACCAACAATATCCGAACCATAGTTGACAGAGTTCTTCCTACTGGTTAATTCTTCCTTATTATTGATTTTCGCATGCTCTTTCTCCTGTTCATCAGAGGTATGACTTTGCTGTATGGCTTCTCTAGCCTACATGGAACAATCAGAAATAAATTTTATAATGCACATAAAAAAAAGTTAATAAACTGGTTTCACAAGGACCCTTACGTCAGTATTAGTTGATTGTACTTCATCTTCTTCCACATCATCCCTATCTCTCACATTACTATCGACAACTGACCCAGTAGAAATATTCATCTGGAGACGGATTCTTCTAGGAGCAGTGCCCTGAGTTACATAATTTTCTGAATTTGATTGTTGTTGAGGCTGGCGAGTCTTAATCCTGATTCTAGTTCTACCAACCTGATCATAACCATGGTTAACAGAATCCTTCCTACTGGAAAATTCTTCCCCATTGTTGAATATTGCATGCTCATCCTCCTGTTCGTCAGAGGTAGGACTCTGCCGTATATCTTCTCTAGCCTGCATGAACAATCGGAGTCAAATTGATAAATACACATGCAAAGACTCATTAAATTAGCTTCACAAGGACACCCTTACCTCAGTAATAGTTGATTGGACTTCATCTTCTTCCTTCCTATAGTTTGCATCACCCATGTTGCCATTGGCAATTGACCCAGATGAAGGCTTGTCCACACATAAAAGGAGTGTTCTTGGAGCACAGCCCTGATCAACAAAGTTACCCGAATTTTGTAGTTGTTGAAGATGGCGGGCCCTAATCTTGATTGCAGTTCGACCACCATGATCACCACTGTGGTTATCAAAATTCTTCCAACTGGTAGATCCATCCAAACTATTGAACGTATCATTTACTGAACTCACAGGAAACTGCTCAGCAAATGCGGAAGGAGGAAAATAATTGTCAGCCATATTTCCCATTATAGGTTTTTGGTTATCCAGCGATGCTTGAGCTGAAGCTTGGTAATAACCCAATGAGGTTTTCTGCAGCAGATCCTCGGCATCAAATTGCTTGTTGTACAAGCCAGAAGCTCTCCCTTCCTGATCATGCTGGTGCACAAGAACAAAACAACAGCTTACAGTCAGACTTCATCTTTAAATATACTAACCAAACAAATTTATATGATAAATAACATTCAATAAGCAGGCTTGACAGGACAACAACCAAGAATACCACAATTGCGGTGGGTTACAAGAAAGAAGAAGATTATTCTTTTACCCATACCTGGGCAATGTTGGTGTCTGTGTTATCCCATGCACCATCGAGACATGAGTTTCCTGGTGGTGTGGTCTGTAGCATGCATGACTGACCAGATAGATAGGTCTCGTTTCCAACCACCAAGTTCTTCTGACTCGTTGACTCCTCACAGGAACTCTCATAAGGGTTAATGCCAAACTCATCCAAAAATTCTGGGAAGGCTACATCCTGTTCACATGTGCCATCCTGAAAATGGAATCCATTGTTGTAATTGCCAAAGTCACTGGTAAAAGGTGAACCCACGTAATGTTCTAGCTCAGAGTTAATCAGCGATTGCAAAGGCGAAAAGACTTTGCAATCAATCTGGCCACTGAAGGGTTCATCGAACACTTGATTTTCTTCCTTTAGGAGATGCCCCTACAGTTGAGAAGTACAAAACCACAATATTTGGTCACTGAATTATTCATATCTATAAAATTGTGTAAAGTTATAGGAATAGGATTACAGACATGACCAAAAATACAACAAAGAATTGGCATCTTACCTGGATGCCTGTTTCTTCTGCTCCAGGATCTTCCACATCCGAGGCCATAAAACTGTCACCAGGTACCGGAGGCAGAGCATCAGAGCTCATGTTATCAGATTTATCATTCCACCACCTCATGATACTTTCTGATTGCTTTTCACCTTGCATATCAGGTGTAGCTGTTTCCTGAACTACATCTGAGGATGTCTCGTCAGGAGAAGACTTAGTTGTGGTAGGAGATAAGCCAGTTTGTTCTACTTCATCATACTTTAGTACATCAGCCTTCTCTTCTGGCTTATGGAACAAGCGACACAGAACAAAGGCACCCTGCATCACAGACACATAAACACATTTGTCAGAACAAGTATGAACTCATATCAATTCCAGGACATACCAATTTCATAATGCACACAATTTCCATGCCATTAAGTATATGTATACAAACAGAAGGCAAAGAAAGCAGGCATTCTGCACTTTAGTGGGAGAAAGGGACCAAGGGAATACCTGCCCAGGAGCAGTGCCATCAAGGTCCTTCTGAGTGGCACGATACTCATGCATGATCCAGCTGGTGCGCTCGCCCCTGGGAGCGCGACCTCTGTAGAAAACCAGGGTCTTCTTCATCCCAACTTGGCCAGTGCTGTTGGAGGCAGACTTGCACTGGCGGGACTTGATGGTCCTGTCCTTACCAGTGGCCTTCCAGTAGCCAGCATCAGTGGCTCTGTTAGACCTATGGCCATTTGGGTATTTCCTATCCCGGGGGCAGAAGAAGAACCATTCTTGATCATCTGACTTTATCACCGACAGCTCTGCGCAGGCACGTCAACATATACACTAATTACACTCCGTGCATCTACAAGCTAAAGGCTTCAGGCTTCATAATTACTACTATATTCAAATTGGTTAATTAAAAAAAGGATTATTATTTATAATTATCATGATTAGAGTAGGATTACGCAAGGAATCTAGATAATATAGTGACGAATTATTCATGGTGATGCAGAGAATAAAGGAAAATTCTCAGTCCAGCCAGTCATATATTCTCATTCAGAAATTCCGAAACCCCAAATAAACAAAGAAGCAAGCAAAGACTATAAATTTTAGCTCAAAAGCCAAACAAAAACTAGAGAGAGTGACAGAGAGATAATTACTGGGTAAATCCCAAGGCTCCCGTTTGCAAACGTCGATTTCGGGGATCACTTGGACCTCGGAATTACGACCGTTGATCTTGAGCTTTAGGTAGTGGTTGATGAGCTCTTCGTCCGTCGGTCTGAACCGAAACCCTAGAGGTAACGAATCCATTGATAAAACCGCCATGTCTGATCAGTGATCTTCTTCGTCCCTCACTTTCCCAATTCTCAGAACTACTTTGAAAACCCTAATTCACAGAAAATAAATAATTAAAACTACAAGATTTGAGCTTTTGAGTAAAGATGACTAATTGGTTCTTGCTTCTTCTTCTCTCCTTTCTTTTTCTTTTTCACTTTTATGTTTACGGAAAAATGGAAACAACGTGCGCTGCTTCCTCATGCTACACTCGCGAACTCGCTTGTACCACACTTGGCACTACTGGTGGACTGAGTTGACCAAAGGCCAGACCAGCTTCTCATTGGCTGGATTTATATGATCACAAGTGGCTGCGTAGCAGAGGATCCCACTTAGCTGAGCAACGTAGCGCTGCGCTTTGAGCCGTTTGACTATGCCGCGTAAGTGGAAAAGCTACAAGACACCACGTGTCGCCCGTTCTCAGGCTGTCGTGCGATGCAATCCCAGTCCGTACTGTCTTCTTTACCTTTTTTCTTTTCTTTTTCATGTCCTTACTTTTCTATTTGATTCCTCTATCAAATTCGCAGCTGAAATTATTGTTTGTCGCTGATCTCATGGTGAACATGTGTGCTGCATACAATGCAATAAACATGAGAATTTGATCAAATATTAGCTTTTTATCGGGGGAAAAAAAAAGACAAAACATTTCAGTCCTTAAGAATAAGGTATTTGTCACGATTCATCAGACCAAACAAGCAAGCAACCAAGCATGGCAAGTGAAACATCACATGCCACCCTTCCTTCTTTTGTCTCGGTGATCATAAGATTCTATTCACAAGTTGTAATCATGTTCATCTCACAAGCGGGAGAATAATCTTATGAAGAGATATACCATAAGGAATTGCTATGGTTAGTCACCAAGCTTAGTAAAATGATCCATTGTATTTACGGATGTATACATTACTCATTAATTTGTAATTGACAAAATTAAATTACAAAATTCCGTTTGCAATTACAGAACGTAATTTGCGTGTAAAATCGGAGGACAAAAACGACAAGAACAAAAGAAAAAACCGTGCTTAAGTATACGTCTTCGCATTCTTTGGGTGCTAATTATTTTATACAAATTTATAAATAAACCCAATCCTAGACATGTATTTATAAAAAAACTCAAGCACTATTTAAACATAGAAACACACCCAAAATCAACTCCAAAATTAACAATTGTATATTTTTTTAGTGTGTTTATAAATGGGTTTTGAGTGTATGTAATAATGGGTTTTGGGTGTGTTTAAAAAGTGTTTTGGGTGTTGAGTTTTTTTATAATTTCAGCCCCCATTTTGAGTGTTTTAGTGAAACTCCCACTATTTTATTCTAGTCTAAAGTCCAAAAACTATCACAAATCACAAACTCCAATGCATAGGGAAAAGCCTGAGAAAAGGATTCTAGTCCCATATAAAATGTCGCCACTTGCCACCTTTAATAAAAGTCTAAAGTTATATTCTCGGCACTGCGGCACACGAATATATATCGTCTATGTCTGTAGGTTTTGTAACATAATGCAAAGTCTTGTTCAAACCCCAATGACATCCCACTACTTCTCATGCCCTTGGTCGGCTGCCCCATCCTTTCACTCCATAGTAGCCTAAATTCTAATTATTGGACTTAAGTGATCATCAACCGTTAATGTATTGTGTCGTTCATACAATTTAGATCCTACAAAGCATCAACGGCTCATAATCAACTATGAGCCGCATAACTCTAATAAGATAATATGGATGTGCAGTTGAAATAACAACTTTTCAAATCAACTAATAAAATTGAAAATGGTACATTGGAAAGAGGTAATCAGCAATGGTGCCCTAAACAAAACAAACAACAAAGTAAAAATTATACACCTCACGCCATAAAGTTGAAGTTCCACTTCTACATATCTTGTTTATTTACAGCTTTACCTACAAAGCAGGATGGTAACCAAGAGGAACATTTGTGTCCACCCTCTGCACAACTCTCCTCAAACTCCACTGGTGGAAGAATTCCAAGATAAGTCTCAGTGCAGTTCCAAGTCCAAGAACCACAATAATACCTGCACATGTAACAATGTCTCTTACAGGTCACAGTTCAACAACCAACACCACCAAGCATACTAGTTTCATTAGGCACAAACATACCTATAATGATGTTAATGGGGAGTGCAGAGACACCGAGGGTAACAGATATTAGCACGTCCAACAGCAGACCACCAATGAGGATTGAAAATGCCACATAAAGTGGGCTAACACAACCCTGCTGACCAGTGCAAATGAAATAGTAGAATCAGCAACTATCTTCATAAAACTTAATACAATTCTAGTAGATTGATTAGTGACCGCCTTACCCTGTCTCGATTTTGTGACCGATAGGTTGAGTCAACTCTCCAGACCCAGTAGCTCCCCTGCTATGCCAAACACACCGAGAGTTAAACTTTGACATGATATGCTTCCATGTTACCACACAAAAAATGGGTAATGGCACTAACATAAATCTATGCTCATATCAGAGGTAATCATTCTACATCCTGTTTTCAGTCTTACTGGTAATCATAATACTCAATTATCTCTTGTATCTAAAAAAAGACGGTTCCATGGCTGAGGGAATTGGGTTTGGAGCACCACTCCAAAAACCAAAGTTTTAAAAGATAAGGATATGATAAACTAAATGGCTAAATTGGAAAAAATGGATAACGTAATGAGTAAGATTTTTGGATATTGAAAGACTTTGAAACTTTCCTGCTTCAAACTTCAAACTAGATAAACAAATAAACTATATTACAAGAAGTTGTATAGAATACAATTCTTTAAATATAACATTACAACAAGTTATGGGTTACGCTAATTCGATGCATACATACATACATATTAAGTTATGGGTTGATGAACATGGCAAAGGCTACCCTTTGCACCAAAAGGTCCAGAGTACATACAGTTGGCTGGGATTGTGGAGGTGGCACATTTGCAGCTACCCCTCTGCATAAAAAGATTATATCTTTTTGTAAAGTCCGACTTTAGAAATGAACTAATTTACAAACCATGAATGGAGTTAGTGAGTGAATTTACTGGCATATCTCGCATTTGTTCGATCCTCTGGTTCGAAACCAAGTGTCTATACATGATCGGTGGGATTTTGCAAGCCCACCTCGACATTGACATCCAAGTTCTATCAAAACTTCATCTTTCTCCTGCTGACACACTCTGAGGAACAACAAGCACAACTCTATTTTCTAAACCAGATTCAAATAAACTGCAATTGAAAACAAAAAAAATCTAGTTATTTTTTATGATTTTGATGCTCACCTGCATTGTTCATGAGAGCTGGAAGTTCTCGACAGGTCACCCTTTTTGGGAGAAGGTACCTCCCTTGACAAATTGGCGGTGGTTTGCTCATGAACCTCGCGAGACGCCTCATCCAAAACGACGACGTTTAGAAGCGGCGGCACCGTATCACCGACTGAGGAATTGGAAAGTGAGCTAGGCTCAGCTCGGCTATCACTCTGCTGCTTCTCCAAGTCGGGTATCTCGCCATTTTCATTCTCTTTCTCACTTCTCATCGATCTCTCGCTGCTTCTGTGCTCGTCACCTTTGCTCAGAACCATAGAGAGCCCCCAATTGAATCGAATTTCCAGTTACGCTGACAATTCACATCAATTTCGAAAATTGAGAGGAAATTATTATAAATCAACAACAACAAAAACTCAGTGGTAATTAGGGTGGTTTACCTCTTGTTCGAACTTCAGTCATAAAACCCACAAGCTCTCAGGCTTTGGCATAACGAGAAGAGGAAGAAGAAGAAGAAGAAGAAACAGTAGAGGACATGAATTTTTGGGGTTTTAGAAATTTGGTGCTCCTCTCTCCAGCAGAATATGTATTTTAAGGAAATCATTTTTTGTTTAGAAGTGGGGATAGCCTGGCCCAGTTTTATCTTTTTGTTTGGGCCTTTGCCCCTTTTTTTTTATTTTTTTTTATTTTTAATAAATTAAAAAAAAACATATATGTATTTTTGGGGTGCTTTATAAATAGAATTTTTGGTTTTAAAAATTAGACTTTGCTAAAATTTGATATTAGAAAAATAGATGATGAACTTTCATACTTAAAATGGTAGATGCTAGATGATACTATGATCGTGACATAAAAATGTATATAAGAATAAGGACATAGGATTAAAATAAACATGACTTAAATTGTATGGTTCTCCCGACAACTGTTAAAGCTAGTGAAAAATCTTTAAGAATCGAACTATAGAGAAAAATGATTTAGAATTTAGTGACATGTTTACTTATGAGTAATAAGTATCATAATCATTCCAATTCATTGTAAGGGCAATAGCAGTTTGGTATTAATAGAATGGAAAAAGCCCCATAGTGACATGTTTATTCCCGAAGGTTTTGAGGTTTTTCTCTACATCATCAAACATTTGCATTTTTTATATCTTCAATTACACCATTTTAGCCTAGACTTAAATTGATATTAATAGAATGGAAAAAGCCCCATACAAGATTTTGTGAATATATAAATATTAAAATATCCATTATCTACCTCACAAAAATAACAGGATCCATCAACATGGCAATAAGGTAGGAGGCACAGTTAGAGTCATGCCAAATATATTTCTCAACCAACCCAACTGCAAAGATTGCTTGTGTCGACTGCTCACTCTCTTCATGAACTCATCTCGTAGCCCTATCTTGCCAATCAAGTCTATCAAGCTTTCACTGTAATCTCTCCTCTAACTCCCTGTGATGCGATCAGCATTATTATGGCTGGAAATTAAAGGACTAGATCAGGTGAAAGCATATTTCATGTATCAAAACGATCCAGTCAAATCTGACACACCAGGCCACAGAAGTGTTTGGGACAGAACGTTGGCTCCTCTACTTGTTAGTTTGCGCATAAGATTCCACCCATGTCCCCACCTTTGACATAACGAGTTCCAGTAATCGAGAAATAAGCGTTGGCCTTTGTGGCTCCTGATACCATGAAAACACTAAAGAGATAGAAGAATAGTTTCAGAGAATTGTAGAAGAAGAATAGGATTTTCTGTTATTATTTTATCTCTTTAGTATTTTCATATACTTGCACCAGTTTCCTGATAATAAGCATGCCATAAGTAACTAATAATGATTTCAAGAAATTAAGCCAATAGAATCCCAAAGAGTCCGAAATGGTAATATTAGTTCAAATTTTGGTTATTGGATTATCAAGTATTTGTTAATTGGTATTAGTCTTGTTGCCACAGATGGTGAAATTATGTTTAAAAAGAAAGCAGACCAACAAAGTGTATTTTCCGAAATAAATTTTTTCATATAGAAACCATTCACCAACCTTCAGAAAATACACTTTATTGGTCTGTTCTCTTTTTAAACTTAATTTCACCATCCCAGTGACCACCAAGACTAATAGCCATTAACAAATACTTGATAAACCAATAACCAAATAGACAGACAAAAACAAAACCGGCACTGTGAGTGGCTTTTACTATGAAATAGAGTCTTGCGGGATTTATTTGTGAAGAGCCTCATAAACACGTCCTAATAAGTATCTCTATCATGAAACTTTTACTTTTGTTTTTTGTCTCTTCAAATCACACCATTGGCCTAGACTTAACTGCGTCAACAATGTCGGAAGGTGAACATGAAGAAAGCATGGTCAAATGAGATTGGAGAGACAGTGAGTCATGCCAGATACATTTCCCAACTAACCCAAATGCAAAGATTGCTTGTGTCGACTGCTCACTCTGTTGCCAATCAATCCTATGCTTTAACCACGATCTCTCCTCTTAACTCCCTTTTGCTATCACCATGTATTATGGTTGGCAAATTCTATCAGGTGACAGCACGCAGCACTGCACGTGATTAGAGTATACCCACCATGCTGAGTTCCGGCATTTTTTTCCGGCAGTTCATGAAGAGTTTTGTGAAGTGGAAGAGCTGGCTGCAAGAATAACGGAAGCTGAAAATATTACAAAGCGGGAGATAGCTAAATGTGGAAATGTGATGTCTACTTTTGGCGAAATTCTTGAGTGAGGCTGCCCTATGTGGTAACTCTCTCACGCCACATTGTGTGAGAGTTGCAGTAATGTAAGGATACAAGAAACTACTCATAAACAAAAGAGAGAATATAAAATTTGTTTATATGGTGGGCCCGGTAAAATCTCTTCTAAATCACTAAGAACTTACAAATCAAAAAGTAACTTTAAAAGGTTTACAAATTATTTGTGTGTAGTAATTTACGGATCTCATGTTGTAACGAGAAGATAGGCGAGGCCTTTCAGATATTCAACAATTTCAGATCCTCCAAGCTTTGAAATTCCATATACCCTATCAACAAAGCTGATTGGAACCTGTGGATGGGTACATAACCAAAAACAGGTACAAAAGGGAGATAGTCAATAATGCGGTTATTTAAAAGCAAAATGAAGGGCATGGACAAAATTAAGTAAAAAACCAAACCCAAATCTTCTTGGTATATCCAAGGGCTTATATGAGCACTCACACAAGCAAAAAGGGCAGCAGGATTCAAGCCACGATTTTAATAGATTAATAATATTCCTCGACTCTAATACTTCATACCAATGGTTACATTATCTAAAATTAATAATGAAAAGAAAGATAATAACCTTAGCTTGCATTTCGTCAACACATTCAAGCATTTGTACATTGAGTGCGACCAAACTTTCACAGTTTCCAGTTGAACCAAAATAAAAGTGAATAGCATGGTAAACTATTAGTGAAAACAAGCCATGGGCATCTCTTATTGGTTCCAGGCTGTGTGATTCAAACATTTATATATCAAATACAACCACAGAAATCATTGTTACCACAATTGAATACATATCGATTCATTTCTAATGAGCATGAGAACCTCTTATTGTACCCGTGTTATGGTTCTTAATTTCTGTCGGGATCTGACAGAAATCACAATCTAAACAAATGCAAAGCTGATAAGCACAAGACTTCACTATAATTTAAAATCAACATCCTAATTTCCGCAGAATCTGAAAATCAGAAAAATAACAAAGAAAAACCATTCATGGCAGGAGGCATGAACACAGACACAAGAACCGTGCTGTTTGTTATTAAGAGATAGGAACAATGGAATAGTGGATGTGACGATCAAGAGAGAAACAAAAAGAAGACGTGGGCAGTACTATAAGAAAATTGGAACTTTCAATGCTGTCAACAAGCAACAGCCACAGATACAAAACTAGCTTCATGATCATGGACTATCAATTTCAAACAGAAGCTTCAGGCAAGCATCTATGATATAATTGTACCTACCTCTTCGATATGGTAGCCTTTTCTAGAAGCTCGAACTATCATCTCCATCTGAAAGACGTAGCCCTTGCTGACACAGGAACTAATGATATCTTCAAGCACTGATTTCCTGTAAAGCCTACAAAAGAACCACATCAATGTCAGTCCTATAATCGTGTGAAGTGTGATATACTATCTAGCTTAGTACATCAATTTAATCATGTACCGAAAAGATCCGGTCAAATCTGATACACCAGGCCATAGAAGTGTTTGTGCCAGAACATTGGCTCCTCTACTTGTTAATTTGCGCATAAGATTCCACCCATGTACACCCCCACCTTTGACATAACGAGTTCCAGTAACTATACTTGCACCAGTTTCCAACTGTTTCCTGATAATAAGCATGCCACAAGTAACTCAGAATGATTTCAAGAAAAAAATAGTGAAAAATTTAGCTGTGCCCCCTCAACTATGACCTGTGTGTTCCACTTTGCCTTATTAGAACGTTTTGAAAATTAAGGGGGTCCTCAAAGCCAAATTGAAAATCTAGGGGGGCAATGTGAAACACAAGCAATAGTTCAGGGGGCACAACTAAATTTTTCCTTAAGTATACTATGGTATAGTGGGTAAGGACAAGAAAAAAAAACTTGTTCTTACTTGATGAAGCTTGGCAAATACTTCGGCTGCATCATGAGAAGTAAACAGATCAAATGAATAAAACTATGAAGACTATAAGAAATTGGAAATTCACTGAATATATGAACATTCAAAGAAAGGAAAAAACAAAACAAAAAAACATACTCAATTTTGGTCCAGTGGAAGACTCCCTTATCACCAAAGGAAAGAGCTAATTCAATATTTGTAATTGTCTTCTTTGAAAAAGTGACATGAAAAAGGTGTTGATGGTTCAAAAGAAACTACTCAAATAATAATTTCCCCTAAATATTTCTGGAAATCAATATGTACAAGACGCAATCAATAGCTTTAAGAAAATGAGGGAGTACACTCTATACTAATACAGAAAGGAAACAACTTTTAATAGAGAAAAGTTTCCACGTTGCTTTTGCAATCCAAAATTAACAAACCACCCACCCTTTCCCTTCATCGTGTCATCTAAAACTCTTGGCCAGTGGGAAATTATCCCTTCCAATGAAATATGAAAAGTAATTTCTCAAGGCAAACACTTAATGATGTGGTAAATACTGAACAATAATCATGAACATCCTAAAGACATACTAATACTTACATGGTGTGATAAATCCGCGTCCATGATCACAACAAAATTCCCAGACGCATGCTTCAAACCATGAATGTAAGCCGTTCCTGAAATTTTGCAAAACAATAGAACAAATTAAACCATATTTGAATTTTGGCAATTCTATTTTATTCAACTGAAAACAGAAAAATAAAAAAAACAAAACATAACCACATGCCTAATCCAAGCTTCTTAGCTCTAGCTCTCAACAGCTGCACCACAATAAAATACACAAATAAACAAATGAGACCCAAAAACAATCAAAACCAGCCTTGAGAAACATAATTTTTTTTTAATGCAGAACACGATTTACTCACAATCCGATCTTCACCATAGAGTTGCTGCAATTGCTCAACAACCTGCTGAGTACCATCAGGGCTTCCATCGTCAACGATGATTATCTCAAAGTCAACGTCCCTGCACCCAGAAAACGATATATTTGTGATGGGTTTTCCTGGAATTTCATTTTCATGAATTCAATTGCAGAGAAACGAGTGATGGAGATTTTACCGGAGATGCTTGAAGATGAGGTAGACGAGGAGGGCAATGTTCAGGCGTTCGTTATAGGTTGGGACTATGATGCTGTACTTGTTCTTCTCCATTCTCAATTTCTCATTCACTCGTTCTAATTCATCAGCAATCTATGCATATGGGATCAAAATGGTTCATAAATTAGTTAAAGAATCACAAATCAATTTTGCCCTAATTAATCATTTTTGCACAGAATAATTTCAGGGTCGCTTGGGCCTGCTTGACCTGCAGGTTGACAAAGGGTTAGTTAACCGTGGCGCCAATTTTGGGACAATATAGGCCCGAGGTATGTTCGTGGCTTGGAAAGACCCAAGACTCACGTTTATGAAGGGGATACTACAGACACCCATAAAACTGATTGGTACACCCGGAATTAACAAATACTGTAAAATTCAAATCTTTTACAACCTTTTTATTTATTTATTTATATTAGATTCATTGAGAAAAAATAATAATAATAATAATAAGAAAAAAATTCTCGACCATGATTGATGTTTCCTGTGTGAAAACATCGACACCATTTTAAGGACTCAGATGGGCCGAGAAGTCAAAATATCTTAATTTGAGGTGGTAGCCGAGTTACATAAAAATTTTGTTTCAAAATTGTATAGAATGCTAGGACATCCCATGCCTACACGTGGCTTCATCAATGGAGATGGGGCAACGTTACCTCCATCACAAATGGGCACTTAGAAATCAAAATTGTGTGGTTGTTTTTTAAGAATTATTCGGTTAAACGGCATCTAGTTTTTATTTTGTTGGAAGAGGTTTTGAGTTTTAATCTCATACAATTTATCAAAAACAAAAACATTCAATCATCATTGGTATTTTTGTTCTTTATCAGTTTGTTTCAATCTACTAAACCTCCCAAAAACTAGAGTGTGAGTAAGAGTCACAAAAGCATAAAGTTCAAAGAGTAGGTGAACCAAATGTCAAGCAATCCCCTCCCTTTTGCTATCCTTCTTTCTTTTGTGTTTTCCATCTGAAATGATTAATATCCTTGTATTGCCAAGTAAGGCATTCCTTTATTCCAATTTCTACATCCTCTGGATCAACTCTTTATATATCTATCTAGCTCAATGTTTTCCTCAAATCTCAAACACAAACCCAACTCACAAAATCATCCTAAACTTCCCCCCTTTGTGGCCTCTCTCAAAAACAATGACCAACGAGTCAGTCAAAAACAGCTGCCAGGATGCAGGCAAGCACAAACAACTCGACAGAGAAATCAGAGACATGGTCTCTGTCATCACCAACCGAGTCACTGACCTCCACAAATCTGGCTCAGCCCAGCACGAAGACGACGATGAAAACGGCGTGAGAATCATCACACTGGCTGGAAACAACAATGGAGCCTCACTGAGAAGTGAGCTGGATCATGAGAACAACAACAAGCCAGCAGGGCTTCATGGTGGTGGGCCGGCATTTGGAGAGCAGCCTGATGGGTTGAGCACTTATGTGAACAGCAATTTCCAGAGCGTGAACAATTCTCTTATGATGGGTGGCAGCTACAGCACGAATGATCCCGGTGTTCGGGTGGATATCACTGATGTTGTGGAGCCTCATGGGTATCATACCAAGCCGGAGAAGCGTGGATGGAAGGGGAAGAAGAAGGAGAAGGAGAGGGAAAACTTCCACAGTGACCAACATCATGAGCATGATGATGAGTGAGGAGCTTATTATATATATATATATATATATATATATGTCTTGATTTCCCATGGAGTGGCTTAATTACCAACTTTAATAACAAGCCTTTGTAAGGCTTTATGGTTTTATGTTATGTAGCAAGTAATTGAAGAGACAAAACAAATGTTATTGCGTTCTATATATAATGTATTGTCTGGTCTGGACTTTCTCTTTTGGCTAAAGATTGCGACAACTATGTAGCATGTCATTCACGGTATTTATTTATTGGATATTGTGTTTATGTGTTAGGTTTACATAACATTAGTTTCTGTCTGATTGCTCTGTTTCTCTGGCAAATTATCAGTGCTGAGATGGAGGGTTTCTTTGTGCACTCTATCATCTGATATTGCAGGGATTGAATTTTGTTAATAAAGCAAAGGACTAATTGTGCTCTAGTGTTTTGATCATTCAGTGCAATGGCAAAAGCAGAAGCAGAGGTTCAATGCCATTAGGCGAATTCATTTCATCTTAGACTGAAAGAGAGGATTTTTGCTCACCACCCCCACCTTAATTGTTGTCGGATGAATTTAATTTTTGAAGTTTGTGTAGTCCGATGACAATTAACGTAGTGATAATGTTCACTAAACAGCTACAGATTTCTGCCTTATTGTGAATTCTTGCCTTCATCATCTACTAATTTGCTAACCTTCCACGAGATTATAAACTCTTAAACTCCCAAGGTTCCACAAAGAACGACAAACATCTAGAAAATGGTAAAGATTTCAACTACAAAACCAGTATGTATTTCAAATTCGTGTAACAGATTTCATTACCATAGCTTTAACAAAGAACCTTGGGGACATTTTTGCAACCATCAGAATAAAAGAGGGGGGATAAGTTAATCTTCTTTTATTCTGGTTATGCCAGCTGATTTTTTTTAGCTTCCTAGGTAGAAGATCATAACAATCAAGTGGGAGGAAAAAAAATGAATGCCTGTGAATTGGAAAGCATATGAAACTTGGCTTCATGGACGCCGCGAATCAATGGAGACCGTGATGGCTGGTAAATGTGCCTCCTGCTCCTTGATGGCATCAGTTTCTTGGACTAGTTTTGTCACACACTTCTGCATCTCTTTTTTCTTACCCCAAAGAAGAATGTACAAGCCAATGATTACAATCACAGATCCCAACAAACTGCTCAATGTCAAATGCAGCACCAATGAGGAAGTTAGCACCACAGGTAGCAATTATAAATAGGTATTTTCAAGTGCAGAACATATGGGAAAATTCACCTTCCAAGGTGGAGTTGTTCATGGAAAATGGGGATACTGATTAGCGCTGCCAGTATCTGAACGAGGGGGCTAAATGCTGCAGTAAACACAGGACCCCTTTTCTTGACACACCATGACATCCCCACAAAGCCTAAGCCAGATGCTATCATTCCCTGAACACATCAATAGTTCTCTAATGAACTCAAGTCACTCAGAGCATAAAATTGATTGGCTCTCTTTTTACTAATTTTTTTCTTTAGAAGAAAGGAATACTTACAGAAAACAGGACAGTGATGACTTGTGTCCTTCCCCTCAGAACCCACATGGAAAGGTTCCTTCCAGTGCAGAAACCCAAAATGGCAGACTGAATGGCACCAAAGAAAGTCATTATGGTTGTGCTAGAATATTGGCAGGGATACATCTTGCTTATGTTTGATTGTACAAGAAACCATGAAGACCATAAAAGGGTTCCTACAACCAAAGCTATTGAACCAATGGTCCATCTCTCTTTGTTTCTGATGTGGCTCAGCTTGGTCCCATGATCCATGGCTTGAGTGGTTGTGGTTTTTGAATGATCAAATAAAGGAGCTCCTTTGTAAAGAGTCAGCATAAAAGCACCACCAATGCACACCAGGGTACCAATTACTTTGGCTCTTCCACTGTTGCATTTTAAGTTCACTGTCTCTAACCTGTAAAAAAAGGGAACAACATTTCATACAGAAGCCTATAAAATTCATGAAACATGTAGTTGTGGTACTTAATGATTGAATTCGTACCCAAACGGTAATGCCATTATGAATGTGATCATAGGCACCATGTTGATGAAGGCACAGGCAAAGGTAGCAGATGTGTATTGAATTCCAAGGAGAAAGAAGTATTGTGTGATGGATGTCCTGCATAAAAGTGTTACTTAGGTTATGTGTTCAGCTCTGTAAGCAAGAAAATAATGCAACTAACATGAACAGATGGAAATTCAACATTAAGTCGTAATTTTACGAACCCGACTATTGCACTTAAGAAGAGGAAAAATAGAATGCGAAGTGTGAGCTTGGGTCTACTAGTCCTGCAAGCAAGCTTTGTTTATATGAACTAGTAAATGAAATGAAACAAAACAAAAAAGTACTTAAAAGAAAAAATGGAAACAACAAAAGGAGTAAAGTCTTAAGCTAGCTAGAAACTGACGCTTGCCTACCTTTCCCGAAAGTAGCTAATTGGAGCTAAGAAAATGGTAGAAATTGTCAACCGGTACGTAATTAGAACCAAATGGTTCATTCCCTCATCAAGGACTTTCTTGAGAAGAATATTCACTATGGCGAAGCAGAAATCGATTGCTACCATAGCAATGAAAGGCTTCCATTCATCACAGCTCTTCATGACAGCCATTTAATATCCAACAAATCTTCAACAGTGAGACTAGAACCTCAGCTAGCTCTCACTCTCCTGCAAAAAAAAAATTATGAAGCTTAAACAACACACAGCACTCTAGGAGGAGGCAGAGCAAGACCTCTCAATTCTGCCTTTTTGCCAATGAAATTCTTATGCTTACTAAAGCACCTGAGGCAAACACCTGACTGATGAGCTAAATAGACAGGCTCCAGAATAAGTGGGCACAAAGCAAGATTAAAATTCTTCAAATCAAATCACTGCTTTAAGCAACCAACTTTGACATTATTTAATGTTTGATTCCCTTTCTTTTTGCTTTTTTTTGACTGATCCTTTCCGATATAGGGAGATTAATTGGGGAATCGTTTGCTAGGCCTGCACGGTTTATCAGGCATCAATCCATGATCTCATGCATCCCTAGCAGCTGTAGCCTTTGAGGTATATAGGCCATGAGTTTCCCATTTGCATATTTCTTTTCTTTTTTTCTTTTTTTGTATACTATATCAGGTGATGATCTTCACAACAGTGAAGCTTCTTTAGTCAACAACTCTTACTATATTAGGCATCTTTTGAGTGGTGGTGTAGGAAAGAAATACTCTTACCTTCTTCTGTGCATGGCATCTAATACTTTCTCATCTCTGAAACATAAATAAACAGCATATGTACAGCAACTATGTGGCCTAGAACAAAATGTCAAATCTTCCCCACCAAAAATCTTAAAGAAAACGAAAGAACCATAATGTTTTGAAACACGGTTTGCTCACAACCCATTAGGGGAGTGGTTTAGAGCAATTGCTCCTCTGGATTCGAGTCATAGCATACGTGTAGTGTGTATGAGTTTGGTATATTATCGCATCTCTCAATAGAAAAGGTCCTTCAAAAATATGATTTGCTCAACTAACTTATTTTGATGAACCCATATGTTAATTGAGCATATACAAAAGATTGAAATGCCCAACTTTAAAGTAAATAAAAAAACAAATGCTGCATATGGATATATAGAGGATAATATTACTTCCATAGAGAGAGAAATGAATGATCAGACAGGAAATTGTAGAAAAATCAAAGCTTTCTGTTCATTCACAAAATGATAGGCATGATAATAAAGATGTGATGAGGCTAACATTATTGAATCAACGTTGTCATTATCTTTAATAGCTAGCTTTTAGGTTGAGGTTGCTCTCCTTTTCTTCAAATTTTCAGCAGTGTGGTACCAAATTCAAGAATCTATATGTCAAATAAGCTAGCTTTCTGGCATGACCATGACCATCAAACAGTTGCTTTTATGGGATGACTACGACCACTCTTTTTTTGGGACCCTTTGCATGTCCATAGCTAACTTTTGTTAATTTGCAGGTTTTGCCGACGTCCTACTTCCACTAAGGATTTTAGCTCAAACTTTGCATATCTAGGTAGGGGATTAATCTATCCTATTATGAGCTGAAGAGAAATGCTTAGGTGGGCCACCGACGAGCGCGTGGATAATTTGTGACTGTAGATGCATGTGGATTTGGTAACGAGGCGTGTATATATTGGGGACTTGACATCTCTTATGTGCCCACACATGCGACCGAACTTAGCAAAATCCTATGAGTCACTTTGATTTTGTTCAGCTTAGTGAGCCTATTTCCCATCATCTTAAAACTATCTTTTTCTCAAGTAGTTAGTGCATATCTATCTACCCACTCTTTTTAGTGCAGATATTTAGGAGACACTGAAAAGTGCAAAGCTTCACTTGATACTAATCTATTGGGGGCATTCAGCCTCTTTCATGGGTTAAAAACCAAAAAGCAAAAGTTTATTGCAACACAGGAAAACACGTCCATGATTCATAAAAACCACTCATTCATGCACCTAATTAGCCCCAAAAGATTTATAAAAATGAAAAGTAAAAAGAGCTCCAATACACGAAGTACTGATATGCCATGTGTCAATGCAGAATAATATACCATTTCAATTAAAAATTGCCACGTGTGCAAATTTGATAATTTTGTCACTTTCTGCTTATTTACATAAATTGTTTATATACAATTGGGTTATTTATAGATGAAACTTGCTTAATGACATAAATGTTGAAAATATGCCACCACGATCCGTGCATATGTACACCCTACTATGCAGATTGTTGAACCTAGAGTCATGACTTACTAACTCATGAGTCATAAAATAAAATAAAAAATAAAAGAGCTCGGATTTTCTTTTTCAAGTCAAATAATGGACTTGGCAAATTCCACAATTTTTTTATATATAAATTACTCTAAATTATAGCGAAGTGGATTTTTACATGAGTGTCAAAAGACGGGCTTACTTTTCTCGTCAAATGGCCTAACCAAAATGTTCTAGGCCCCGTTTGGTTCATGAGAAAGGAGACTTGGAGATGGGAAATAAATTGCTTTCCACCCCCCTTAGGGGCCCGACGTCCTCGTTGGCATACTTGCATCACACAACATAGTGGCTCTAATACCAAATTGTCACATCCCAGGATAGGCTTTACCGTTCGCTTTAGGCCCCCTTCCCTGCCCTCACGGTTTTGTTTATGGGAACTCACGAGTAACTTTTCAGTGGGTCACTCATCCTAGGATTGCTCTAGCCTCAACTGGCTTAACTTCCCATGACTTCAAAGCCAATGAACTCCCCAAAGGCCTCGTGTTAGATGGAGGCGGACATATACATATAAAACACATCACCCCCTCTTCATTGGTTGATGTGGGATGTTATATCCAGACATGAGAAATTGTTGTCTGACACATGAGAAAGTAAGGGAGAAAGTGAAGCCATCCTCCCAACTTGGGTTTTGTTTTCCCTCCTCATGGGAAAGTTTGGAAAAATGAGCCAATATTAAATAAACATTTTTCATGACCATTTTGTCATCATTAATAATTTAGAATTACAATATATCATTAAATGCATTTTTTTTTATTTGATTTAATATGGGTATAATTAAAAATTTATACAAACTTTGTTTTTCATTCATATTCAAAACAAATATGAAAAAGGAAACAAAGTGATATCTCCCGATTACTTTCCTAGCATTACCAACCATGGGAAAAGAATATTCTATTTCTCATCCCTTGAGAAATAACATGAGAAATTATTTCCTCTCAAATTCATTCCGTAAACCAAATAGGCCCTAAAGTAAAATTAAAAGAAAAAAGTAAAACTTTAAGAATATATATATGTATAAACGCGTTACGTACTTTTTTTTTTTTTTTTTTTTTTTTTTTTTTTTTTTTTTTTTTGAACGTTACGGACGTACTTCGAACGCTAATTAACTAACTATATTGACGCAAGGCTCCCGCGTTCCGCGCTAGCTTTGAACGCACGCTACCTAAGCATAAAACGACATCGTTGCAACGCAGGCGTCCCGCGCTCCCTGCTTACTTCGAACGCTAACTGTTCATATATAAACGCTTTGGGGCCCTGCTCTCTCCCAGACTCGTAAAACCCTTTGGGCATTCTCCAATTCTCCAAATCCAACCCAAATTTCACACACTTTCAGGTACTTCCAAAACCCTAATGTATCATATTGTTATAATGTTTTAATTGATGCTATCGTTTCCCAATTACAGCCAATTCCTGTAATTTTCTCGCATTAATTCAACTTGTATTTGAGCGATTTCTCACTCTCATTAGCCAATGCATGGTCGCCGTTAATTCTGGCTATGTTTTTGTTGAATTTTGATTTGCATTATTGCGATTGTTGTTGAATTTGTGTTCTGTTTTCGCTTCAGGTATCTATCCACAAGCTATCGCTGGAGATGTTTGGTTCAGTTGACAGTAAGTTCTCTTATCTCTATGTTTTTTGCATGATTTATGAGTCAAGATTTTGTTGCCGCATCTTATTTAACTGCATTCAGTAATTTTCAATTTTTTTCATATGCGAACAAGTGTTTTCTGTGTTTTATTTTTTCAATCATATATCCTTTATTCTGGAGAAATCATGATGCTTTTTTCCGCAAAAGTTATTTTAAAAAAACTCGCACCTTTGCACTAGCCTACTTAATTGTTGGTGACAATTCTTTAAGGCCTTTTCTTTTCATTTTGAAACTAATTCTCTTTTTGGTTCTATGAACTTTGGTGGTGATTTAGAGATCATAAGGATGAATCAGTTTTGAAGATATGCGTATATAGGACTTGTAACTGGTCATACACATTTTGTTTGCTTTGTTGTAACATGAACACGACCTGCATTTGCTAGCACTCTGTCAATGTGCTCTGATTATTTTCATCCGGTGCTTTTATGCCCTGGGAATATGTTTGCTTTTCTTCTCTGTGAAAAATAAGTTAATCCATGGAATATTGTTTTACAGTTCTTGGGCAATCATATAGAAGCCCATTTATGTCCCAGTCAGTTGCTGGACAGACCCGCAACGCTAGTAACGATCCTTCTGCTCCCCAGATCTTTGGTAGCACAACCCCATTTGGTCCACAAACAGGGAGTCCCATATTTGGGGTCACTTCGAATGGTGTGTCAGCTGCAGCCCAATCTTCTAAACCCTTTCCTTCCTCCACGACATTCGGTGCCTCATTCTCAACAGATTTTGGAAATACAATGTCTACTTTTGGAGCATCTTCTACTCCTGCATTCAGTAGTTCATCGTCGCCCTCAATTGTTGGTAAGCCGGTGGATTATTTAGAGTTTCTCCGCTTTTTTTCCTTCATCATTTTCCACTGTTTCAGTGTTATATCATTATGGTGAAAGATGGTTATTAGAATAACTTACAATGTCACTTTTACATATGAGATTATTGACCTTTGCTTGCATATTTAGTTTTGTCTGCTTTATTAAACTGCAAGTTTGTGCATGAGTTTCTTTTTCCAAAATTTATGCCTATATATAAGTGGACTATGGTTTATGTATGACATTAAGATACTGTTGAAAATATTCTGTTCACTGTACATTTAATTACTGGATCTATCAGCTGACTTGCGAAACAAATTTTGTATGGTGTGGGAACTTCACTTGTGTCTTTAATTGGCAAATGTCCTAGACTTATTTCCTTGCAAAATGAAATTGGATCATGATTTATGAGGTACTTAAATTATTGTGTAGGTTTCTGGTTGTTTGTTCCCTTTGGTTCAACATGCACCCCAGCCTTTGGTTCTGACGGCATGCCAGCTTTTGGTGCTACAAGCATCCCGGCCTTTGGTGGTACAAGCCCTTTTGGAAGCACAACTCAACCATCACATCCAGCATTTGGGAGCAGTATATTTGGTTCCTCCACGCCATTTGGTGGATCAAGTCAGCCACCCTTTGGTGCTACAAGTAGTGCAGCGCTTCGTTCCACAACAAGTTTTCCATTTAGAAGCACAGAAGCTGCCACTGGGGTTTCAAGTTCCCCCGGAATTGGAACTGGGCTAGGATTTTATATTTCAAGTACCCCAGCTTCTGGTTCGTCTAAGTCCACTTTTGGTGCTTCAAGCAATCCTACTTCTGCTGCTTCAAGTACCCCTGGATTGCCGTGTGGAAGCACAGAAGCTGCCACTGGGGTGTCAAGTTTCCCCTCGGTTGGATGTGGGCATGGATTTTATGTTTCAAGTACCCCAGCTTCTTGTTCCTCTAGCTCCCCTTTTCGCACTTCAAGCAATCCTACTTCTGCTGCTTCAAATACCCCTGGATTTACGTGTGGATGCACAACTGCCACTGGGATTTCAAGTTTCTCCTCGGTTGGATTTCAGCATGGACTTTATGTTTCAAGTACCCCAGTTTCTGGTTCCTCTAGCTCCACTTTTGGTACTTCAAGCAATCCTACTTCTGCTGTTTCAATTACCCCTGGATTTGGAAGCACAACTCAACCATCACATCCAACATTTGGGAGCAGTATATTTGGTTCCTCCACGCCATTTGGTGGATCAAGTCAGCCACCCTTTGGTGCTACAAGTAGTGCAGCGCTTCGTTCCACAACAAGTTTTCCATTTAGAAGCACAGAAGCTGCCACTGGGGTTTCAAGTTTCCCCTCGGTTGGATCTGGGCATGGATTTTATGTTTCAAGTACCCCAGCTTCTTGTTCCTCTTGCAGTACTCCAGCTTCTGGTTCCTCTAGGTCCCCTTTTGGTACTTCAAGCAATCCTACTTCTGCTGTTTCAAATACCCCTGGATTTGGTTCTTTAAGTACTCCATCTTTCACCTTTTCATTCCTTCCTTCTTTTTGGAAATCAACTTCTACATTTCCTAGCAGCCAATTTGATCCTTCATGTCCTTCTGGAGCGCAGAGTTCTCCATTTGGTGAGTGTTTAGATATATATATATATATATATATATATATATGAATGTTTGTACAATTTGAAAACAGAAGAAAAAAACTGGATCGCTGTTTCTGGAGGTCAAAGAATAACTCCTCGATTTTGGTTCCGTTGTAGCTTTGTTATATTCTTATAAGTTGTGATGCAAGGTCTTCATATTTTCCTTACATATAGGAATACCTCATTGTGAGCATGAGCTCAATCAATTATACAGGAATACGTCATTGTTTATTGTTTCATTGTTGCTATATCATATTCTTATAATTTGTGATGCAGGAGCTCAATCAAAAACATTTGGAAACACTGCCTTCGGGATATCAGCTTCTGGGGCCCAACTTTGGGGAAGTAAAGTTCCTCCTTACACAACAACAACTGAACCAGATGACTATGTTGGTCTAGAAACTAGGGGAGACATCCAGTCAATATCGGCGATGCCGATTTATAGAGACAAAACTCACGAGGAACTGAGATGGCAGGATTATCAATTGGGGGATAGAGGTATATTTAACTTAAGAAATTTCTTGTGAGCAATGATGGCCTCTGCCAAGTTCTATATATAATAAATGTATAATCTTAAATTTCAGGTGGACATGTTCCTGCTGGAGGGAGTTGTTTTCCCTTGTCGACCTCAAACATTTTGAATCCTGCACCAACATTTGCTCTAACATCTTCAAGTCTTTTTAATACCTCAACTCCATCGAATATATTTGCTCCACAAATTCCATCCTTTAGTTTTAGAGGCTCTAGGACCTCATCTATACCAATCACTTCATCAACTTTTCCTCTCTCAACTTCACCCAATCTTTTCACAACTTCATCATCATCTCCTTCAGTATTCAGACAAGCTTCATCTCCATCTCTTTTTAGTTCATCAGACCCATCTATATTGGCATTTCCTGCTCCAGCTCCAAGAACAGATTTGACATCTAATTCTGGCCTGTTCAATTCTCCATTTGGTGAGCATTTAGATGTATATGAATGATGGTTGTACTTTTTGGAAAAAGAAAAAATTGGACCACTGTTTCTGGAGGTCAAGGAATACCTCATTGTATTTTGTTCCATTGTAGCTTTGTTATATTCTTATAAGTTGTGATTCCAGGGATTCATATTTTTCATACATACAGTACAGGAATGCCTCGTTGTGAGCAATCAACAAGGAACATGTAGTAATTCCTCATTGTGTTTTGTTTCGTTGTAGCTGTATTATATTCTTATTATAAGTTATGATGCAGGAGTTCAATCAACAACATGTGGAAACACTGCCTGTGGGACATCAGCTTCCGGGGGCCAATTTGGGGGAAGTAGAGTGGCGCCTTACACTAAAACAGCTGGACCAGATTGTGGTTCATTAAGTGGGTTATACCAATCAATATGTGGGATGCGGATTTATGGAGACAAAAGTCATGAGGAACTGAGATGGCAGGATTATCAACTAGGGGATAGAGGTATATTTTATTTAAAATATTTCAGATCCTCAAAACTTTTGCTTGTGAGCAATGATGAGCTTTACTAAGTTCTGTATATTATGAATGTATAATCATAAATTTCAGGTGGACGGGCTCTTGTTGGTGGGAACTGCTTTGACCTGTCTACCACCCAGTCAAACGTTTTGAATCCTGCTCCAGCATTTATTCAAACTTCTTCGAGTCGTTTGAATACCTCAACTCTAACTAATAGATTTGCTCCACAAATTCCAGCCTTTACTCCTACAGCCTTTGGATCCTCATTTACACCATTGATTTCACCCAATATTTTTATACCTTCAGCATCATCTTTTTCTGTACCTGGACAAATTTCATCTCCGTCTCTTTTTAGTTCATCAGTCACACCCACATCTATGTTTGCATTTCCTGCTCCAGCTCCAACAACTTCCCCATTTAATTCCAGCCCAATCAATCCTATATCTTCTATTGCACAAACAGGTGGTACTGCTGGACTAACTACCACTTCCTCTGGTGGGCTGTTTACAATTCCCTCTGGTAATACACATATATCCCATGAAGAGAGGTTTCCATTAGAGGTTAGTGTTACAAACAGCTGTATCAATCTTCTTTTTTTGATTGTTGAAGGTTTTTATTTTACCCCCTTAAGATCTTTGACCTTTTTTTTTCACTAGACTAAAACATGAGCATTAAGTCATTGAGGTCTTAAATTTTGAGTTTAGGTTACTTAATATGCCATACCCATTGCTGGCTTGACCTGAGCTTTGCTTTATAGGTTTGATAGGGTTTTGATCCAGTTCTTTTCAGCCTTGCCCATTAAAAGCGCGGTTGTCACCAAACATTGATTTAAATTGCATTTGTGCAGCTTTAGTACACAGGGATTTGAGACAATTCATTAGTGTGTGAATGTGTACCAAGTGATATTTTAGTGTGTTAATTTATATTGAGAATCACTTGTAATTTATGACTAAATAATAATATCTCTTTGTTTTTCTGCTAGGAAAAAAGGAGGTTGAGCATTATGATTGCAAGGTCTAATCGGAAGAAAAATGGTCAAAACGTGAGAATGATGCCATCTGGTGAATAGTTAATCTGTATAGTTTTTCCTCTACGAGCTAGTTTGAACTTTGTTCTCACACCTTCGTGCTCTTTTTCCTTTTGCAGTCCCCTTCTTCTTCTGTCCTTTCGTGGCCATAGGCGGTGCACAGGAAAAACTAGTAGATGCTATGGACGTCCTACAAGAAGCATTGGGCTTTTTTTTTTTGTTTTTTTTTTTATTTGCTTTCGGTGTTTAGTTCAATTGAATAGGATTTTTTATGTTAGTTAAGCTGTAGTTGGCATTTTCAGGACAAATTTCTGTGCAGAATGGTCATTGACTTGGCAAATTTATTGATTTTCTTTTTTGGATCAAGTGGCAACTTTACAACTAGAAAGTTCTTTTAAAATAAAAAAAATTAAAGCCCCTAACACCCGAATAGCCCCACCACCCCAACAACCCAACCCTTCCCCACCACCACCCGCCGCCCCCAACGTATGGCCACCACTCCACCATTGTTCAAATATGATATCCCCACCCAGGTGATGCACCCACCCCAAACCATTAATAACAATCAATCCCAACCCACCTAGCCACTTTCAACCGCCAGCCATACTCACCCCGAGCTGACACCCCAAATCCACACCCAACCTCACAAATCCAATCTGCCCCAAGCCGTAGCCATCCCAACAAATTACCCGAACGCCAAAACCCCAAGGCGTAAGAACTTCTCTTCACTGGGTTTGATTTGATTTCATGCTTGTCATTTTCACATATTCTCTGTGCAGCCATGAGGGTTATGTGATTGGAGTTTATAAACAATAAACTCATATTGAAGAACTTTATTTTTTTTTAATTTTTTTTACCATGGGGGAGGAGAATCAGGGTGGCAAGTTGGGGAGGGAATGGTAAGCATGGGTTGGGGGTGGTTGTTGGCCATGTGGAAGGGTTGGGTTGTGTTGGTGGGGGCCTATTCGGGTGCTGGGGGATTTATTTTTGGGAGTTTCACTAAAACACCCAAAATAGGAGCTGAAATTATAAATAAAAAAAACCCCACATGGAATGCACTTTAGAAATACACCCAAAATCCATTTATTATATAAGAAATTGGTGTTGAAGTTCCTATAAATTACAGGACTGCCACTGAAAAAAAACTCAAAAAACACCCAAAACAAGCCCAATCCAATTTTATAAAAAAGCCCAAATTTTTATTTTATTTTATTTTGTTACAAAAAGTCCAAAACATTTTATTACAACACAAAACTGTCTCGAAAATAGTAACTTCAAGCACGCATCTTCATTAAATCATCTCAACAAAACATCTCTTCATTTCACCGTCTTCATCATTTATGCAAACTGAAACTCCATAACAACCACCAAGCTTGATCTACTTTCAAAAACCAACACCACACACTAACCTCCACCTGTAAAACAAAGATAAAATTTCAGAGAACAATTTCAACAAGAAAAGGCTTCAAAGGTAAGACATTTAAAAACCAAACCTTTTATTGTAATGTTGATTAATTGCTGTAAAGTTCCAGTCTATGGTAATAACAGTATTTTATATTCGAATCCAAGACAAAATTTTGAAACTATATTGGATTTTCACTATTGGACTAACTGCAAATGACTATAAAATAGTCAGTTTTCAGCAACTCAAAAAAGAAAAAGATATTTAGTCATATACTCATTCTTAATACTGCTAGTTTACTTTCATGTTGATTAATGACTGTAAAGTTCCAGTATAGGGTAATAACACTAATTGTTTCCTCTAAAATCCTATTTTAAATGCATGTTTACCACCGTAAAGTTCCAGTATAAGGTAATAACACTGCTTGTTTCCAATGAAATCCTATTTTGAATGCAAAAGTTCCAGTACAGGGTAATAACACTTCTTTTTTCCTATGAAATTCTATTTCTAATGCATTTAACCATTGTAAAGTTCCAATATAGGGTAATAACACTACTAGATTTTTCTAAAATCCTATTTCTAATGCATGTCTACCCTTTGTAAAGTTCCATTATAGGGTAATAACACTGCTAGATTCCTCTGAAATCCTATTTCTAATGCATGTTTAACCATTGTAAAGTTCCAATATAGGGTAATAACACTGCTAGATTCCTTTGAAATCCTATTTTTAATGCATGTATACCCTTTGTAAAGTTTCAATATAGGGTAATAACACTGCTAAATTCCTCTGAAATCCTATTTCTAATGCATGTTTACCTCTTGTAAAGTTCCAGTATAGGATAATAACACTGCTAGTTTCATATAAAATCTTATTTCTAATGCATGTCTACCACTATAAAGTTCCAGTATAAAATAATAACACTGCTTGTTTCCTATGAAATCTTATTTCTAATGCATGTCTGTAAAGTTTTAATATAATGTAATAACACTGCTACCTAACAACAAATTATAGTCGACTCAAAAACCAATAGTGCATAAACAGAAAAAACACGAATATACTCAGATTCAAAATTAATATGATAACATAATCAAATATCACAAATCTGTAACACAGCTCAAACCAAAACACAAAAAACAAATCCACAACCAAACTAAATTTGAAATCAATCCAAATTATAAACAAAAAAAATTAAAATCACAATTTAAAACTCAAACGAATATCTAATACAAATTAGAACGAAATTAGAAAATCCAATAGCTTATCTCCAAATCGACAATAACAAAAATAAACATATAAAATCAAGAAGAATTGGATCTACATTTCAAATTTAAACTCCAAAACTGCAAAAATTATGAAAACTTAACCAGCAACTTAATTAATCGAACATGAAATCACCCAAATCATACTACAATAAAATCAAAAAAGTCCTTACAATACCTATACCAACATATTCAGACTAACAAGGGGAAATTTTTGGTCTTGGACCCCGGCCAAAAAGTGGCCGGAGTAATCCGGAACACTGCCAAAGCCGTCGGTCAAACTAGGGTGTATTGATTAATTTCCAAAACTCCAAAATCTATCCTAACCACATACATAAACAGCTTGAGCACAAAAATTAGATAAAGTTTCATACCTCGATCGACGGAAACAACAGCCGGAGTCACCGGAAACGACGTCGGAAAACTTGAAATCCACATACCTTTTTGAGTTCGCAGCGGCGTCGTCAATGGCTGATGTGGCTGGGCTTTAGCCCAGACTTGATCGTCGGCCTTGACCGATCCTTTTCCGATTGCTGTCATGCTGGCCGTGGACGGAGCACCAAGATCGTTGGCCTAGGCTTAGTTTCTGCGAAGGGAAAGAGACGAGAGAGAGAGAGAGAGAGAGAGAGAGAGAGAGAGAGAGAGAGAGAGAGGAGAGAGAGAGAGAGAGAGAGAGAGGGCCCAAATTTTTTTAAAAAAAAACCAATTTAATACTAAATGGGTAATAAAGGTATTTCATTTAAGTAATTAAACTAAAAAATATAACAGCTATCAGTTTTGGGTATATTTTGGGTGTGTTTATATGTTTTAAATAGTGTAGGGTATATTTATAGTTTCATGTCTAGAATTGGGTATTTCACTAATTTTGTATTTATTTTTTCCCTCTTTTTCTAATTTATTTTATTATTAAAATGTTTTAAAATTTGAGAATTTTTAATAGTTAAAATTATTAAAATCCCATGCCACCTTAGCAAGTTAACGATTTTACTTAGGGTTGGGCACGGTTCGGGTTGGACCAGTTTTTGCCTCAAATTAGAAATGATCGGATACTATTCTTCCAGTTTGGTTCAGTTTGGTTTTAATAAAAAAAATTCAAAAATTGTCCAGTTCGAGTTGAACCGATTCCGGTCCGATTCGGTTTTGAACCAGAGTATAAAAATTATTTTTTAATACAATTCTCAACTGAAATATTTTTTTTACTTGAAAATTAACAAATTATTCAATTTCATATAAAAATAAATATTAAAGTTAGAAATTATAGATATTTTGAAATTGAATTTGGATAAATATTAGTTTTTTTTTGTTAAATTAAAAATATAGCATTAAATATAAATATATATTGAAATTATATATTTTTTAATTTGACTAGTTCGATTCAGCCTAGTTCAATTTTTGAAGACATGGCACCGGATCCAAAACCGGTCCAAACCGATCCAGTTTGGTTTTTGACCGGTTGTTGACTTTTTGGTCAACTCGATTTTTTTCCGATTTGGTTCGGTGCGGTTCGGCTCGGATTTCTGGTTCACCGGTTTGAGTGCCCACCCCTAATTTTACTGACCAAACTAATGGAATGAGATAACGGGGACGCAAAAATAAAGCACATGGAGCATATTGACTCAGTTTGAAGTGTAGGGAGCAAAGTAAGATTTTCGGTGAAGCACTGGGAACATATAAATAATTAAGCCTTTTTAAAAACACCCAAAAGAAAAAAGGAAAAAAAAATTTATATCATATGATCTCATCCATCATCCCAAATGCATAGAAGAGTGGGTCCCAAGAGGCATTAGACCACCTGTTGTACAAATCATATAGCCGCGCGGCTATACTATGGATTTCTTTTTTAATTTAGTATAACCGTGCGGCTTTACTAGGGTCCTTTTTTTTATTTACATTTTTTAAACTAGCCTCTTGGCACATGCGTGATTTTTTTTTTTTAGAATTAAGAAAAAATAATATGGGTAGTTATGTTTCATAAAAGTATGACTTATTATCTAATTTTGTTTTTAATTTTAAAATTTTTAATATGAAAAATGTGAATTTACCATATTATCCTCATTTAATTAATAATTTCAATTCTTAATGTTTGAATTAACCAATGACATTTTCTAGTATTTTAAATAGTAAAGCCCAGCGACTATACTCCTTTTAAATATAATATACTTAAACAGTATAGCTGTCCAGCTATACAACCATTTTTTCTTATAAAAAATAGTATAGCCTTGCGGCTATATTGTCTTGACATGTGTTGCTGAATCGCTAGTGTGTGTGCGAGGCTTTTTTACATTTTGACAGGCTATACTCTAGATTTTTTTATGAAAAGAAGTATAGCCCGACAGCTTGACGAGGTGATACTCGTTACATAGATACTGTAATATTTTTTCTAAAATTGTTTTCACCCCATTTTTGTCTATCGATGGTTTAGAGCATTAGCCATTATGGCCATTACTTGAGTCTTTATTGTCTCCTTTTGAGTTTTTACTTTTCCAAAGTTAATACACGTATAAAGAATTTATCATTTTCACGTTTAATACTCCTATTGTACATGTACGTACTTATTTTTCATGTTTAATACTCCTGGTTTTTTAGAAAAAAAATTAATAATATACACAAAGTTCACGTGTTACACACATAATTTTCGCAGAGTATTAAATAAAAATAATATATATTAAAAATTTAAATCTATAAAGTATATGTATTGAAACTAGCAAATTAATATCTATAAAGTATAAACTAATGCAAAAAGAAGGGTCCTTTTTTTATAATTTTTTTTAATAAATCGTATAGCCACGGCTATACTGCTTCAAGTATGGTAGTTGGGCCCTAGAAGCTAGGCGAGTCCCCTTTTTTTTGTTTTACAAATTGTATAGCCGAGCGGCTTTACTATGATCATTTATATTTTTTATTTTTATAAATAGTATAGCCAGTCTATATTCTTTACATAGATACTGTGATCTTTTTATATAAAAAAATTTGTCTTTTCCCAATTTTGTTTATTGATAGTTTAGAGCATTATCCATTATTATTAGACCATTACCCGAGTCTCTATTGTCATCTTTTGAGTTTTTACATTTTCAGAATTATTACCCGTATAAAGAAGTTAGCATTTTCACGTTTAATACTCGTATTATACTACATATGTATTTTTCATGTTTAATACACTTTTTTTTATAATCAAATTTTCCCATCCAGCATTTGGGAGCAGTATATTTGGTTCCTCCACGTAATTTTTTTATAATAAAACTTCGTTCCACAAGAAGTTTTCCGTTTAGAAGCACAGAAGCTGCCACTGGGGTTTCAAGTTCCCCCGGAATTGGACCTGCGCTAGGATTTTATATTTCAAGTACCCCTGCTTCTGGTTCGTCTAACTCCACTTTTGGTACTTCAAGCAATCCTGCTTCTGCTGCTTCAAGTACACTGGGATTTACGTGTGGAAGTACAGAAGCTGCCACCGGGGTTTCAAGTTTCCCCTCGGTTGGAACTTGGATCTGGGCATGGGTTTTATGTTTCAAGTAACCCAGCTTCTGGTTCCTCTTGCTCCACTTTTGGTACTTCAAGCAATCCTACTTGTGCTGTTTCAAATACCCCTGGATTTGGTTCTTTAAGTACTCCATCTTTCACCTTTTCATTCCTTCCTTCTTTTTGGAAATCAACTTCTACATTTCCTAGCAGCCAATTTGATCCTTCATGTCCTTCTGGAGCGCAGAGTTCTCCATTTGGTGAGTGTTTAGATATATGAATGGTTGTACAAATAGTATAGCCGCTCGGCTATACTCTGTATTTTTTTCAAAAAATAAAAAAGTTATATCCTGGCCGCTTTACTAGGTCCTTTTTTTTAAAAAAAAATAGTATAGCCGCGCGGCTATACGCTTTACATAGATACTGTGATCTTTTTTAAAAAAAAATTTCCCCCCATTTTTGTTTATCGATAGTTTATAGCATTATTCATTACTATTAGGCCATTACCCGAGTATCTATTGTCTCCTTTTGAGTTTTTACTTTTTCAGATTTATTATATGTATAAAGATTTTAGCATTTTCACGTTTAATACTCGCATTGTACACGTACATACATATTCTTCATGTTTAATACACTTGGTTTTTTACAAAATTTTCAATAACACACACAAAATTCACATATTATACACAAAATTTTAGCATAATATTGAATAAAAATAATATATATTAAAAAAATTAAATCTATAAAGCATATATATCGAAATTAGCAAATTAATATCTATAAAGTATAAACTAATACAAAGAGAATAGTCTTTTTTATTATTATTATTATAAATTTTATAAATAAATAGTATAGCCGATTGGCTATACGCCGCGCGGTGAAACTACAGCTTTTTTATTATAAAAAAATAATATAATCACACGGCTATACGGTTTTGATATGTGGCGCCGAAATGCTAGTTGGGCGCTAGGCAGTCCATTTTTTTCATTTTTTGTACTCTCAACTTCACCCAATCTTTTCACAACTTCATCATCATCTCCTTCAGTATTCAGACAAGCTTCATCCCCATCGCTTTTTAATTCATCAGCCCCATTTACATTGGCATTTCCTGCTCCAAGAACAGATTCGACATCTAATTCTGGCCTGTTCAATTCTCCATTTGGTGAGCATTTAGATGTATATGAATGATGGTTGTACTTTTTGGAAAAAAGAAAAAAATGGACCACTGTTTCTGGAGGTCAAGGAATACCTCATTGTATTTTGTTCCATTGTAGCTTTGTTATATTCTTATAAGTTATGATTCCAGGGGTTCATATTTTTCATACATACAGGAATGCCTCATTGTGAGCAATCAACAAGGAATAATAGGATTTCCTCGTTGTGTTTTGTTTCGTTGTAGCCGTATTATATTCTTATTACAAGTTCTGATGCAGGAGTTCAATCAACAACATGTGGAAACACTGCCTGTGGGATATCAACTTCTAGGGGCCAATATGGGGGAAGTAGAGTGTGGCGCCTTACACTCAAAACGCTTTCTAACAACCAAAAGCGTTTATGACAGCATTTGGCAGAAAAGTTTAGAAGAGCTTATGGGTCATAGAACCACTTTCTAGATAAGCATCTGTCATGTGCTTCTTCAAGAAGCACTCCCAAGTGCTTTTCCAGGAATCACTTCAATTTCTTATGAAAATTTCAATGTCTTTATAATAAAAGCACTTTTATTAGAAGCAGGTATAAGCAAAGTAATGCAAGGGACTATTATTCCCACACCCAAGGCCAAGGCAAACCTGCGACCTAGAGCCGGTTGAACTAATGCAAGGGACTATTATTCCCCTGCCCCCAGTATGGAAATGCACATGACATTTTCTAGATTACCCATCAACATAGGACTGCTAATGGGTATCAAACTCGGTTGGGGCTCAACGCATAGCTCGCACCTTACCAATTGAACCAACTTTTCTGTTTTCTTTTCTTCTTCTTCTTTCTCCCATCACTCTTTTTTCCTTCTTCTTTTTTCCCCTTTTCTTTTCTCTCCTCTTCTTCTTCCTGTTTCTCCCGTCACTCTTCTCTTTTCTTTTTCCTTTGTCTTCCTTTTTCCTTTTTTTCTCTTTTCTTTTCACTTCCTTTTTAATTCTTTATTTCTCATCTCTTCTTTTTCCTCTTTCTCTCTTTTCTTTTCTCTCCTTTTTCCTCCTCTCTTTCCTTTTTCTTCTAGTAATACGTGGATTCGATCGGTGTCAGTCCTCTTGCTCCTTGTTTCTATTGAAATCCTTGTGTTGTTTGTTAGTTTTTGGTCAATTTTCTATTTGTTTGTTTCTCTCTCTACTTCTCGTTTTTCTTTCTCTCTTTGTAGGAGGCCCTTTGACGTTTTCTTATCGATGGCCTTTGTCGATAATACGAGTTTGCTTGTGGTTACTGGCGGTATTGATAGTTCCATTGGTTTTTTCAACTCCAACAAACTTGTTCGAGTTGTTGGCTCTCCACCGCCACCTCATTATTTTCGGCCCATGAAGTAGTTTTTTTCATTATTAGAGCATCTCCAACCGATATGTCAAAAGTGTCACATAGACATTTAACGGCTAAAAATAACATCTCACATCACTCCAACCGATGTGTCAAAGCTGATGTGGAATGAAGGCTGAAGGTTGAGATGTTATTTTTGACCTTCCAAAAGCAAGATGTCAAATGAATATTTTATTATTTTTTCTTTTATTTTATTTTTAATTAAAAATAAATCAACACTAAATGTAATAAAATAATAATTTAATTTGACATATCGGGTGGAGTGTAAAGCTGTGTAAGATGTCAAATTGCCACATCAACCATCAAATTTAAATTTAATGTTTGATATTTGACATCTCTCTTGGAGATACTCTTAGTCTTCCTTAATTTGGTTTATTGTGTAATGGGCCTTGATATTGGCTTAGTCCATGCCCACAAGATAAGAAATTTTGGTGGTGTTCCATAGAAAAATTCAAACTATTTCGATTGTACGTATATGATTGGAAGTTAACTTAATATATGGTGGCGTTCCATTGTTAAAATTGAAAGGAGTTCGGTTGCATCTAATCAAATTTGTCACGAAATGGAAGAGGGAACCCTAAATCAAATTTAACAGTTTTTATCTGAAAACTAACGGAAGGGGGAACCTTGGTCACGAAATGGAAGATCAGAAGGCAAACTGAGACTATTTAGAAACCACATGGGGTGTTTCAACAAATAAAGTTATTACTAATTTATTTTATATTTTTAAACATTTTAAATAATTTCATGCATTATTTATTTATTTAATAGTTAAATTTATCAAAATACCCTTGTCACATTGATTTAACGATTTTCATATGAAAACACATGTAATGGGGCAACCTTGGTCACATAATGAAATTTTATGCGGAATTTGAGTCCTTTAAAACATTATAGGACAAACTGAGACTACTTGAAACCACATGAGCATTTCAACAAATAAGCATAAAAGGATTCTAAATGTTTGGGCGTGTGTTCCATTTTACCCAATTTCCCTTTTCTTTTTCTTTTTTTCTTTTTTTTGTCAGTGTAAGTAGCTTTTGGCTTCTTCAATTCTGACATGACATTGGCGCGCGAGATTGGAATGTTGCAAGACAAGCCATCTTTTCATTACGCGACTTCATCACTTTCCTCTCTCCCTTTATCTTTCCATTTCATCACTTTCGACGCTCAGTTCCTTCTTCGAAACCTTACTTCCACGTTCGGTCTTCTCCATCGCTTTAGCTCACTTTCAGGTACTTCGAAAACTCTTGCCTTCACTTTTAGTCTTCCTTCTTCTAAAAAACAATCTTCCTTCTTCTCAAAAATCGGAAAATAACAACATAGTTTTATGGCTGCACCATTCTTCCTTCTTCTCAAAACGATGGTTATTCTTTCTTCTCAGAACGGTGGTGCAGATTTCGATAGAAGTAATTATGTTTTAGGGTTTGTATTTTATTTCTTAAAACAAAAACAGAAAACAAAAAAGAAAGTTGGTTACTAACGGTGTTACTATTAAATCTGGATGTTAACATTCTCTCTTTTAAAAGACAGTCCCGCCACATGTCATTATGCAATTGGTGCGTACTACCACCTGTCAGTGCCACGTGGTAGTACCGTACTATTGTATAATTTCTCCTAACGGTGAGCTTCTTTTCTCTATAATGTATTTGATCCTTGAGTTTGATTTTGTTTCCTCATCTAACTGTGTTTTTCAATTCATTCCATATTTGAATAATTGTTTTCTATATTATTTTTCTTAAGGGAGAATTTCATTTAGGTCCCCTGAAGTTTGGCATAATTACAGCCAGACTCCACAGGTTTCATTTATTACAGTCACACCCCCTAAATCTAACAAGACCAACTTAAGCTAGAACTGTCGTATTACTGAGGTTGAATAAAATATTAATTAAATTTTTTTATTTTCAATTTAAAAATTAAAAAACTTACAAATTCAATCCTCCCTCCTTCTTTCGCTGGGCAGCCCGCTCCCCCCATCCCCATCTCCTTCCATCTCCACCCACCACGCCCCACCCGACAACCCCCACCCAACCACCGCCATTCTCTCTCTTCTCGCCCAGCCCCACCTCCGCGACCCACTATTTCCCTCTCTTCTCTCTCTGCCCCTTCTCGTTTTCTCTCTCTCCCTCGCACACACAGAAGCAAAAAAATTAATCAAGAGACATAAATTTTAGTAAAATGCCCTTCTAAATGGTTTTTTTGGTTAAAAATTCTCCTGGGTTCCTTTCTCCCACTTCTATGGGTTTGTTGTAGCTGATTGTACTGAGCTCTGTGAAGCAATGTGGAAGAGGTTCCCATGTGTAATTTTGTAGTTGTTTTAGAGTGTGGTTTGCTTCAAAGCTTTGAGTTTGTGTAATCTCTGTATTGTTGAAATCATTTTTGTTTTTCATTGGGGGAGGAGTTTCTGTTCTTGGCGCTCTGCTCTTCCTTCAGCTTCCGACCACCTTCTTCCCCAGCGCATCCACACTCCGCCCCTCTGTCTATATCTTTCTCTATGTGGCAACAAAGGAGCATAAAGGACTTGTTGTGGATTTCTTTCCTTGCCAAATGAATTTGGATGATCTTTCTTTTTTATTTAAGTAAATAGATTATTGTTTAGGTTTCTGGTAGTTTCATGCATGCACACATGTATTGGATTACATTGAATAACATGTATTGGTAGTTTTATTCATTTCCAATTATCTCTCTGTGCTCGATTACTTTGTTATTTGGATGATCTTTCTTTTACTGTTGTTTTCTTTCGGACAACGTCGACCACGAGTGTAATTTTATTTGTTCCTTCCTTCCTCTGTGCATTTTTGTGTGTGCTTGCTCACACGTGTACTTGTATAATGCTCAAACGTTTTTTGTTTATTTTATCTTTCTCCCCCTTGCAGTTTTCTTTGTTTCGGGGCAACTGTTTTTTTATATCTTCCAGGCCCCAAATAAATTGATGGTGATAGTTCTATGAGGACTATCCTTTTCTTCGTGAAATTCTCCTTCTGGTCCTATGAACTTGGTGGTGATTATAAGACTATGAATTTTGAAGATGCATTTAGGGCCTGTAATTGGCCATTCCCGCTTTATTTGTTTCATTCTAAGATGAACATGACATGCATTTACTATAAGTTTTGGGCTATGATTATGTTTATCTGGTGTTCTGTTAGTGCTGCCTTTACTCCCTGAAGAATCTTTGTGACTGGTAATTTTTTTTTCTCACTAAAATTAATAATTCAATGTGTGGAACATTGTTTAGCAGCTTTTGGGCAGTCATCTAGCAGCCCGTTTGCATCCCAACCGGTCTTTGGGCAGACCAGCAACACAAGTAACAATCCTTTTGTTCCAAAGCCTTTTGGTAGCACAACTCCGTTTGGTGCCCAAACAGGGAGTTCCATTTTTGGCGGCACTTCAACTGGTGTATTTGGTGCAGCTCAATCTTATTCACCTTTTGGAAATACAACTCCTGCTTTTGGAGCAGCTTCTAGTCCAGGTTTCAATAGTTCACCATCACCGTTTGGTGGTAAGTTGATTGAGTGAGTTTAAATTTCTACATTTTGTGCTCCTTCACACCTTTCAAGTGATTCATTTTAATTTAATTACTATGAAATACGGTTATTAGAAATTTGTTTACAATGTCCCCTATCATTTTTAATGCCCTTCAGGTTTATACTGAGTTTTCTTGGAAATTTATGAGGTTATTGAGCATTTTCAAATCTAATGCTATATATAAGTGGATTATGCTTTCTGTGTGAGATGGCCATGTTGTTGTCAAATTTTTTGTTCAGTACACATTTCTGATGTAGTGCTAACACTTCTGTATGAGATGGGGTCTAACAGCTGACTTGTGGAACAAATTTTTTATTGGGCTGGAACTTCGACTGTTTTTTGTTGTTGTCATGCTGCGGACTTATTTCCTTACCAGATGAATTTGGATGATCTTTCTTTTTTGTGTGTAAGTAAATAGATTATTGTTTAGGTTTCTGGTTATTTGATGCATGCACACATGTATTGGATTAAATTGAATGTCTATAATAGAGGACTAGGGTTCAAGTATTAAGAAATATCACGAGTGTAATTAAGACTTTGAGAGTGGAAGAGGTATGATTATTATATCTTTAGGTGGTCTGGTTTTTGCGTGAGGGATTGGTTTCATCTTGTATTTTAAGCAGACATTTGTTCACCTCAATTAGAGGAGCTTTACTTCTTAATCTATACTTGCAGCTTTATATATTTGTCTTGCACCAGTTTGTGTTTTCTTTTGCTTGCTGAGGTCACCTCCATTTTAGAAGCTCATCAACAATCTACATAGAATTATAATGGATGTGTAATCTACAAAATTTCTTTGTTATTTGGTGAACATGTTATTCATTTTCATTCATCTCTCTGTGCCCAAATCTTTGTTATTTGGATAACATGTTGTCACTGATGATTCTCACTCTCTCAACAGGTTCATCTGGTTTTGGTCAGAAGCCTGTTTTTGGAGCATTTGGGTCCAATACTACTCAACCAAGTCCTTTTGGAAGCACAACTCAGCCATCACAGCCAGCATTTGGGAGCGGTATATTTGGTTCCACCACACCATTTGGTGGATCAAGTCAGCCAGCCTTTGGGGCTACTAGCACCCCCCCAGCCTTTGGGACTACAAGTAGTCCAGCCTTTGGTGCTACAACCAACCCAGTGTTTGGTGCTACAAGCACCCCAGCATTTGGTGCTACAAATACCCCAGCATTTGGTGCTACAAGTACCCCGGCCTTTGGGGCTACTAGCACCCACTCAGCCTTTGGGGCTACAAGCAGTCCAGCCTTTGGTTCCACAACAAGTCCTACATTTGGAAGCACAGGATCTGCATTCGGGGTGTCAAATTCTTCCGTGTTTGGATCTACAGGAGCATTTGGGGCTTCAAGCACCCCAGCTTTTGGTTCTTCTGGATCCACCTTTAGTACTTCAAGAAATCCAGGTTTTGGTGCGTCAAGTGCTCCTGGTTTTGGTTCATCCAGTACTCCATCTTTCACCTTTACATCAGCTCCTGCTTTTGGCCTATCAAATTCTACATTTGGTAGTGCCTCATCTCCGTTTGGAGCACAGAGTTCTCCATTCGGTGAGTAGGTTTAGATGTATACGAGTGGTGGTACATTTTGAAAGAAAAACTGGACTAATTATTTTGCTGGTCAAGGAATATCTTGTTGTCTTTCATTACAGTCAAGGAATGCCTCATTTTGCTTTGTGTCATTGTTTCTGTATTATATTCTTATAATTTGTGATGCAGGAGCTCAGCCAACAACATTAGGGAGCAATGCCTTTAGGCACTCAGCTTTTGAGGGCCAACAATGTGGGGGTAGTAGAGTGGCTGCATATGCAGAAACTCCTGAACCAGATGGTAGTTGGTGGGCCACTGCTGCAAAATTGGAGTCAATGTCAGCAATGCCAGTATATAAAGACAAAAGTCACGAAGAACTTCGCTGGGAGGATTATCAATTGGGGGATAAAGGTTTGTTGCTAGTTATTAGAAAATTTTCTGCAGTTGTCAGAAATTATGACATTACTAGGTTCTAAACATTATAATTTTTAACTTCCAGGTGGTCCAGCTCCTGCTGGTGGGAGTGGCTTTGGCATGTCTACATCACAACCAAACCCTTTGAATACTGCACCGTCATTTCCTCAAGCATCTACAAGCCCTTTTAATAGCGCAACTTCATCTAGTTTGTTTGCAACAAAAATTCCATTTAGTTTGTTTGCAACAAAAATTCCATTTAGTTTGTTTGCAACAAAAATTCCATTCTTCTCTTCTACAGGCTTTGGAACATCGTCTACACCATTCAGTTCATCATCTTTTGGTTCATCCAGTACTCCATCTTTCAGCTTTTCATCAGCTCCTGCTTTTGGCCAATCAAATTCAACATTTGGTAGTGCCTCATCTCCTTTTGGAGCACAGAGTTCTCCATTCGGTGAGTAGTTTTAGATGTATATGAGTGGTTGTACATTTTGGAAGAAAACCTGGACTATTGTTTTTGCTGGTCAAGGAATATCTCATTGTCTTTCATTACAGTCAAGGAAGGCCTCATTTTGCTTTGTGTCTTTGTATCCGTATTATAATTTGTGATGCAGGAACTCAGCCAACAACATTGGGGAACAATGCCTTTAGGCAGTCAGCTTTTGGGGGCCAACAACGTGGGGGTAGTAGAGTGGCTGCGTATGCAGATACTCCTGAACCAGATGGTGGTTTGGGGTGCACTGCTGTAAAATTGGAGTCAATATCAGCAATGCCAGTATATAAAGACAAAAATCACGAAGAACTTCGCTGGGAGGATTATCAATTGGGGGATAAAGGTATGTTGCTAGTTGTCAGAAATTATGACATTACTAGGTTCTAAACATTATAATTTTTAACTTCCAGGTGGTCCAGCTCCTGCTGGTGAGAGTGGCTTTGGCATGTCTACATCACAACCAAACCCTTTGAATACTGCACCGTCATTTCCTCAAGCATCTACAAGCCCTTTTAATAGCGCAACTTCATCTAGTTTGTTTGCAACAAAAATTCCATTCTTCTCTTCTACAGGCTTTGGAACATCGTCTACACCATTCAGTTCATCATCTTTTGGTTCATCCAGTACTCCATCTTTCAGCTTTTCATCAGCTCCTGCTTTTGGCCAATCAAATTCGACATTTGGTAGTGCCTCATCTCCTTTTGGAGCACAGAGTTCTCCATTCGGTGAGTAGTTTTAGATGTATATGAGTGGTTGTACATTTTGGAAGAAAACCTGGACTATTGTTTTTGCTGGGCAAGGAATATCTCATTGTCTTTCATTACAGTCAAGGAATGCCTCATTTTGCTTTGTGTCGTTGTATCTGTATTATAATTTGTGATGCAGGAACTCAGCCAACAACATTGGTGAACAATGCCTTTAGGCAGTCAGCTTTTGGGGGCCAACAACGTCAGGTTAGTAGAGTGGCTGCTTATGCAAATACTCCTGAACCAGATGGTGGTTTGGGGTGCACTGCTGCAAAATTGGAGTCAATATCAGCCATGCCAGTATATAAAGACAAAAGTCACGAAGAACTTCGCTGGGAGGATTATCAATTGGGGGATAAAGGTATGTTGCTAGTTATTAGAAAATTTTCAGCGGTTGTCAGAAATTATGACATTACTAGGTTCTAAACATTATAATTTTTAACTTCCAGGTGGTCCAGCTCCTGCAGGTGGGAGTGGCTTTGGCATGTCTACGTCACAACCAAACCCTTTGAATGCTGCACCGTCATTTCCTCAAGCATCTACAAGCCCTTTTAATACCGCAACTTCATCTAGTTTGTTTGCAACAAAAACTCCATCCTTCTCTTCTACAGGCTTTGGAACATCGTCTACACCATTCAGTTCATCTTCTTTTTGGTTTTCTGCTTCATCCGTTATTTTTACCCCATCATCATCTCATTCATCTCCATCTCTCTTTAGTTCATCAACGCCATCCACATTTTCTGCTTTAGCTCAAACATCAAATTCCACATTTAGTACGGAACTATTCAATTCCACTGCCCCAGTTGCACAGACAGGTTTTACTTTTCGACTAAGTACCACTTCGGTTGGATCTGGGTATGGATTTTGTATTTCAAGTACTCTAGCTTCAACAGAAAGAAGAAGAAGAAGAAGATGAATGTAACAGTTGGATCAATGGAGGGAATGTAACGGTAGGACCAATGGAGCAAATAATATAGAGTTGATGGACTATTTGAACGAATAATTTAATTGAGGGACCAAAATGTAAATCGGGTATAAGTTTGAGGACCATTTGAGTAATTTACCCTATAATTTTTTTGTTTTTTGTCAAGTTAAAATCATGGAAACAAAAGAAAGTAAGGGCCCATTCGGTAATGTTTTCGGAGAATGTTTTCTTAGAATATTTTCAGAGAATAAAAACAAGAAAACGAATTTGCATTTCAGGAAATGAAAATGCGTTTGGTAGATTAATTAGAAAACATCTTCAGAAAACAAAAACAATGAAAACGTGTCTAGTAATACAATTTGAAATAAGAATACGTGAGTTATTTTTATGAAAATGTTTCCATGAGAATGAAAACATTTTTTTTTTTATACAAGTACACATGAACTCATTTTCATTTTATGAAAACATTCTCAGTGTTTTCTGTTTTTAGGCTACCGAACGTGTTTTTGCCTCATTTTTGTTCTCTGAATATGAAAAACAACTCCTTAAAACGTTACCGAATGAGCCCTAAAGTTATGGTAACCAAGGTTCAATACATGTTAAACCTGATTAATTAGAGCCATTTATACATTTACATAATTGTCACTCACTACTGCAACACGCAAACAAAGAGGGGGAGGAGGGTACATAATTTATTATTGGGGGCACACACACATTAAAGAATGATTAGCCTGCAAAGAAGACTTAGCTTGTAAGGTTAAAAAGGTATTTTCAAAAACACCTGAAAGAAAAGAAAAGAAAAAAAAATTATCACCCCAGAACAGAGGATGCATAGAAGAGTGGGTCCCAAGAGGCATTTGCACCACCTGCCGCCCAATTGTTGTCACAGTGCAAAAACTGCTGCTGGTCTGAAGACCAAGCACCTGAAGCTGATGACCCCAAAATTGCTGACCCATCAATCTGTGACAGCTGCTGAGTGCTCAACGCTGTCACTTTACCATCCCCAGCAAGGCTTGTGATTTGCAATGGCAGCTCCATAGGGCACTGCTCTGTAAATGAATCAGTTTGCGTTGACCATGTTGACCAATTGGGCACTTGGTCATATGCTAATGCTGGAGACTCATTGCTCCAAGCCATGCTCTGGTTTGATGCTGTGTGACTAGGCTGAGCTTGATGATGACCCCACCGATGATCATGACCGTTAACATCTAACACAATCGGGTCCTCCTTCGCCGACCCGGATGAAGAAGGATGCGGGTTCGGGTTCACAAAACCCACCACGCCACGTGGACCAATAGGAAACGGCTCCATCTTGGCACCACCATTATTCCCCTGTGGTTGCGGAACCACACACCCTTTGCCGTCGAGCAGCTTAGCCCTGAGCGCGCCAAGCAACCCATCGGCTTCAGCCCCATTTCCACACACAGCCTCAAACGAAAAAGGCTCCACATTTTCGGCCACGCCGGCACCGCCATTGGCATGGCCGGACCCATTGGTCGATTGGGGCAATTCGAAGTTGGTTCGGGCGTTCGCACCGCGCAACGCTCGAGCCGCGTCGTCGTAGGCTCGAGCGGCGTCCTCCGCTGTGTCGAACGTCCCGAGCCAAAGCCTCACCTTTTGCAGAGAGTCCTTAATCTCGGCGACCCATCTCCCCGATGGCCTCTGTCGAACGCCCACGAACCTGTGGTGGCCTCTCGTCGATGATTTCCTCCTGCCCCGGACGCCGTCATTTTGTGCGCGTAAACCCATTGATCGGTTTTTGCTTGTCTCTGATTGAAACCGTCTGAGCACGAAGTGGCGGTGGCTTTATAATGATGGGTTAGCTGAAGAATCTGGGAGCCCGAGAAGTCGACGAATAACAAAGTGACAAAACGTCGCCGTTGAAGCCTTGCAGGCTTGATTGTTTTTAACGACAACAACATTAAAATACTTAGAGAAATGGTCACAGCAATATTTCTGCTTCCACTTATTGTAAATTTCATTACATCATTGCATACGATATGTCCCCTCTGCGTTGTCTAATCTAATGCAAGCTAATAAAGTGAAATACCTTTTGTACCCTTTGCTGTAATTTTCGATAATGGTTGGGAATTAACCGCTGCAGAAAAATGGAATCATGGGTTTTACCGCTGTCAAAGTTGAAATTTTGGGATCTACCGCAACGAGAAAAAGAAAAGGATCGTTGGAGTTACCGCTGTAACTTGGAACTTGTAGTAAGATTTATTAGACCGCTCTAATGTGAAAGGACTCTAAAGGGAATTTATTGGGGCTAATTTGGGAATTTTGGCCTTGTGCTTTTCTTATAATGTTCGAATACGACGTTATTATATCTGGTCTGATTAATGAACCAATGAGTGATTGGCAATGCCACTTGGCTGATTATATTTGTTTACTTGAGAATGACATATCTTGATCCAAACTTGAGGAAATAAGCTTGGCCTTGATTGCACTAATGTTCTGGCTGCTTCGTTTGGATTGGACTAATGTATTGATTTTTATTTTCTTTTTTGTCGAAAATAATGTATTGATCAGTGATTTTTGTTTATAAGGATTAGTTTGGATTCAATTCCAATCCAGTAAACATCGAGGCACCAAATAAGGCCAAAATGGTTATCCCCTGGTTTCATCTTAAACAAATGATTTTTGTCCCTCTTGCGAATTATTTTTTCTAACTTGTTTGCGACACATAGAGCAATTGTTTCTTGTTGGGTTCATTGGTTATTTAATGATAAACAGTCTTATTTTTAGATTTCCTACTAATTAGGTTGGTAAGAGGTTTCAAAATTTGACATTATTTTAAGACAAAAATGTTCTTATATCTTAAACCTTTTCAAACCCAATTGTTTGGTCGAGGATTGTGCTTATGTAGCTTTGTCTACTTTGGTACCTGATCTTTGGGCATCCCTACTCTAGCTGCATAGGAGGTAAGTTGTCTTCTGTATATTCTGCCATTTGGAACTTTGTCGATTAGGCTAATAATATCATACATATATACGTACATTTTTTTTAGTACAAGCGATAGTCTAAATTATAGGGGAGGAGAGTTTTTTATACACACACACTACCATATGATGCCATGAAGATTCAAACCTGAGACCACTATAGTATGCAAGTCAAGACCCCTTTTTACTAAACTAGACCTGTTGGCACTTAATTACAGTTGAATTAGAAGAAAACATGCACATGAATTTTAAATGGTTCCTGATAAACATTGTCTAGTTGTGTTGTGTCAAATACGTTCTAAATCTTATTTTCTCTTAAACTTATTTAACCTTCAAATCCGAATTCTTTCTCTCACTGAAGCATGTGTGGACACATTGTTAGTACGAAATTTGTATTGTCATTTCCTAGACTTGTTTACTGGATGTTTTGGCACAACTCATTCAACTCCATACATCCGAGGCATGACTTGACCGATATGAGAAACTTGACTTCAGGTAAATCATGACATAATCATGCATTCATTATAGGATTCCTAGTTGGAGTTTTTTTCACTCAAAGTATTTTTATCTTAATCTTATTTTTAATAGGATTAGATTTTATCTCTTGAGATTACTTTCCTAGTTGGACTCTATTTTGATTTAAGTTAAAATACTATTTTTCATCCTTGACTTGAAAAGGACATTTCATTGATACCTATTTGATCTCTTTGATAAAGATTGTTATCTTGAATAACAATCCTTGCATAAGTTGACGAATTATATAGTATTAGTGGTCTCAATGGTTTTTGAGGTTCTTCATTTTGTGCCCATATTGATTCACAACAAATAGTCATAGTTGAATAGGTTAATTGGGTGTTCATATTGCATCAGGTTAGAAGTCTTAGTTGAATGGGTCTTATAGTTGCATTGGAAGTGTAGTGACGTGGGGTTTCTCTCCAGGTAGAGAAACTGGCTTTGAATAAAAAGGATTGTTGTTCCTTTTCATTATGAGCTTTTTTCAACGCATGAGTTTTTGAATATATTGAATCTGTTTTTGTGAAAGCTGTAGTTCTTATTTTTCTTAGATAAATCATCAAGTGTTCCTTGTCTACTTTGTGATTTATCAAATCCTTTCATCATTCATATTGCATTCATATGCACGTCGGTGACTCATACGGTTGAGGGCACCAAGACCGTGGTGGCGGTTTTCCTCCGGTGAGCTTGAAGCAATCGTGGCCAGTATTGCGTTCAACATAAGGAGTGTCGAAGATCATCCCGTGACAGAAGTTGAGTTACGAAGAAGTCGGTAAACATTATCTAGAATGTGTCTAGGATAAGTGTGTGAGTACTTCTTGTAATCATCGTTCTATAGTGGATTTGTGTTGGACTGAGGAGTCCCGTGGATTTTCCCCAGAGGTGGGGTTTTACCACGTAAAATAATTCTCTGCGTGTTCTTTTATTTTATGCCCAGCACGTTACAGGATTGATAAGCCATATCAATCCTGCTACCGAAGTTTATTTTTATTTATTTGATTAGAATCTTAAATTGGCCTATTCACCCTCCTCTAGGCATTTTGAGTCATCCTGCAGGTATTTTCAATTGGCATCAGAGCAGGTTGCTGGACATACTCAGCAAGATCTAACATACCTTAGGATGGATCGTGCCTCGGGCTCAATTGCACATCCACCATATTTCGATGGCAACAACTATGGCGCTTGGAAGGCCAAAATGAAGTCGTTTCTTTGGTCCTTAGATGAACGTGTATGGAGCACAGTGGTTCATGGATTTCCTAAACCCACAAAGACGATCGGAAAAGGAGATGAAGAAACCACAGTCCTCAAAACTAGAGAGGAGTGGACCACTGCAGAAGTCACACACAGCACTAATAATCAAAAGGGGTTAAATGCTTTATTTACTGCTGTCTCTTCCGATCAATTTGAATATATATGTGCTTGTGATACTTCTAAGGAAGCTTGGGATATTTTGCAGGTTACTCATGAAGGAACAGATACTGTCAAGGGAGCCAAGCTTCAAATGCACACTTTACAGTTTGAGACACTTATGATGGATGAGAATGAAACTTTTTCTGAATTTTATGCTAAACTTTGTGTAATTGTGAATGCTTGTTCAGGTTTAGGTGAAAAAATTCCAGAAGATAGAGTTGTGAAAAAGATTTTGAGATCCTTGCCTCAACGGTTTCAACCAAAGATCACGGCTATTGAAGAGATCCGTGACTTGAACACCTTGAAAGTTCAAGAACTCATAGGGTCCATACAAACCTATGAGATGAAACATCTACCTCTTAAAAAGAGCAAAAATGTTGCGTTCAAGGTTGTAAATGAAGAAGATGATGAGCATTCAAATGAAGATTGCAGTGATGAGGAATTAACGATTCTCACAAGAAGATTCATGAACTTTCTCAAGAATCAGGATCCACGGAGTCGAGATTCAAAAGGTATAAATTCTAAAAATAGGTTTGTTAACTATACTGATGGTGGATCTAAATTTCGCAGGTTAAATGAACGAAAGAATCCAAGAGAAAAGGTCAAATGTTTCGAATGTGAAGGCTATGGACACATATCTTCGGAATGTGCCAACACCTTAAAGAAACAAAAGGATGGCAAGAATAAGGCAATGCATACTACTTGGAGTGATAGTGAATCGGAATGCGAGAATGATGAAAAGACGGTTGCACTTATAACCACAGTTAGCTTGGATGAATCACGTGAGGATGATGATTGTAAAGGTATAAATATTGAGTTTATCATGAACAAATATGATGATTTGTTGGCTGCATCTCAGAAGCTCAGTAAACAAAATAGTGAGCTCGTCAAAGAAGTTGCTGTGCTGAAGCTGGAAAATTGCAGGATTGCAAACGAGTTTCAATCCCCTGATGCAGATTCCGAAAAGGTAAGTGCAGGTATGAACGAAAAATTGATGTTTTTGCAGAAAAAATTGACTGATCAGAATAAATTAATTGCTTCTCTAACTTCTGACAACAAAGCCCTTGAACTTGAACTTAAAAATTCAAAAGAAAGGATTGTTTCTTTAACCATTGGTGCAGAAAAAATTGACAAGATGATTAGCATGGGACGAAGAGATGGTGACAAACGAGGCTTGGGATTTGAACCAAGTAATAAGTCTTCCGCTGTGTCTAAAACAAAGTTTGTCAAATCCACTTCACCTATTGAACCTTCTGCCTCTCATGAAGTCAAGAAATTTATTCCAATTTGTCACTTTTGTGGAACTCGTGGGCACATAAGACTGAGATGCAATAAGCTTCGAAACGAATTTGTTCGTTCAAATTCTCATGGCATGGGTGGAAAAGTAAGTATCCAACATAAAATTTCAAATCTTATGAAAGAGGTAAACCGCTTATCCAAACTATCTTCTTTTCATTGTTTGCCGTCAACTAAGACAAAGTTAGTTTGGAGGGAAAAGGAAAATCATAATTGTATGTCTTCCTCCACTAATGTTGTGCATGAACCCGTTGCTTTAGAAAGTTTGGATCTTAAATGTATTGCTGCAAAACCCTTGGATAATCTTCGATTTGACACTCTTAGAAAGTCTTTAGGTATATGTGCTCTAGATTAATTTGGAGTCTATTGCATGCCAAAGCCTCTTTCATGTTTTATGATATTTCAATTAATTTCTGTGTTTATAAATCTGTCCAGCTCGTGCAAGGATTGTTAAGGTGTATCAATCCTGTAACTGTCTGAACGTATTTGTTGATCTTAGATTGGGCTCTGACATTGCACTATATTAAGAACTTACACTCTCAGCTTCACACAAAGGTTTCCATTGTCTTGGTGCATTATAAACTTCATTAAATGATCTATCCATCTATTTATTTTTATTTTGCACACCACACTCTTTTCCTTGAAGTCCTTTGAATATCTCTTATCATGCACTTTTCTCTCTTTGGATTGCCATAACACTACTGTGCGTAAGTTCTTGATCTGTTTATAAAAATAAAAATAAAATAATAATTAAAAAAAAAAAAAAAGGGTGTCAACCACTCATTGCTCAGTAACCGGGCCTCTTGTCTAACCAACGTCGAGGTTCGAGTCAACAGGTTGTGATGGTTTGCTATCCTTGCTTATCTTTGGAGCCTTCATGATTCGGATCAGTATTTCCCCAGGGTGCTTCATCACCCAGTTGCCTCCAGTCATCTGACGTAAGCACACTGATTGACCATCCGTTACATGGATCATGTCGAAAGCTAGATAAAGTGAGCCACAAAATTCGTATTAAAAAATATATATATATAAATTGATCTTCTTATACTTACTATGCACTTAGTGTTTGTGCAATCTTTGGTGGGATTCGTCTTGTGTGGACATATTTTTTGTGCTTAATTGAAAAAGAGTTCATTTAACACATTTGCTCCTTGATGGTAGACTCATTTGATGCCTTTTTATCTTTCACCATGACTGTGGTATGCCTCTACTGTTCTCTGTGAGTTTGTGAGTCTCGTGTGCTGTCGTGTGTTTGTCCCTGACATGCTTTGCTTCACATGCGTTCAAGACAACAAAGGGTTTGTTGCTTCTTTCATTCTTTACTCACAAACTTGGCATGGAAAATAATTATATTTTCAAGAGAACTTTGGGTCTGCATCTACAGTATGTTTTATGTCTTGATTGTTTTGAGCTTTCTGTCTTGAGTGTATTGCTTTTGTTTTTGTATGTTTTGGTTCTTAACAACTTCTCATTATTCTTTTTAGTTCTCTATTTTCCTGTCGCTTATCCCAAAAAAAAAAAAAAAAAAAAAAAAATTTATGTTTGTTTTCAAGATAAAGCCTCTTACATGCTTTATTGGTTATTCTCTATGTCTTTATATGTTGGGAATGCAATTTTTTATTTTTTTTTTTTTTTTTTTCTTTCTTTCCTTTATATTTGCTCCATTATGTTCATTCTTTGCCCTTGACAAAAAGGGGGAGAGGGAATTAAGGGGGAGAGATTGTGTTATGAAATTAAGGGGGAGTTGTGTTGTAATTCTGCTTTGAATTACATTTCTTCTCCCACATGCTTCACTGGTTTTGTTGTTTCATAATGTGCAGGGATTCAGGGCTTCAAGCTTAGAATAAGAATTCATTTGTTAAATCCCATGTAATTTCTTTTGAGTTGTAATAGGTGTTTTGTCTAGGAAATGCCAAAGGGGGAGATTGTTAGTACGAAATTTGTATTGTCATTTCCTAGACTTGTTTACTGGATGTTTTGGCACAACTCATTCAACCCCATACATCCGAGGCATGACTTCACCGATATGAGAAACTTGACTTTAGGTAAATCATGACATAATCATGCATTCATTATAGGATTCCTAGTTGGAGTTTTTTTCACTCAAAGTATTTTTATCTTAATCTTATTTTTAATAGGATTAGATTTTATCTCTTGAGATTACTTTCCTAGTTGGACTCTATTTTGATTTAAGTAAAAATACTATTTTTCATCCTTGACTTGAAAAGGACATTTCATTGATACCTATTTGATCTCTTTGATAAAGATTGTTATCTTGAATAACAATCCTTGCATAAGTTGACGAATTATACAGTATTAGTGGTCTCAATGGTTTTTGAGGTTCTTCATTTTGTGCCCGTATTGATTCACAACAAATAGTCATAGTTGAATAGGTTAATTGGGTGTTCATATTGCATCAGGTTAGAAGTCTTAGTTGAATGGGTCTTATAGTTGCATTGGAAGTGTAGTGACGTGGGGTTTCTCTCCAGGTAGAGAAACTGGCTTTGAATAAAAAGGATTGTTGTTCCTTTTCATTATGAGCTTTTTCAACGCATGAGTTTTTGAATATATTGAATCTGTTTTTGTGAAAGCTGTAGTTCTTATTTTTCTTAGATAAATCATCAAGTGTTCCTTGTCTACTTTGTGATTTATCAAATCCTTTCATCATTCATATTGCATTCATATGCACGTCGGTGACTCATACGGTTGAGGGCACCAAGACCGTGGTGGCGGTTTTCCTCCGGTGAGCTTGAAGCAATCGTGGCCAGTATTGCGTTCAACATAAGGAGTGTCGAAGATCACCCCGTGACAGAAGTTGAGTTACGAAGAAGTCGGTAAACATTATCTAGAATGTGTCTAGGATAAGTGTGTGAGTACTTCTTGTAATCATCGTTCTATAGTGGATTTGTGTTGGACTGAAGAGTCCCGTGGATTTTCCCCAGAGGTGGGGTTTTACCACGTAAAATAATTCTCTGCGTGTTCTTTTATTTTATGCCCAGCACGTTACAGGATTGATAAGCCATATCAATCCTGCTACCGAAGTTTATTTTTATTTATTTGATTAGAATCTTAAATTGGCCTATTCACCCTCCTCTAGGCATTTTGAGTCATCCTGCAGGTATTTTCACACATCACAGGAAAGTGTGTGCCTTCTGGACGATCAACAAGCACTCTCGTTTCTTTTATTATTCTTCATCAGAAAGAAAATATATCAAAATGATTAATTATTTATGATAATCTAACTAAAGATACCACAACATATCATGGATATAATCGTCTATAGTTGACGTACTTAATAGAAATATTTAGTTATATATCTATTCTTAGCACTAATGATATCCGCAGAGGCTAAACGACATTCCCACACAACAACTCATCTGCTAAAAAGCAATGAATGCATTCATGTCTTCAATAAGTGACTTCAGAATGGACATTGGGCATCATGTGCCCTTTGTAACTTTTTGCAATATCTTTCATCCATTTTTTTCCGTTTTTCTTTTGGATGATAAGTGTTGGAAATATGAGTGTTAAATTGCTATAAAATAAACAAAATAAATACTGCACATAAAATAGATTTTTACAAAAGGAGAATTGAATTAGAAGAACCTTAATTGAGTCGAGGCAAGTGTTGGACACTTTGACCTTAAGACGAATTACGCTCAATAATGGTGCTTATGGTTCACTAGCATTCGCCACTCAGGATACAACGACTCTGATAAATTTGGAACAGATAAGCGGGTCTAAGGGTATTTCTAAAGAGAGGTTTTCACAAAGAACTTTGAACCAAATTATGTAGGAACCTATTTTTATGAAAACTCTAATGCTCTCTATATATGAAAGTCTGTACGTAGAGAATTAAACTGAATGAATAAAATTGCAGGAGGATTGCTCTATTTATAGATGATGAAATACCATTTCCAAAAAGGTATCCTAATCTGAAAAGACAAACAATGCATCCCTTAGCCTGAAAAGTTGTCACCTCAAACAATGCATCCCTTTGTTTGAAGAGTTGTCACCCCCCAATTGAAGATGTCTTTAACCCAATGGATTTTATTAATTTCTATTCAAATAGGAAAATTAATATTAGTTAATATTAAATTTCCAACAATAAGAGCTACTTACTCATAGGTATATCAGATAGGTCTGAAAAGGAAAAAATGGTAATGCGGCACAAATGTAATTACTTGAATCGTTTTCCGACAGTTCTTGCTGAATGTCGAACAGGTGTTGCTCTCATCAAATCTTTGTTTCCATCATCTGATCTTCAACCTTAACATTTGCGGAATGTTCTTCTACATATGTAGTTTCATTTTTATGATCACTTCCCTTGTTTTCTGATGTTGAACCTGCACCACCTTTAAAGTCCTATTTTGTTTGTTGTCCATGAAGCCAACAAATTCCTGAGAGTGGATCATCAAAAAATGATATGTACATTCTATCAGCACGACATACCTATATGAACAGAAACTAACCTCAGTAAGTTCTTAAGGCAAATCAAGTTGGCCTTCTTCAAGGTTTCCGATGCTGGGACATGAAAAGCTAATGTTGATATATTTAAACAGTATAGCCGCGCGGCTATAATATTTAATATTCAAATATATTTGAAGAGTATAACCTCGCGGCTATACCCTTTAAATATTAATATATTAAATAGTAGAGCCTTCACTCCCTTGATAACATGAATATCCATGCTGGAACTGAGCAGAGCAGCTACACAGACAAAATTTCTTCTGCCATATCTGTAATTGATGAGAAGGCAATCTCTGCAAAAAAATGTCGTTGTTTCCAAGCTGGGATATTGGGGAAACAATGATCAACATGGAGATATTAAGCCTCAGGCTTGTACTGCTTCAACTAAAGCAGGTAACTATAGGATTAATAATGACACCCTCCTGATTACGGCTTAATCTGTTTTAGACTTAGCAAACTATGTATATATTTTTGTTACTGCAAATTGATTTCTTATTTCCTAACATGTACCTGCTGATTATTTCCTAACATGTGACAGGTGGTGGAGATGAACAAAAACCACACCAAAATCTGAGCACTGGAACATACATATCATCTGCTGGAAGCCACGACCAGTTTTCTGCTGAGAGACCATCAAACCAGAGCAGCACCTATACTGAGAAAATTTCATCTGCCACATCTGCTATAGCCGACAAGGCAATATCTGCTTAGAACGTCGTCGCTTCCAAACTCGGATATGGAGGGAACAATGCAGCCAAGCCTGGTGGATCAACGGCGCCTGAGAGAGGCCGTTGCAGAGATTTTCCGACATGTGGTTGAAGAAGGTGCGAAAGGATGGGGTGGCGCTCGGGCCTTGGGCTTGGGCTTGGGCGGAGCCGCCAGAGGTTGCGGTGGTTGAGGCTGGAAGGATTGGAGGTGGGGTTGGGTTCGACCTTGAGGGTCGATGGATCTGAAGTGTGAATTTTTCTTTAGGGATTTTGGGGGTGTTTTTGGTTATAAAAGGAAAAAAAAAGTAATTTAAAATACAAATGAAACAGGCCCTACAGGCGTTGTGTAGGCCCATTGACCTCGAGCTAACAAAAAATTCAAAAATTGATGACCTAGTCCAAAACAGAACTAGTTCATTTACTATATTCTAATTATTTTCCATTTTATTCTGTGTTACCACATTTTTCTTATAATATATGAAAAACATTTGAACCACAAGGTGTGGTGTGGTTGGTAAATTGCCACCTCCAACTAGCAAGCTACCTAATGCCTCAATGACAGGGGTTCAAAACTCGTTGGAAGCACTTTGTGGCTAAAGGCAAGCTGAATCCTGAGCGGGGATTAACCTCACCCAGGTCAATAATTATTTTTATGTAGAATAACTATGTGCTTCTTGATATAATCACTTTTAGTAATTTTAAGTGAATCACTTAAAAGTCATTATTTGGAGAACTTTTAGTAATTTTAAGTGATTCTAAGAAGAAGCATCTCCCATATGTTTCTCCACAAAAGTGATTTTAGTCTATTCAGAATCACTTTCAAACGAGTCCTTATACATATTCATTTTATCTTATATTCATAATGATTTATCCGACCGAGGACTTTCGATTCTAAATAAGTAAAGATGTCATAATTTTCGTACTATCTCTACTATCCCTTCACTACCTAAGCTAGGGCAATACTTGATTATGTAATGAAGCAGAATATGGTAATTTCACTGTACTCATTTGGATAAAAATTCAACATCGTATTGTTTGCAGCAATTTATTTATCTTTAGACTTTAGTTATGTTTCTTTGTAAAAATTACACCTTTTTTTTTTGTTCTTGATAATAGGAAGAGGGAGTAGTAGAAGAAAACATATGACGTTTTCATTTATTTTGTAATTTTAAATAATAGTACACATGCATAAAAAAAATCAAGATATCTAATATAAAGGGCAAAAAAAAAGACAATTATTATTATTAATTTTTAAAAACAAATCCGACTTAGTCAATTTTCGCTTCTTTTAAGCAACAACGAAAAAAAAAAACTAATTTACTCTCACATAAAAAAAAAGCGAAAAACTAATTCATTTTCATTTTGTCGGAACCAAAGCGGTAGTTATATAATTACGGACTTACTTTTTACGCTACTGTGCGTGCTTAGTTCTAACGCGACGCGCCTCCACACTCGTGTAAATAGCTTTTGGCTCCACCAATTCTGACATCGACGAGCGAGACTTGGGAGATTGCAAGCCAAGCCATCAATCATTCTGCGACTTCAAACCCTTCCCTCTCTCCCGATTTCTTTCCATTTCATCACTTTCGATCTCACAACTCGAAGCCCTCGTCGTCTTCAGATCGACGCCCAGTTCCTGTTTCGAAACCCTACTTCCACATTCGCTCTTCTCCATCGCCTTCGCTCACTTTCAGGTACTTCGAAAACCCTAGCCTTCGGTTTTAGTTTGTTTATCAGGTTTACGATTGCGTTTAATTTCTGTTGTATTGTATTGATGCTCTGGTTTTCTGATTTCTGGAATGGGTCGCGTTAATTCGACTTGTTTGAGCGATTTCTCGCATTGTTAGATTCTCGTTGCCTTGTTAAATATGAGTTTTTGATGAAATTTGTGTTAACTTTGTGTTCTGTTTCTGTTTCAGCTTGGGATCGACAATCTAGCCCTGATTTTGAATACAGAATCGTAAGACAAGATGTTTGGTTCTACTAACCGTAAGCTTCTTTTCTCTATCTTTTACTTGATCCTTGAGTTTGATTTTGTTTCCTCATCCTATCTGCATTCAATTTTTTATTATTTCATTCCATATTTGAATAATTGTTTTCTATGTTATTTTTTTAATCACACATATCGTTTCTTCTGCTGATGTGTTTTCTAGATTTTACTGTTGTTTTCTTTCGAACAACGTCAACGACAAGTGTAATTTTATTTGTTCTTTCCTTCCTCTGTGCATTTTTGTGTGTGCTTGCTCACACATGTACTTGTATAATGCTCGAACTTTTTTTTTAAAATTTTATCTTTCTCCCCCTTGCAGTTTTCTCTGTTTCGGGGCAACTGTTTTTTATTTCTTCCAGGCCCCTAATAAATTGTTGGTGATAGTTGTATGAGGACTACCCTTTTCTTCGTGAAATTCTCCTTCTGGTCCTATGAACTTGGTGGTGATTTTAAGACTATGAATTTTGAAGATGCATATAGGGCCTGTAATTTGTCATTCCCGTTTTCTTTGTTTCATTCTAAGATGAACACGACATGCATTTACTGTCAGTTTTGGGCTATGATTATGTTTATCTGATGTTCTGTTAGTGCTGCTTTTACTCCCTGAAGAAACATTGTGATTGGTAATTTTTTTTTGGCACGAAAATTAATAATTCAATGTGTGGAACATTGTTTAGCAGCTTTTGGGCAGTCATCTAGCAGCCCGTTTGCATCCCAACCGGTCTTTGGGCAGACCAGCAACACAAGTAACAATCCTTTTGTTCCCAAGCCTTTTGGTAGCACAACTCCGTTTGGTGCCCAAACAGGGAGTTCCATATTTGGCGGCACTTCAACTGGTGTATTTGGTGCAGCTCAATCTACTTCACCTTTTCCTTCCTCAACGACCTTCGGTGCTTCATCCTCACCAGCTTTTGGAAATACAACTCCTGCTTTTGGAGCAGCTTCTAGTCCGGCTTTCAATAGTTCACCATCACCTTTTGGTGGTAAGTTGATTCAGTTAGTTTAAATTTCTACATTTTGTGCATCACCACCTTTCAAGTGATTCATTTTAATGTAATTACTGTGAAATACGGTTATTAGAATTTGTTTACAATGCCCCCTATCATTTTTAATGCCCTTCAGGTTTATACTGAGTTTTCTTGGAAATTTATGAGGTTATTGAGCATTTTCAAATCTAATGCTATATATAAGTGGATTATGCTTTCTGTGTGAGATGGCTATGTTGTTGTCAAAAGTTTTTGTTCCGTATGCATTTTTTGGTGTAGTGCTAACTTGTAAAGGACTTGTGTATGAGATGGGTCCAACAGCTGACTTGTGGAAGAAATTTTTTTATTGGGCTGGAACTTAAACTGTTTTTTGTTGTTGTCATGCTGTGGACTTATTTCCTTACCAGATGAATTTGGATTATCTTTCTTTTTGTGTGTAAGTAAATAGATTATTGTTTAGGTTTCTGGTTATTTGATGCATGCACACATGTACTGGATTAGATTGAATGTATATAACTAGGGTTCAAGTATTAAGAAATATCGCGAGTGCAATTAAGACTTTGAGAGTGGAAGAGGTATGATTATTATATCTTTAGTTGCTCTGGTTTTTGTGTGAGGGATTGATTTCATCTTGTATTTTAAGCAGACATTTGTTCACCTCAATTAGAGGAGCTTTACTTCTTAATCTATACATGCAGCTTTATATATTTGTCTTGCACCAGTTTGTGTTTTCTTTTGCTTGCTGAGGTCACCTCCATTTTAGAAGCTCATCAACAATCTACATTGAATTATAATGGATGCGTAATCTACAAAATTGCTTTGTTATTTGGTTAACATGTTCATCTTCATTCATCTCTCTGTGCCCAAATCTTTGTTATTTGGATAACTTGTTGTCACTGATGATACTCACTTTCTCAACAGGTTCATCTGGTTTTGGTCAGAAGCCTGTTTTTGGAGCATTTGGGTCCAATACTACTCAACCAAGTCCTTTTGGAAGCACAACTCAGCCATCACAGCCCGCATTTGGGAGCGGTATATTTGGTTCCACCACACCATTTGGTGGATCAAGTCAGCCAGCCTTTGGGGCTACTAGCACCCCCCCAGCCTTTGGGGCTACAAGTAGTCCAGCCTTTGGTGCTACTACCACCCCAGCGTTTGGTGCTACTACCACCCCAGCATTTGGTGCTACAAGCACCCCAGCCTTCGGGGCTACTAGCAACCCCCCAGCCTTTGGGGCTACTAGCAACCCCCCAGCCTTTGGGGCTACAAGCAGTCCAGCCTTTGGTTCCACAACAAGTCCTACGTTTGGAAGCACAGGATCTGCATTCGGGGTGTCAAATTCTTCCGTGTTTGGATCTACGGGAGCCTTTGGGGCTTCAAGCACCCCAGCTTTTGGTTCATCTGGATCCACTTTTGGTACTTCAAGCAATCCAGGTTTTGGTGCGTCAAGTGCTCCTGGTTTTGGTTCATCCAGTACTCCATCTTTCAGCTTTACATCAGCTCCTGCTTTTGGCCAATCAAATTCTACATTTGGTAGTTCCTCATCTCCATTTGGAGCACAGAGTTCTCCATTCGGTGAGTAAGTTTAGATGTATATGAGTGGTGGTACATTTTGAAAGAAAAACTGGACTATTGTTTTTGCCGGTCAAGGAATATCTTGTTGTCTTTCATACAGTCAAGGAATGCCTCATTTTGCTTTGTGTCATTGTATCTGTATTATATTCTTATAATTTGTGATGCAGGAACTCAGCCAACACCATTGGGGAACAATACCTTTGGGCAGTCAGCTTTTGGGGGCCAACAACGTGGGGGTAGTAGAGTGGCTGCATATACTGAAACTCCTGAACCAGATGGTGGTAGTGGGGCTACTGCTGCAAAATTGGAGTCAATATCAGCAATGCCAGTATATAAAGACAAAAGTCACGAAGAACTTCGCTGGGAGGATTATCAATTGGGGGATAAAGGTATGTTGTTAGTTATTAGAAAAGTTGCCGCGGTTGTCAGAAATTATGACATTTATTAGGTTCTAAACATGATAATTTGAACTTCCAGGTGGTCCAGCTCCTGCAGGTGGGAGTGGCTTTGGCATGTCTACGGCACAACCAAACTCTTTGAATACTGCGTCATCATTTCCTCAAGCATCTACAAGTCCTTTTAATACCGCAACTGCACCTAATTTGTTTACTCCAAAAACTCCATCCTTCCCTTCTACAGGCTTTGGAACATCGTCTACACCATTCAGTTCATCATCTTTTGGGCTTTCTACTTCAACCAATATTTTTACCCCATCATCATCTCCTTCGGGTTTTGGACAAACCTCATCTCCATCTCTCTTTACTTCATCAGCGCCATCCACATTTTCATTTTCTGCTCCAGCTCAAACATCAAATTCCACATTTAATACGGGAATGTTCAATTCCACTGCTCCAGTTGCACAGACAGGTAGTACTTTTGGACTAAGTACCACTTCGTTTGGGCAGAACACAGCCCCATTTGGTCAATCAAATGCATTCAATACTCCCTCTACTGGCTATGGTTTGGGGAGCTCCTCTACTGCTAGTGCTACAAGCAACCTGATGGGTTTTAGTCAACCAGCTGTAAGTTTTTTTCTTTTCCTATTAATTGTAGTAGGTTTTAATTGATAATTTTAGTTGATTTTTTACCTATTAACTTGCCCATGCAGCCTTCTTTTCCCCAGCCTTTCCAGTCATCTCAGACTCCTCAGAACAATGGGTTTGGATTCAACAGTTTTAATCAAACTCAGCCAGGTATCATATGTGTTGGACATGCTTATGTTTTTTCAAGCAATATAGCCATTGAGCTTCTTTTTTTCTTCTGTTGATGGTGCTGACTTTATCAATTGGTTGTCTTTGCCTTCGTAGGCAATACAGGTGGCTTGGGTGGTTCAGTGGGAATTCTTGGACAGAATAACTTTGGACAATTGTATGTCATGTGACTCATATCTCATGTGGTTAATAACTCTTGTGTGTATGTGTTCGTTGTATATTTACTGTTAATTGTATTTGAATGCAAGTTTGTAGAATCATAGTGGTGTGTCCTCTTGTTTCATTTACATTGATTAAAAGTTGCAGAAATTTTTGGGACAAAACAAATCTCATTAATGTGGAATGTCTTAGTATATTCATTCCCATTCATCTAAAAAAGGGTGACTATTATATTATCTTGGGAGTAGGAGAGTTATTTTTATTTTGTTGATTTAATTGGTTATTTAATGACGGATAATCCCCAACTTCGGAGTATATGAAATGTTGGCATTTTGTCTAAGACGATGTTCTTATCCCGATCTCATGTAGCTTTATCTAGTTTGGGAGGTCTTTGGGCATCATTAAGCTACACAGGGTTTTTGTTTTGTTTTAAATGTCCATGGATTAAGCTATATGGAGTTGTCTTCTGTTTATTTTTCCGTTTGGAAGTTTCCAATTAAAATATGGACTGGAAAAAAAAAAACTATTTCTGTTGTTTTTTACAGGTCTGCTACTCAAAGCTCTGCAGCTGTACAACCAGTACCTGCTACCAATCCATTTGGAACGCTCCCTGCAATGCCTCAGATGTCAATTGGTCGTGGTGGAACTGCACCATCAATTCAATATGGGATTTCAAGCATGCCTGTAAGATGAATTTCTTATAATGATGTTTTGTTTAATTTGAGATTCAAGTTGATGTAAGTGTCAGTTTCTATTGAGAATCATGTCTGTGGTTGTGATTTCAATTCAATGGATATTTTCTTAAATGTCCTGTGAAGGAAAATGGAATATGACATTCACTTTGTTTTTCTGTCAGGTTGTAGACAAACTGGCGCCTGCTAGAATGTCATCATCTTTAGTGACTTCTCGACACCTGACTCAAAGGCGGGTCAGATTGCCTGTGAGAAAATATTATCCTAAGAATGATGATCAAAGGGTGAGGATATGCTTTGTGTGAACAGTTAAATTAATCAGTATTAGGTTTCCTGTTCAGGCTACATATGAATATTGTGCTTATACCTTTTTTCTCTTTTGTTTTGCAGTTCCCTTTCTTTATTGATGATGAAGAAACAGTCAATACCCCCAAGGCGGATGCTCTTTTCCTTCCCAGGGAAAACCCAAGAGCACTCGTCATTCGTCCCAAAGAACAGTGGCCTCTAAGGGCCAGTGCTGAGAAAGCATCCCCATTAAAGGATACTTCTACTCCGGTGCATGAGAATGGTAAGTTCTGTTACTTGTGTGGCGGTCGTTTGAGTTGTATTAGAAGGTAGAAATGAGGGTTAGCCCAGCCTGTGCTAGGATAAGTAGCACATTATGTCTTTCCTGTCTGCTCTTTGTGCCTTCCTTTGTCAATATTCCCTAAACCGGGTGACACTTTAATTAGTGTTTTGCTTTGTATTTCTTTTGCCTTTTCACTGTAGCTTCTTCATGTGTGGGTTCAACTTTGTAATGGCATATATAATGAGTATGTAATGCAGCTAGTTACCATTTATTAGGCATTTTAGGTCCTGGGTTTTTTTTATATATATTTGTATTTTCATCATTATGCACAAATGTTGAAAGTTTTGAAAATTTTATCAAATTCATTTAGTGTGAATGAGCATATTGTCGACTCTGCTGAACACTTGTTGATTGAGGAAAATTTTTGGGAGAAGCATGTAATCCCCTCTTAGGTGGCTCCAATTCTGAGGATAAAGGTAGTGAGTATACGTTTTTATGACTTTAGGTTATTGTGCCATTTACTGTATAGCTAGTAGTTTCTTGTATTTAGTAAGTAACATAAGATGCCTGCCCTTTTGTTTTGCTGTGGTTGTATTTTAAAGTCATGAGCTGTAAGCAAGAAATACTGACCTGATGATGCAAAACATGTTGAGCCATAATGCTTTCAGTTGAATAGTGTTTGTAGTGTTGACAGATTTGCTTTATGTTGTTTCAGAAACTCCACATGAAGATAGCATTGTCAAGGAGCGTGTGAATCATGTCAAAGCCAACCAGAAACCTAACGGAGTCCATGATGATCATTCTATTCAGAAAGGGGACTCATATATGACACTGAGTGGGCATAGAGCCGGTGAGGCTGCTATTGTATATGAGCATGGCGCTGACATTGAAGCACTAATGCCAAAGCTCCGGCGCTCTGACTACTATACAGAGCCTCGAATCCAGGAACTGGCGGCGAAGGAAAGGGCAGAACCTGGGTTCTGCTGTCACGTCAAGGACTTTGTGGTCGGACGAGTTGACTATGGTAGCATCAAGTTCTTTGGTGAGACAGATGTGAGACGCCTTGATCTGGAATCTGTGGTGCAGTTTAACAATCGGGAGGTGATAGTGTACATGGATGACAACAAGAAACCTCCTGTTGGGCAAGGCCTCAATAAACCTGCTGAGGTAACACTTCTCAACATTACATGCATGGACAAAAAAACAGGGCGCCGGTTTACAGAAGGGCCAAAAACTGAAAAATACAAGCAGATGTTGAAGAAGAAAGCGGAGGATCAAGGTGCTGAGTTTGTCTCTTATGACCCCTTGAAAGGAGAGTGGAAGTTCAAAGTAAGCCACTTCAGTAAGTACGAGTTGGGAGATGAAGACGACTGGGATGTGGATGGTGCCCAAGATTGCTGACGGAAGATGGAGTCGATGTGTTAAATATGTGGTCTTTTGTGTGTTTCCAACCAAGGGTTTTGTCATGGATGAAGATTAATTTTGGAATTGTATAGAACTTAGGGATAAGTGGTACCGTATATAGCTTTGGAAACGATGTTGGCGCTCTGACTATATTACTGGTGTGTTGGTTGTGTTTTGGGTTTTAGAGTCGTGTTTTGTCTTACATTTCCATTCTTTTCACTGTCATTATTGGTCTTTATTTTTACTTGGTGTTTTGATGGTGAAGCAGAGAATATTGGTTGGGTCAAAATTCATATTTGGGTTTACGGAATTTTTATTTTTGGACGAATGGTTTACTGAATTTGGTGTGAAAAGTGGGAGAAAAAAAAAGGGTTTATTGTTTTTTAACGCTGAAATTGTTTGCATTCTTTTAATCATGTTTTATTTTATACACAAAATTTCTCCATTCTTTATTTTTATGTTTAGCCATGGCATTTCCATTTCCATCCACAATCGTCTCCATCTCTAACTTGTCTCTCAAGTAAATTTTTTTGAAGTCCAACTCTTTCATACAATTTGAGAGTAACAATTAAATTGAAAACAAAAAACAAAAAGTTTACAAGTGTACTACCATAAAAGCATAATGTAAGTCTACTTGTGTTTTGTTGCAGGTATTTATAAATTAAATTCACTTATTATACAAATATATCACATATTATTCAATAAAAATGTTATAAATTAAAAATATTAAATAAATAACAATACTTATTTTTATTGTATTTTCCTTATAATTTTATCAAGTAATATAATTTTGTAAAAGAAGCCAAAATAGACAAAATTACCCTTATTTATTTTTGGATTTCCTAAGGAATCATTTACATTTGCATATCTTTGATTTGAAAGTTGAGAGGTTTTTCTGTCTTTTTTAAAAAAGCTTTGGCTTTTTTCAAAAGCGAAATTTTTTTTTTGTTAAAACCTAAATTTACTTAACATATTCGGGTATTTTATTCAAAATTTTCCTTTTTCGTGACTGGGAGAAGACGCTTTTTTCTCAATTGTGATTGGGCTTTCAAGTTTGAAGTTTTAAATGTAGCCCACGATGGAGAAGCCGCTGGGTGTCCATGTGAAATTCATTTCTATATATACGTGGCCGTCCCCCTAGGGTTTTAGGGTTTGTGGGAGGCGCCAGTCGTGAGACACTGAAACCAGAGGAGGAAGAAGAAGAAGATGAAGACGATACTATCCTCGGACTCCATGGAGATCCCCGACGGGGTGACCATAAAAGTGAAGGCGAAGGTGATAGAGGTGGAGGGTCCGCGAGGAAAGCTGACCCGAAACTTCAAGCACCTCAACCTGGACTTCGATCTCATCACCGACGAGGCCACCGGGAAGAAGAAGCTAAAGATCGAAGCCTGGTTCGGGACCCGCAAGACCAGCGCCGCCATCAGAACGGCTATCAGCCACGTCGAGAATCTGATCACCGGCGTCACCAAGGGCTACAGGTATAAGATGAGATTCGTCTACGCTCACTTTCCGATCAACGCTTCGATCCCCAACTCCAACAACGCGATCGAGATCCGAAACTTCTTGGGCGAGAAGAAGGTGAGGAAGGTGGAGATGCTTCAGGGCGTGAACATCTACCGGTCTGAGAAGGTGAAGGACGAGCTGGTTTTGGATGGAAATGACATCGAATTGGTGTCGAGGTCTGCTGCTCTCATAAACCAGAAGTGCCATGTGAAGAACAAGGATATTAGGAAGTTTCTTGATGGGATTTATGTGAGTGAGAAGAGGACGATAGCTGAAGAGGAGTGATTAGATTTTAGGGATTTGTACTTGTTAAGAGTGCTTTTTCTGATATTGAGTTTTTCATTTTACTTTTTTCATTTTTCTTTTTTATAATATCTTGGATGGAAATTTTGATGAGTAAGTTTTACTGTATTTTGGGTTTCCATTGCCACACATAAATTGTGGAATTCTGGGATTATTTTATGCAGGTTATTGATTTTTAAAGATTTTTAAAGTGAGAAATCTTTCTTTGCACAATCTTCATTTTTAAAGCCAAAATCTGGAAGAACGCCGCACTAATAACAATCCCCCAAAAATGGTTCTTTATAGTTGCACTATCAAGTAAGTTAAACCCTGGAAAAAGTAAGGTGTCATGCCTTTTTAGAATTGGTAAACTGATTGTGAATTCCACTGAAAACCCAACCCATTAAAACTTGAAGTAGTGATCCCAATTTTAAGTTAGTCCAAGAAAGTTTCATATCCATATCAATGGAGGGATGCTCTTATTACCTGGCAATGGTACTGGTTCAGCTCATATATGGTGGATCAAACATCCTCATAAAATTCTCCCTTGCAGAAGGACTCAATCCGATTGTCTTCGTCGTTTACCGGCATGTTATGGCTATGGTTTTGGTAGGACCATTTGCATATGTACTTGAAAGGTAAGCTCTCAATTCATTCTTGCATCTCTTCATATTTCCAGGCAGTAAAAACAGAGAAAACTAATTCTTGAATGGATTTGCAAAGCAGGAAGCAAAGGCCTTCACTTTCATTTTCTGTAGCTGCAAAAATTTTTGTGCTTGCATTATTTGGAACCACCATCCATCTGAATGTGTACTATGCTGGTTTAGCATACACTTCTCCAACAGTTGCATGTGCCTTGAGTAATGTTATTCCCAGCTTGACATTTCTAATGGCAGTTCTACTTGGGTATATTCTCTGTCCTTTCCTCTCCCTTGCTTAATTAGAAAGGGGAATATAAATGTTCTTTTTTCCTGTTCTGCAATTTGCTTGTTCTTACACAGGTTGGAGAAGTTGAAGATTAGAACTGCTAGAGGTCAAGCTAAGGTGGCTGGCACACTTTTCTGCATTGGTGGTTCTCTTGTTTTCACTTTCTGGAAAGGAGGATACCTATTTAGAGGTTTTGTAAAGAGGCCACTGATAAATACATCTGTTGGTGAGATGAGGCATGTTAAGGAAAACTGGATCAAGGGGGCTCTTCTTATTCTGACGAGTCACATTGCATGGAGTGCATGGCTAATCCTCCAGGTGATTTTATAATTGAATTAAGATGACACCCTTTTATGTCATGTAATGTCCAAGTTTAGTTCTTTGTCCAACTTTGGCTCTGTGGTCTCACAGGCTGTGGTCTCCAAAGTCTACACTGCTCGATTATCGCTAACCACGATGATATGCTTTTTCGCGTCGTTGCAATCTTCTTTTCTTGCCCTGTTTTTCGCAAGAAATCTAATTTCATGGAGACTGGAGTGGAACCTGCAACTTCTAACCATCGTCTACTGCGTGAGTGTTCTCTTTCTCATATCTTATTATTAGGTTCACGACGTCGATTTAAACAATTGATCATGCAAATTCTTATCCAAATCTGTGGTTCGATTTAAAAACCTCACAGCAGAACATGTAGAAGAGAACATTGTCTTGTGTGTGTGTATAAAGTAAATCAATGGGACATCCTATTTTGTTGTGTCTTATTGGGTGTTTTTCTCCTTGTTGGTATAAGATATATTTGAATCTGTCACAAGTTCCGGTCTTCATCCACTCCTTACTTTTGCAATAGGGAGTTGTAATCTCAGCATTAGCCTACTACCTACAAACATGGTGCATCAGTTACAGGGGACCAGTTTTTGCAGCTATGTTTAGTCCACTTCAAGTCATTATAGTGGCATTGTTCTCTGCAATTGCTTTCTCAGAGAGACTTCACTTTGGCAGGTAACCTGAAGAACATAAACAACTTCTTCCTGTTCCATCTTACTACTTCCAAATTTGATGGTTTCATTTATCCATTCTATCACTGTAGTTAGTTTCTCATGAAAAATAGTCACAAATTTAATGTGGATTTTGTGTAAGTGGTGGTGTCCAGCTTGATCGGAGCGTTTCTCATTATTGTGGGCCTCTACTGTGTGCTGTGGGGAAAGAGGAAAGACAATCTTGTTGCTGAACAGACAGAGAATGGAAAAGGGGTACTTGAAGACATAGAAGTGCTGGAGAATGATATTTCAGTCACAAATCCAGTCGCTAGAGAAAGGACATGATCATAAGAGTTGAGTTTCTTTACACATTATACAGAAGATCAATCCCAGATAAAATTTCAGAGAGGTAACTATAAATGATTGCCAAATTGATAGTGGTTGGAGTCCTACAATCCAATCCATATGAACTTATTAATACAACAAATCAACAAGAGAAATCCTTGTTCTCTTTCATGGTGTCATTTCAGGTAGTTTTCAATATCAATCACAAACCGGTATATCACAACACTTTTTAGTAGCCTCTCAATAGCTTCATTTGCAGATTGAATTGGAATTATTTCAATTATTGGATGAATTCCATTTGAAGCACAGAAATCTATCATTTCTTGGATATCCTTTGTTCCACCTGTTACACTACCAGAAATGGTTTTCATATCTGCCAAAAGGTCAATGCATGGAGTTCATTATATATACTTGCAATTGCAATAACAGTTGGATATATAAAACTGTCATTTCAATCATTTGAAACATGCCAATGTACCGATCTTAAGGTTGGCAGGACTGATTTTGACTTCACTGGGGAATCCCACCAAGACCAGAACTCCACCAGTTTTCAATAGTTCCGTGTATAAAGTCTACTGACTTCACCAGGGCCTACATAGCAAACAATAACCGATAAATACTAAACCTATAGGATAAGCCATCATTTCCACTATTTTTTTCTATTGTTCACGTGATGAGGTCAGAAACTTTATGTATTTTTACCTTCATCTGATTTCTGTCAGATGAGACCACAAAGTTATCTGCACCCAGCTGACTAAAGCTTCCTCTTTCTTGGATATGCTAGTGCTGAAAATTGTTACATTCAAGCCAAATGCCTTGCCAAACTTCACTGCCATGTGACCTAGGCCACCAAGGCCAATCACCCCTAGAATTTACCATGTTGGTTCATCTTGTGGCGTACCATCGAAGCATAAACAGTAATTCCCGCACAAAGTGGAGGGGCTGCCGAAGCCAATGGATAGTTTTCTGGTATGTTGAAACAGTACCTGTAATGCAGGCCATTTAAATATGAAATTTGAGAATAGGGCAAAAATGTAGTTCAATTCATACCCTTCATGGGCAAATATATGACTGGAGTATCCTCCTTTTGTGATTGTACCATCAGCATCAACACCATTAAATCTGTCATTGCAGTACTCACAATCTCTGCACGAGTTGACATGAGTTCCCACTCCCATACGGTCACCAACTTTGAAGCGCTAAACATTGGAACCCACCTCTTTTACAATGCCTGCAATCTCATGCCTGGTTCCAAATAATCACAAACAGAACAGATGACTTTAATTAGAAGGAGAATAAATTAAGGGTTACTTAATTTATCTGTTATAGAATCAGTCCGCATACCCAGGGACAACAGGATACTTTGAGTCTCCATGTTGGTTTCTGGTCCAAATTACATCAGCATGGCAAGCTCCACAGTGGGTAATTTTTATGGAAACTTCATCAGTGCCAAGAGCTCTGATTAATTAGAATATATTCATAATAAGTCGACCTTCAGGGAAAATAGTATGATGTAATTATCGTAATAAGTTCTTAACTTTTATGACTGATCAGTGATCACAATTGCAACATTCTGAAGGGTTGAGGAGAAAGCTACAGTGAGAAGCCGGACGGCTATACTCGGTTTTCTAATAGCATAGCCGACCGGCTATACTATTATGAAAAAAATAAAAAATCCCGCGTATAGCCGGGCGGCTGTACTACTATTAAAAATTTTAAATTGCGAGTATAGCCCGCGGCGTTACTATTTATAGCGAAAAAGGACCCGCGAAAGCTTGGGTGCCCACGCGTGAAACCAGTATCGCCCCCGACTCTTTGATCTTAAGAATGCTGGTTCGGCTACACTATTTTGAAATGTTTAAAAAAAAATTCGGCTATAGCCCAATTTCGGGTATAGCCGTGGGGCTATACTATTTATAGGAAAAAAAAAGGACCCTCCTAGCTCTTAGGCGCCGTCCGGCTACTAATATTTTTAAAAAAAAAAAAAAAAAAAAAAAAACCCAGTATCGCCGCGCGGCTATACTAATTTATATATAATTCAAAAAGGACACGCTAGCTCCCGCGTAAAAACAAGTATAGCCGCGCGGCTATACAATTTTTTATGAAACGGTAGTAAAGCCTACCGGCTATATTCTTTTAAAAATAAAAAAAGAATAAAAAAAATCTTCCGGGCTATACCTTTTTTCAAAACAAAATTACTGTAGTAGAGCCGCCCGGCGATACTATTTTGATGTTCCATATATACAAATTCACCAACTCGGTATATAACTTGTCATCACTGGACTGGATCATTATTCCTCATGAGAAATGGAATCTGAATATAGTAGCCATTAATCAACACTCATACAGCAGCAGGATTATAATATATCCGGGTTAGTTGAGCAATTCTTACATGACTGGTTTACTGATATCTCACTGATGATTATTTTTCATTTTATAATAACACTGAGTTTTCATTTCCGACGCACTTGTTGGTGATCTCACCACTTCTTTTGTCTTTCTACCGTGTAGCAAAGCCTTCAGCCATTAGTTGCATTTTTTATATTGGTATAGATGCATGTCTCCATCTTTTTCTTGTTTTCCAAGTTCCACAGATCAAGATAATTAAGGTGGCACTAGTGGTTCTCTTATCTTCACTTTCTGGAAATGATTATTAAAGGTTTTCTCTTTCTTGGGAGGCCAGGCCACTAATCTTAAATATATTTAACCCTGAGGCTTTGGCCTCTGTTATCACTTTACCACCAGGATATGCTTTTTGTGCATCATTGCGATCTTCTTTTCTTGCCCTACTTTCACAAGCAACCAAGGGTTCTGCAGGTGATTAAATACATAATGATACTTCAGTGATGAATCCTGTTATTAGTGAAAGAAAATGGTCATAAGAACAGTTGATGTAAAAGATTTCAGTTTTATAATGATGCAGAAGACCAAATCCCAGATGCAATTCCACAAAGGGTAAATGACCTTGGCCGCTTACTTCAGTGATGCAGCCTATTTAGCTACGCTCCATCCTCTTGCTGGTATTGTGGCTAGTTGTGGTAAGCTCATGAACCAGTTTGACAGCTGTACTGTTAGGCATATCTACAGAGAAAAGAATTGTGTTGCAGACGGATTAGCTAACTGGAGCTATAACATGGGTCTTGGCGTGTGTTATTTTGATTTTGCTCCGAGTTGGATCGGTTCTTTAGTTATTGGCGACTTGATTGGGGTGTCTCGTCCCCGTCTTTTCTGTGTTGATTTGTTGTAGTTCTGTTGCTTGGGGTCTTTCCCCCCCATTTCACCTAAAATAAAAAATAAAATAAAAAAGACCTAGGCCATTTTTTCTCATAAATAAAATACAAATTTATAAATAAAATCACTTTTTTTATTCTTGTGCAATGGGCTAATAGCAGAAATCATTAGAATGAGAGGTATCAGAAAGAATTTAAATTCTCATTCCCCAATATCGGTTATATAAACAAAAAAATTGGAGAAATAACTCTAGCCCGATTAGTTGAAGTGGTATTTTAGCCCTAAACCCTAAAATAATATGACAAAATTGTACATTTAAAGATTATAGCCGTTCGGCTATACTATCAAATGCCATACAATTGAAATCTCCACTATGATAACTCTGATGCTATAAAATCTTAAAATCCTTAGAAGAAACTCTCTTATAATCGTTCTTCCATTTAAACAAACAAAAACAATTGCAAAATCAGAAACATACGTAAATTGGACGTCATGGTAGCAACGAAGAGAGACTCGAACTCGTAGTTAGGGGGTCTGGGCGGAGCTAGGCGGCCCCTAGGAGCTCTGGGCGGATCTAGGCGGCCCTAGGCGGTCTGGGCGTATCTGGGCGGCCCCTAGGCGGTTTGGGCTGATCTAGGCGGCTCCTAGGCGGCTCCTAGGCGGTCTGGGCGGATCTAGGCGGCCTGCGCATGTCTAGGCGGGTCTAGGCGGCGCCTAGGAGGCCTGGGCGGGTCTGCGTTGGTGTCGAGGTCTGCTGCTCTCATAAACCAGAAGTGCCATGACGAAGAACAAGGATATTAGGAAGTTTCTTGATGGGATTTATGTGAGTGAGAAGAGGAGTGATTAGATTTTTGGGATTTGTACTTGTTAAGAGTGCTTTTTCTGATTTTGATTTTGAGTTTTTCATCTGTACTCTTCTTTTTTTTCTCTTTTTTTTGTTTTTGTTTTTTTTTAAATCTTGTATGAAAATTTTGATGAGTAAGTTTTACTATATTTTGGGTTTCTATTGCCAAACATAAATTGTGGAATTCTGGGATTATTTTATGCAGGTTATTGAAATGTGATGGCCAATCTTTCATTTGCACAATCTTCAGTTTTTAAATGTTTGTGTTTGAGCCAAAATCGGGGAGAACACCTCAAAATAATTTCCACTAATAAAAATGCCCCAAAAATGGTTCTTTATAGTTGCACCATCAAGTAAGTTAAACCCTGGAAAAAGTACGGTGTCATGCCTATTTAGAATTGCTCAACTGATTGTGAATTCCACTAAAAAACCAACCCATTAAAACTTGATGCAGTGATCCCAATTTTTAAATTAGTCCAAGAAAGTTTCATATCCATATCAATGGAAGGATGCTCTTGTTACTTGGCAATGGTACTGGTTCAGCTCATATATGGTGGATCAAACATCCTCATAAAATTCTCCCTTGCAGAAGGACTCAATCCAATTGTCTTTGTCGTTTACCAGCACATTATGGCCATGGTTTTGGTAGGACCATTTGCTTATGTACTTGAAAGATAAGCTATCGATTCTTGCATCTCTTCATCTTTCCAGGCAGTAAAAACAGAGAAAACTAATTCTTGAATGGATTTGTAAAGCAGGAAGCAAAGGCCTTCACCCTCGTTTTCTGTAGCTGCCAAATTTTTTGTGCTTGCATTATTTGGAACCACCATCCATCTGAATGTGTACTATGCTGGTTTAGAATACACTTCTCCAAAAGTTGCATGTGCCTTGACTAATGTTATTCCTAGCTTGACATTTCTAATGGCAGTTCTACTTGGGTATATTCTCTGTCCTTCCTTTCCCTTGCTTAATTAGAAAGGGGAATAGAAATGTTCTTTTTGCCTGTTCTGCAACTTGCTTGTTCTTACACAGGTTGGAGAAGTTGAAGATTAGAATTGCTAGAGGTCAAGCTAAGGTGGCTGGCACACTTTTCTGCATTGTTGGTTCTCTTGTTTTCCCTTTCTGGAAAGGTGGATACCTATTTAAAGGTTTTGTAAAGAGGCCATGGATAAATATATCTGTTGGTGAGATGAGGCATGTTAAGGAAAACTGGATCAAGGGGGCTCTTCTTATTCTGACGAGTCACATTGCGTGGAGTGCATGGCTAATCCTCCAGGTGATTTTATAATTGAATTAAGATGACACCCTTTTATGTCATGTAATGTCCAAGTTTAGTTCTTTGTCCAACTTCGGCTCTCTGGTCTCACAGGCTGTGGCCTCCAAAGTCTACACTGCTCGATTATCGCTAAAAACGATGATATGCCTTTTCGCATCATGGCAATCTTCTTTTCTTGCCCTGTTTTTCGCAAGAAATCTAATTTCATGGAGACTGGAGTGGAACCTGCAACTTTTAACCATCGTGTACTGTGTGAGTATTCTCTTTCTCATATCTTATTATTAGGTTCACAACATCAATTTCAACAATTGATCATGCAAATTCTTATCCGAATCTGTGGTTCGATTTAAAAACCTCACAGCAGAACATGTAGAAGAGAACATTGTCTTGTGTGTGTGTGTGTGTGTATAAAGTAAATCAATGGGACATCCTATTTTGTTGTGTCTTATTGGGTGTTTTTCTCCTTGTTGGTATAAGATATATTTGAACCTGTCACAACTTCCGGTCTTCACCCACTCCTTGCTTTTGCAATAGGGAGTGTAATCTCAGCATTAGCCTACTACCTGCAAACATGGTGCATGAGTTACAAGGGACCAGTCTTTGCATCTATGTTTAGTCCACTTCAAGTCATTATAGTGGCATTGTTCTCGGCAATTGCTTTCACAGAGCGACTTCACTTTGGCAGGTAACCTAAAGAACACAAACATCTTCGTCCTGTTCCATCTTACTACTTCCAAATTTGACGGTTTCATTTATCCATTCTATCATGGTAGTTTGTTTGTCATGAAAAATAGTCACAAATTCAATGTGGATTTTGTGTAAGTGGTGGTGTGCAGCTTGATCGGAGCGTTTCTCTGGTTGAGGAACAAGATTCAGGCATTTCTGTTTTACCTCAGTAAGCATGAGTCTTTTCTGAAAAACACATTAGGAAAAGAGAATATAAAAAGATCATTTTCTTAATCTATATACTGATTAGGCATATATGTGTTAAATTATAGGTATTGGTTTGTACCAGCACATTGGCATGGGGTGTAAACCTTCTAGGTCATCATCTGGTCATTATTAAGGTAAGGCTAAATGTGTGCGCTATCTTTTTCATTTTGTTCCTATATTCACATAGGTTTCTAGCAGGAGTATATTGCAGCAGCTGCTCTTCTGGAAAAATTTACGTAAGTGTTGATTCTCTTGCAGTTGCAGGGAACAAAATATTATGATGGGAAAACAAAGAGATATGTTGATTTTCCAATATCAATCACAGATATATTGCAAATGATGGTTTTGGTCACACGTGACTATATAGAATAAAAAATGGAAAGAAAGAAATATGTGAATCAGATTACATGCTTTTCTCCGTTTATAATCAACAGTTGCTCAGATTCTACAAGAAAGATGGGAGTATATGTCCATCACAATCCGCCCGCGCCTAACAATCAATAAACACGAATCATATTACTTTCTGAATATTTGCCTCAAATACTAGGAATCAGGTTGTTTGGGGTCTTGAATATCAGAAAATCTAATAAAATCAATGGATGAAGTCTTGCAGTCCTAAATCTAATCAATAAACCATTTTCATTTTTATTTTTTCAATACTCTACACCTATCTTTTTTTTGCTGTTAAAGTTCATGAACGCCCATCATTTGCATTGCTGCTGTGACAATGATCCCCTTGTACTTAAATGTGGTGAAGACACAAGTTAAAAGCCTTTAAATGTGCCCTTAGTATGTGATTTATTGAGCCTGTACAAAAGCTTACATGAGCGTAGTTTTCTACAGATGTTTAATCCAGCTTACTATGGCTTGGACTGAACCTGCGTTTGATATAAAGTGGATAAGGACCGCTTAGATGATCCACATGTCAAACCCAATCTGCTATTTCAGGTCAGAGTTGTCTTCAACTATATGTTTTTCGAATAAAAACTTCATGTCGTTTTGCTTTTTAGTTCTCTCATCGTTTTATTCTCTTACCATGCATGAATTCTGCATTCAGGCACATTTCTCTTAGTTAGAATTACCAATCAGTGATTACGTCACAGACTTGAAGTCAGTATTGGATCAAAGTATGCGAATCATCCAGGCCATGATAGATATATGTGCTAATAGTGGGTGGATTTGAAGCTCAATTACTTGCATGCATCTTCTGCAAATGGTCGTGCAGGTATTCTTCTTTAGTAGTTACAATTCTGACTTCTTAGTAGTAGTACTTGCCTAGAATAAAAGACGAGTGCTAGTGCGAATTGGGCATTCTGCCTTGTTTATATTATTACATTCGACAGCTAGCATATCAGTTTATTAGTTAGAGATGTTAATCGGGGATGCTGAGCACACCCTTGAATGTTGTTAGTCCATGCCTCTTTCCTGTATTTTTTTTCTTTTTTTTTTTTTTTTTCCTTTGTCCTCCAAGAGAAGCTCTTCTTTTGTGTTTTTCCTTTCCACAGTACATTACCCTAAAAAAATATAGGGCCATTTCAGCAGGACTCAAACCTTCAGCTTCTGGGTAACTCTATATTTCTCTTTATTAAAATTCAGTATATTGTGGGCTGTGATTGCCAGTATTAATGTATGATTAGATGCCGCTTGCCTCTTTATCAAACCGGCGTCTTCATGAAAGGTTGGATCTCGTATGCTTGCAAGATACAAGAGAGGTATTGCTCTTTTCTCCCCTCTTAACATTGGGAATTTCACGTGCACGTGGGTATGGTATATGTAAGAATGAGATGTTTCTTCTCATCTAACACGTTGTTTGAAATCTCATTTAGAATATATATAGAGTTGTTCTCTACTACGGACGTCCGTATTTTTTCTAACGTCCGGACTACTTGTGTTTTTGCCTTCTTTGTGCTAATAAATCAACCCAAACACTTTTATCATACTTAAAAGTCAAACATCACCTCTAGATTGGGCTTTTCCCTCATTGGTGAACTGTATAGAGAATTTGGAGGCTGTTATGTGTGCTTTAGTGCCTTTTTTTTAATGATAAAAAAGAGAGATGCATAAAACAAAATGGAAATGGTTTCCTTTCCATTGAATGAATGAATTCATTCTGATTATGTGAAAAAACAAAACGAGTCCGGACATTAAGCAATTCCGGACGTCCGCACTAGAGAATAGTCTTATATATATATATATATATATATATCAATGCCATATGACCTCTGATAACTTCAATTTATTTCAAAACTCTTCTCTTCGTTGTCTCATTAGAATGTTTTGTATCCAATTTTTCATATGCAGAGAATATACTGATGTATCTCAAAGCAGAAGAGTAGGGTTGTCAAGTGCAATGAGAAAAAAGTTGTAATTGGGTTCAGTTCATAATTACGATTGATACATTTTAGAAAGTAAATTCTTATACAAGCAATTTTATGCTATGAAATTCAACATTCTTTGATCCACAAGATGTTGGTGGATCCTTATTTTTGTTGTTGTATTTATGGGTTTAACCGGTATATTATTTCTCATAAATAAAATCCCTTTTTTATTCTTGCGCAATGGGCTAATAGCCTAATAGCCGGAAATCATTAGAATGTGAGGTATCAGTAAGAATTTAAATTCTCATTTCCCCAATATCGGTTGTATAAATAAAATAATTGAAGAAATAACTATAGCCCAATTAGCTGAAGTGGTATTTTAGCCCTAAACCCTAAAATAATATGACAAAATTGGTTATTTAAAGAGTATAGCCGTTCCATTCGGCTATACTTTCAAATGTCATTCAACCATTGAAATCTCCACTATGATAACAACTCTGATAACAACTCTGATGCTATAAAATCTTAAAATCCTTAGAAGAAACTCTGTGAGAATCGTTTTTCCATTTAAACAAACAAAAAAAAATTCAAAATAAAAAACATACGTAAATTGCACGCCATGGTAGCCACGGATAGAGACTCAAACTCGTAGTTAGGCAGTCTGGGCGGATTTAGGCGGCCCCTAGGCGGTCTGGGCGGATCTGGGCGGCCCCTAGGCGGTCTGGGAGGATCTAGGCGGCGCCTAGGAGGCCTGGGCGGGTCTAGGCGGGTCTAGGAGCCAGGGCGGGTCTGCGTTGGTGTCGAGGTCCGCTGCTCTCATAAACCAGAAGTACCACGTGAAGAACAAGGATATTAGGAAGTTTCTTGATGGGATTTATGTGAGTGAGAAGAGGAGTGATTAGATTTTTGGGATTTGTACTTTTACAGTGTTTTTTCTGATTTTCAGTTTTTCATCTTTACTCTGGTTTTTTAATCTTGGATGGAAACTTTGATGAGTAAGTTTTACTATATTTTGGGTTTCTATTGCCAAACATAAATTGTGGAATTCTGGGATTATTTTATGCAGGTTATTGGTTTTTAAAGTGAGTTAAACCCTGGTAAACTGATTGTGAATTCCACTAAAAACCCAACCCATTAAAACTTGAAGCAGTGATCCCAATTTTTAAATTAGTCCAAGAAAGTTTCATATCCATATCAATGGAAGGATGCTCTTGTTACTTGGCAATGGTACTGGTTCAGCTCATATATGGTGGATCAAACATCCTCATAAAATTCTCCCTTGCAGAAGTACTCAATCCGATTGTCTTCGTTGTTTACCGGCATGTTATGGCCATGGTTTTGGTAGGACCATTTGCTTATGTGCTTGAAAGGTAAGCTATCAATTCTTGCATCTCTTCATATTTCCAGGCAGTAATATATCCGGGTTATAATATATCCGGGTTAGTTGAGCAATTCTTACATGACTGGTTTACTGATATCTCAATGATGATCATTTTTCATTTTATAATGACACTGAGTTTTCATTTCCGACGCACTTGTTGGTGATCTCACCACTTCTTTTGTCTTTCTACCGTGTAGCAAAGCCTTCAGCCATTAGTTGCATTTTTATATTGGTATAGATGCCTGTCTCCATCTTTTTCTTGTTTTCCAAGTTCCACAGATCAATATAATTAAGGTGGCACTAGTGGTTCTCTTATCTTCACTTTCTGGAAATGATTATTAAAGGTTTTCTCTTTCTTTTGAGGCCAGGCCACTAATCTTAAATATATTTAACCCTGAGGCTTTGGCCTCTGTTATCACTTTACCACCAGGATATGCTTTTTGTGCATCATTGCGATCTTCTTTTCTTGCCCAATTTTCACAAGCAACCAAGGGTTCTGCAGGTGATTAAATACATAATGATACTTCAGTGATGAATCCTGTTATTAGTGAAAGAAAATGGTCATAAGAACAATTGAGTAAAAGATTTCAGTTTTATAATGATGCAGAAGACCAAATCCCAGATACAATTCCACAAGGGTAAATGACCTTGGCCGCTTACTTCAGTGACGCAGCCTGTTTTAGCTACGCTCCATCCGCTTGCTGGTATTGTGGCTAGTTGTGGTAAGCTCATGAACCAGTTTGACAGCTGTACTGTTAGGCATATCTACAGAGAAAAGAATTGTGTTGCAGATGGATTAGCTAACTGGAGCTATAACATGGGTCTTGGCGTGTGTTATTTTGATTTTGCTCCGAGTTGGATCGGTTCTTTAGTTATTGACGACTTGATTGGGGTGTCTCGTCCCCGTCTTTTCTGTGTTGATTTGTTGTAGTTCTGTTGCTTTTGACCTAGGCCATTTTTTCTCATAAATAAAATCCGTTTTTTTATTCTAGCACAATGAGCTAATAGCTGGAAATAATTAGAATGAGAGGTATCAAAAAGAATTTAACTTCTCATTTCCCAATATCGGTTATATAAATAAAAAAATATTGAAGAAATAACTCTAGCCCAATTAGCTGAAGTGGTATTTTAGCCCTAAACCCTAAAATAATATGAAAAAATTGTATATTTAAAGAGTATAGCCGTTCGGTTATACTATCAAATGCAATACAATTGAAATCTCCACTATGATGACAACTCTGATGCTATAAAATCTTAAAATCCTTAAGAAACTCTGTGATAATCGTTCTTCCATTTAAACAAACAAAAACAATTGCAAAATCAGAAACATACGTAAATTATCGTAGCAACGGAGAGAGACTCGAACTCGTAGTTAGGGGGTCTGGGCGGAGCTAGGCGGCCCCTAGGCGGATCTGGGCTGCCCCTAGGCGGTCTGGGAGGATCTGGGCGGCCCCTAGGCGGTATGGGCGGATCTAGGCGGCGCCTAGGCGGTCTGGGAGGATCTAGGCGGCGCCTAGGCGGTCTGGGCGGATCTAGGCGGCGCCTAGGCGGTCTGGGCGGATCTAGGCTGCCTGGGCGGGTCTGGGAGCCAGGGCGGGTCTGCGTTGGTGTCGAGGTCTGCTGTTCTCATAAACCAGAAGTGCCTTGTGAAGAACAAGGATATTAGGAAGTTTCTTGATGGGATTTATGTGAGTGAGAAGAGGACGATAGCTGAAGAGGAGGGATTATATTTTTGGGATTTGTACTTGTTAGAGTGTTTTTTCTGATTTTGAGTTTTTCATCTTTACTCTTATCTTCGATGGAAACTTCTGTAGAAGTTGAAGATTAGAACTGCTAGAGGTCAAGCTAAGGTGGCTGGCACACTTTTCTGCATTGGTGGTTCTCTTGTTTTCACTTTCTGGAAAGGAGGATACCTATTTAAAGGTTTTGTAAAGAAGCCACTGATAAATATATCTGTTGGTGAGATGAGGCGTGTTAAGGAAAACTGGATCAAGGGGGCTGTTCTTATTCTAACGAGTCACTTTGCATGGAGTGCATGGCTAAAACTCCAGGTGATTATATAATTGAATTAAGATGACACCCTTTTATGTCATGTAATGTCCAAGTTTAGTTCTTTGTCCAACTTTGGCTCTCTGGTCTCACAGGCTGTGGTCTCCAAAGTCTACACTGCTCGATTATCGCTAACCACGATGACATGCCTTTTCCGTCGTTGCAATCTTCTTCTTGCCCTGTTTTTCGCAAGAAATCCAATTTCATGGAGACTGGAGTGGAACCTGCAGCTTTTAACCATCGTCTACTGTGTGTGTGAGTGTTCTCTTTCTCATATCTTATTATTAGGCTCACAACGTCGATTTCAACAATTGCTCATGCAAATTTTTATCTGAATCTGTGGTTCGATGCGGAACATGTAGAAGAGAACATTGTCTTGTGTGTGTGTGTGTATAAAGTAAATCAATGGGACATCCTATTTTGTTGTGTCTTATTGGGTGTTTTTCTCCTTGTTGGTATAAGATATATTTGAATCTGTCACAAGTTCCGGTCTTCATCCACTCCTTACTTTTGCAATAGGGAGTTGTAATCTCAGCATTAGCCTACTACCTGCAAACATGGTGCATCAGTTACAAGGGACGAGTCTTTGCAGCTATGTTTAGTCCACTTCAAATCATTATAGTGGCATTGTTCTCGGCAATTGCTTTCGCAGAGCGACTTCACTTTGGCAGGTAACCTGAAGAACACAGACACCTGCTTCCTGTTCCATCTTACTACTTCCACATTTCATGGTTTCATTTATCCATTCTATCACGGTAGTTTGTTTGTCATGAAATTAGTCACAAATTTAATGTGGATTTTGTGTAAGTGGTGGTGTGCAGCTTGATCGGAGTGTTTCTCATTATCGTGGGCCTTTACTGTGTGCTGTGGGGAAAGAGGAAAGACAATCTTGTTGCTGAACAGACAGAGAATGGAAAAGGGGTACTTGAAGACATTAAAGTGCTGGAGAATGATATTTCAGCCATAAATCCAGTCACTAGAGAAAGGACATTATCATAAGAGTTTAGTTTTTTTTTACACATTATACAGAAGATCAATACCAGATAAAATTTCACAGAGGTAAATGCACACCACCTAACTATAAATGATTGCCAAATTGATAATGGTTTGAGCCCTACAATCCAATCCATATGAACTTATTAATACAAATCAACAAGAGAAATCCTTGTTCTCTTTCATGGTGTCATTTCAGGGAGTTTTCAATATCAATTGTAAACCGGTATATCACAACACTTTTTAAGTAGCCTCTCAATGGCTTCACTTGCAGATTGAATTGGAATTATTTCAATCATTGGATGAATTCCATTTGAAGCACAAAAAAATATCGCATAAAGCCGCCCGGCTATACTATTGTTTTAAAAATAACAAAATACCCAAGTATAGCCGCCCGGTTATACTATTTTGATGTTCCATATATACAAATTCACCAACTCGGTATATACCTTGTCATCACTGGACTGGATCATTATTCCTCATGAGAAATGGAATCTGAATATATTAGCCATTAATCAACACTCATACAGCAGCAGGATTATAACATATCCGGGTTAGTTGAGCAATTCTTACATGACTGGTTTACTGATATCTCAATGATGATCATTTTTCATTTTATAATAACACTGAGTTTTCATTTCCGACGCACTTGTTGGTGATCTCACCACTTCTTTTGTCTTTCTACCGTGTAGCAAAGCCTTCAGCCATTAGTTGCATTTTTTATATTGGTATAGATGCATGTCTCCATCTTTTCTTGTTTTCCAAGTTCCACAGATCAAGATAATTAAGGTGGCACTAGTGGTTCTCTTATCTTCACTTTCTGGAAATGATTATTAAAGGTTTTCTCTTTCTTGGGAGGCCAGGCCACTAATCTTAAATATATTTAACCCTGAGGCTTTGGCCTCTGTTATCACTTTACCACCAGGATATGCTTTTTGTGCATCATTGCGATCTTCTTTTCTTGCCCTACTTTCACAAGCAACCAAGGGTTCTGCAGGTGATTAAATACATAATGATACTTCAGTGATGAATCCTGTTATTAGTGAAAGAAAATGGTCATAAGAACAATTGAGTAAAAGATTTCAGTTTTATAATGATGCAGAAGACCAAATCCCAGATACAATTCCACAAGGGTAAATGACCTTGGCCGCTTACTTCAGTGACGCAGCCTGTTTTAGCTACGCTCCATCCGCTTGCTGGTATTGTGGCTAGTTGTGGTAAGCTCATGAACCAGTTTGACAGCTGTACTGTTAGGCATATCTACAGAGAAAAGAATTGTGTTGCAGACGGATTAGCTAACTGGAGCTATAACATGGGTCTTGGCGTGTGTTATTTTGATTTTGCTCCGAGTTGGATCGGTTCTTTAGTTATTGACGACTTGATTGGGGTGTCTCGTCCCCGTCTTTTCTGTGTTGATTTGTTGTAGTTCTGTTGCTTGGGGTCTTTCCCCCCCATTTCACCTATTAAAAAAAAAGACCTAGGCCATTTTTTCTCATAAATAAAATCCTTTTTTTTATTCTTGTGCAATGGGCTAATAGCCGAAAATCATTAGAATGGGAGGTATCGGAAAGAATTTAAATTCTCATTCCCCAATATCGGTTATATAAACAAAAAAATTGGAGAAATAACTCTAGCCCGATTAGTTGAAGTGGTATTTTAGCCCTAAACCCTAAAATAATATGACAAAATTGTATATTTAAAGATTATAGCCGTTCGGCTATACTATCAAATGCCATACAATTGAAATCTCCACTATGATAACTCTGATGCTATAAAATCTTAAAATCCTTAGAAGAAACTCTCTGATAATCGTTCTTCCATTTAAACAAACAAAAACAATTGCAAAATCAGAAACATACGTAAATTGGACGCCATGGTAGCAATGGAGAGAGACTCGAACTCGTAGTTAGGGGGTCTGGGCGGAGCTAGGCGGCCCCTAGGAGCTCTGGGCGGATCTAGGCGGCCCTAGGCGGTCTGGGCGGATCTGGGCGGCCCCTAGGCCGTTTGGGCTGATCTAGGCGGCTCCTAGGCGGTCTGGGCGGATCTAGGCGGCCTGCGCATGTCTAGGCGGCGCCTAGGAGGCCTGGGCGGGTCTGCGTTGGTGTCGAGGTCTGCTGCTCTCATAAACCAGAAGTGCCATGACGAAGAACAAGGATATTAGGAAGTTTCTTGATGGGATTTATGTGAGTGAGAAGAGGAGTGATTAGATTTTTGGGATTTGTACTTGTTAAGAGTGCTTTTTCTGATTTTGATTTTGAGTTTTTCATCTGTACTCTTCTTTTTTTTCTCTCTTTTTTGTTTTTTGTTTTTTTTTAAATCTTGTATGAAAATTTTGATGAGTAAGTTTTACTATATTTTGAGTTTCTATTGCCAAACATAAATTGTGGAATTCTGGGATTATTTTATGCAGGTTATTGATTTTTAAAGTGAGAAATGTGATGGCCAATCTTTCATTTGCACAATCTTCAGTTTTTAAATGTTTGTGTTTGAGCCAAAATCGGGGAGAACACTTCAAAATAATTTCCACTAATAAAAATGCCCCAAAGATGGTTCTTTATAGTTGCACCATCAAGTAAGTTAAACCCTGGAAAAAGTAAGGTGTCATGCCTATTTAGAATTGCTAAACTGATTGTGAATTCCACTAAAAAACCAACCCATTAAAACTTGATGCAGTGATCCCAATTTTTAAATTAGTCCAAGAAAGTTTCATATCCGTATCAATGGAAGGATGCTCTTGTTACTTGGCAATGATACTGGTTCAGCTCATATATGGTGGATCAAACATCCTCATAAAATTCTCCCTTTGCAGAAGGACTCAATCCAATTGTCTTCGTCGTTTTATGGCCATGGTTTTGGTAGGACCATTTGCTTATGGCCATGGTTTTGGTAGGACCATTTGCTTATGTACTTGAAAGGTAAGCTATCGATTCTTGCATCTCTTCATATTTCCAGGCAGTAAAAACAGAGAAAACTAATTCTTGAATGGATTTGTAAAGCAGGAAGCAAAGGCCTTCACCCTCGTTTTCTGTAGCTGCCAAAATTTTTGTGCTTGCATTATTTGGAACCACCATCCATCTGAATGTGTACTATGCTGGTTTAGAATACACTTCTCCAAAAGTTGCATGTGCCTTGACTAATGTTATTCCTAACTTGACATTTCTAATGGCAGTTCTACTTGGGTATATTCTCTGTCCTTCCTTTCCCTTGCTTAATTAGAAAGGGGAATAGAAATGTTCTTTTTGCCTGTTCTGCAACTTGCTTGTTCTTACACAGGTTGGAGAAGTTGAAGATTAGAACTGCTAGAGGTCAAGCTAAGGTGGCTGGCACACTTTTCTGCATTGGTGGTTCTCTTGTTTTCCCTTTCTGGAAAGGTGGATACCTATTTAAAGGTTTTGTAAAGAGGCCATGGATAAATATATCTGTTGCTAAGATGAGGCTTGTTAAGGAAAACTGGATCAAGGGGGCTCTTCTTATTCTGACGAGTCACATTGCATGGAGTGCATGGCTAATCCTCCAGGTGATTTTATAATTGAATTAAGATGACACCCTTTTATGTCATGTAATGTCCAAGTTTAGTTCTTTGTCCAACTTCGGCTCTCTGGTCTCACAGGCTGTGGCCTCCAAAGTCTACACTGCTCGATTATCGCTAAAAACGATGATATGCCTTTTTGAATCATGGCAATCTTCTTTTCTTGCCCGGCTATACTATTGTTTTAAAATAAGAAAATACCCGAGTATAGCCGCCCGGTTATACTATTTTGATGTTCCATATATACAAATTCACCAACTCGGTATATACCTTGTCATCACTGGACTGGATCATTATTCCTCATGAGAAATGGAATCTGATTGTATTAGCCCTTAATCAACACTCATACAGCAGCAGGATTATAATATATCCGGGTTAGTTGAGCAATTCTTACATGACTGGTTTACTGATATCTCAATGATGATCATTTTTCATTTTATAATAACACTTGAGTTTTCATTTCTGACGCACTTGTTGGTGATCTCACCACTTCTTTTGTCTTTCTACCGTGTAGCAAAGCCTTTAGCCATTAGTTGCATTTTTTATATTGGTATAGATGCCTGTCTCCATCTTTTTCTTGTTTTCCAAGTTCCACAGATCAAGATAATTAAGGTGGCACTAGTGGTTCTCTTATCTACCGTGTAGCAAAGCCTTTAGCCATTAGTTGCATTTTTTATATTGGTATAGATGCCTGTCTCCATCTTTTTCTTGTTTTCCAAGTTCCACAGATCAAGATAATTAAGGTGGCACTAGTGGTTCTCTTATCTTCACTTTCTGGAAATGATTATTAAAGGTTTTCTCTTTCTTGGGAGGCCAGGCCACTAATCTTAAATATATTTAACCCTGAGGCTTTGGCCTCTGTTATCACTTTACCACCAGGATATGCTTTTTGTGCATCATTGCGATCTTCTTTTCTTGCCCTATTTTCACAAGAAACCAAGGGTTCTGCAGGTGATTAAATACATAATGATACTTCAGTGATGAATCCTGTTATTAGTGAAAGAAAATGGTCATAAGAACAGTTGATGTAAAAGATTTGAGTTTTATAATGATGCAGAAGACCAAATCCCAGATGCAATTCCACAAAGGGTAAATGATCACCACCCAACTATAAAATGAATGCCGGTAGATGCTTTGAGTTCGAAATATGGAACATACGAATTTATTAATATGTATCAAAAAGGGAAATCTTCTTTTCATTTCAGGGAGTTTTCAATATCAATTACAAACCGGTATTTCACATCTTTTTTTACTAGCCTCTCGAGAGCTTCCGTTGCATATTGAATTGGAATTATTTCAATCATTGGGTGAATTTCATGAGCAGCACAGAAATCTATCATTTCTTGCGTATCCTTCGTTCCGCCTGTCAGACTGCCAGAGATGGTTTTCATACCTGCCAAAAGGTAAATGCACGAGTTCATTATACTTACAACTTTACCACTACCAAGAGAGTTGGATATATGAAACCAAAATATCAATCATTTGAAAAATGCAAAAGTACCCAGATTGAGGCTTGCAGGACTGAATTTGACTTCACTGGGGAATCCCACCAAGACCAGAGTTCCACCAGTCTTCAACAATGCCATATATGGATCGAATGGATGATCACCAGATGCTGTATCAATTAGAAAGTCCAACGACTTCACCAAGGCCTGCATAGAAAACGATAACCAATAAATATTAAACCAAAGAATAAGTCATCTCTATTATTTTCATATGATCACTGATCAGGTAAAAAAAAAACGCTTGCTTTATAAGAAAATCTATGTATTTTTACCGTCATCTGCTCTTGGTCAGATGAGACCACAAACTTATCCGCACCAAGCTGGCTTAGGGCTTCCTCTTTCTTCAATACACTTGTGCTGAAAACTGTTACATGTAAACCAAATGCCTTCCCAAACTTCACTGCCATGTGACCGAGACCACCAAGACCAATCACTCCTAGAGATTTACCAGGTTGATTCATCTTGTGGCGCTTCATAGGAGCATAAACAGTAATTCCAGCACAAAGCAGAGGTGCTGCTGAAGCCAATGGATAGTTGTCAGGTATCTTGAAGCAGTACCTGTAAGATGATTTCATAGAAGCACGTAATGAACTTGGAATTATGCCACTTTAGAAAAGCATTTGGTGAACAGAATTACAACCACAGAAAGATTAAGGAGAGGAGATCAAAGGAATTCTGATTGTCTAGTCATGAATTGTATAAAGTTTATTAACACAAGAAAAAAGGATGCAAAAAGCATTTGGCTTCATAGATTTCACACCTTTCATGGACAACTATATGACTGGAGTATCCACCTTTTGTAATTGTACCATCCACGTCAACACCATTAAAAGTGTAGACTGAACCCTTTGCACAATGGACTTCAAATCCCTCATTACAATACTCACAATCTCTGCATGAGTTGACATAAGTTCCCACTCCGATATGGTCCCCAACTTTGAAGCGATGAACATTGGAACCTACCTCTTTCACAATACCTGCAATCTCATGTCTGGTTGCAAATAGCCACAAACCACAAGTTTTAGAAGGAAAATACAAGAGTTAGATATTTATCTATCATACAGTCAGTCGACATACCCAGGCACCAAAGGATACTTTGAGTCTCCATGTTTGTTTCTTGCCCAAACGACATCAGCATAACAAACTCCACAGTGGGTAATTTTTATGGAAATGTCATCAATCCCAAGAGCCCTGAAGAAAGCACCCGAACCAAATGACAAACGATTAACTAGAAGGCATTATGAAACTAATGGAATGACAAGAAATTCATAAAATTTGATCTTTATTGCAAGTAACAATCTAGAAAGCCAACATTTTGAAAGCTTGATGCTATTGCAAATTTGCAACAATGAGAAGCCTTCCCATTAACAGATCATGATTCATGCTCAATTGAGAACTTGGAATTCTGAAGTATTGCAACAAGATAGAGGCAGTGTCTTCTATTGTTATCTTTCATTGAGAAGTTCATACATGCAATTTATAGACAGTAAAAAGGATTGAAAACAAACCTGCGGCTGAATTTGTATTCAGATAGAACTCCAGATGGATCCCTTGCAGCATATCCAAGGCAGTTCTCATTTGCGCTCTCGGAGCTCATTGTTAACTATACCATCATAAATCATCAGTTTCGTTAAAACTAACAGAACCAACCATTCCCTCCGAAATTGCCTCAGCTTATTGGCATGCAAGAAATATAAACATAACACGAAACACATAGAAACATAATATCCTACATCAAATATCAATCGGTGTTTGTTACTGTTATATCGTCGGAACCTAGATATTGAATGATTTCCATAACCACAAAAACAGAAAGGCTGCAGCTTTTAAGAGATTGAAATCAGAGAAACAGCTGCAGTTAATGGTCCAGGGCCAGACAGTCAAATCTCCGTTGACTATTTCAGATTCAAACACTGCCCTGCACTCTCAGAGCGAGTGGGGTCCTTGAGAATAAAATTAATACTCTTTTCATCTGTTCTCAATCATACAAAGCAGTTTCCAATCGGTTAATCCTTTACAGGCTATGCATGCAAAGATTGAAATTGAGACTTGCAGATAAAAGAAATCTAAATTATCAACAACGAAAAAAGTTGAAAGAACTGAGTGCATTACAAGAAATGAAGGGAGAAAAGAGGAAGGTGCGTTTACCCAAAAATATGCGAAGAAGAATGGAGAAAGAGAGAGAGAGAGAGCTCAGTTTTGTTTGTTCGTTCGTCTTTGTAGTTTGGAAATGACCAGAACCAGGGCCTTCTTCTTTATCTTGTGTTGGCTTTATTATAGTAAAAAATAAACCACCTCAGCGGCTCAGCATTAATTTGTCTTATCTTATACCCCAGTATTGACCGGATTATTTGGTCCTCCTCGTTTATACATTATATCAACCAGTGCGATGTCGTTTTATTTATTTAAACAAAAATCCAAGGCCTTTTTTTTTTTTTTTTTTTTTTTTTTTTTTTTCGAGAATTCCGAGGTCGTCGTTTTGTATGGATTATATAGTGTATAGAATGACGAAAGAAGATTGACGGTAACACAAAAATTGAATTCAATCATGCTAGAATTCGAAACAACATCTGCCACCAATATTATTTCAATGATCAAATTTGTCCTCCTAAATTATACAAGAAACCTGTAATCACTACCGGACCTAAATTCATCCGAAAAGAGGACAAAACAAAAAGAACAGTATTTCCAAAAACAACCATAGATTAGTGAAACAGCTATTGATAGCAGCACAAGTAGGAAAGGGAAAGTTGACTCATCCAGCCAAAGGGAGCACTGAAATCACAATGGAACACACTAAGCAAGGCGATAGAGTCCAAGCCGAAAGGGAGAGCGCAGACAGACTTCTTATTTCTTTTGCTTTTTGCGCTTCACGGAAGGCTTCCTATTTTGGACCTTCACTGCTGAGGAAGTTCTAAATTCAGTAACTTTAGGGTCTTCAGGCAGTGAACATAACAAGAATTTTTTGGTGGAACCAACTTGGTTGGGGAACAGCTTCAGCATCTTCCTTCCCCTCATCCATTTTAGCATTATCTTCATGTGTGTTTTGCTGTTCAATCCACTGAGACCAGAATCCTGATTTTTTCAATTAAAACATTAATCAGAAACATGAACTAACAAAAATTTAGAGAACTAAAAATACATGAAACATGTGGTCTGGGATGAACAGGCATCACTATGTAGAATCCGAGGCTATATCGGAAATTTCATATAATAAGTTTGACGAAAAGCACTCTATATTAGATATCAGTAAACCAGGTACCTATTACAGTATAGACCGCCTTAGTTTGTTAAGGAGTAGTTGCTAGCATACAATTCCTAGACATGGTTACACTCTAGCACTGAAAAAATAGTATCGAACACATCTTTATACAGAAACAAATTACCAGTTTTGTATTAGAGTTCTCAAATTTTACATTTCCAACTACTAGAAAATGTTATGAACTAGTGCAAGAAAAAGTATGCCCAAAGATAACACCGAAAAATTAGTACTTTATTGTGTCATAAATACAAACAAAGTTAGCATAAACTCTAGGATTGTCATAAATATGAACACAGGCTTTCTCAATTCTATGGTTAGGCCTAAAAAGCACAGATGCCTGTGCTTTAATTTCTTAAACTTAAGCACCTTGTGATTTCGCTGTTACATTTAAAATTTTGAATGTTAGTATTAACAGAAACCATTCAAGTTAGTATTAACAGAGAAACCATTCAAGTTTTATTAGAAACTTGTTAAAGCTAGAAAGTATAATCAACCAAGGATACAATTATAAGATGGAAAGTATGATTCAGTACATTCTCATAGTTACAGTTCAAGTTATCCTACTCCAATGAATGACAGAATATTACTTATTGCATAAAAATAGCTGTATGAAAGCTAGGTTACATCCCCCTTCACTTCAATCTGAGATGCCTGTGAGACTGCCTCAACAGGACAAGATTTGGTTTCAAACCCAATTAATAAAATTTCATGCACAACTAAGCACAGTGATTAGAAATGAAAATGACCCAATGGAAAGGGTCACATTCACACGCACGCACACAAATATATATTATATGAAACAAAACTAATATAATTGCACAGAAAGGGGGAGAACCTTAGCCTGAACCCAAGTATTGGAGATGGTGAGAGGGCCATGTTGCTTGACGACGTCGTATAGATCACGAGCAATGGAGTTAGCCTCCGGAAAGCTCACTTTGGGGTTGATTTTCCTCAAATTCTCTGCGCGCTTCCGAGAGAAATGCCTCACAAACGCAGTGGCGCTTGTAATCAAACCTCTTCCAGTCGAAGTGGAAGCCCTAAACGCGCCACCGCCAAACCACATCTCCCGATTCCACGAGCTCACAACGCAATCGCTCTTCTTCCTCACAGCTTCTTTCACTGGAAAATTGGAATTAGATTAAGGGGTTTAGGGAGCTGGAAACCCTCTTTCTTTCATCAATGTCACGTGTAGCTCACTTGCATTTGCAATTCGATTTAGATGTCGTTTTTCTCTTTTGGACGACATTATCAGCTCCCTCCGCGTGCAGTCGTAGGATTATACTATTGGGTCGATTGAGGCCGACAAAAAAGGGCTAACTGGCCCAATTCAAAATCCACTTGGCTTTCTTTTGGGTTAGGCTGGCCCGGCCACATGTTTGTAAATTTCTTTAATAACCTATTTATATTTTGTAAGCACAAAAGTAATTAATAAAAAATTTCCAGTCTTCGTTGGCCTCTTGAAATTTATGATACAATCACAAATTCACAATCCAATTGATCCCTGATTCGAATCAGCGCACCTCCAATCCAAACATCCAACGGAGGTATTCTATAATATTTATGTTTTCAGCCGATATAAGTTAGGTCAGTTGGTTAGGACAGTGAGTCTGTCTCATTATTCTCAAATTCGAATATTATCCTTATAAATTAGTTTTTTTTTCCAGAGACATTGTAGATTAGATTATGGATTTTAAAATAATAATAATAATAATTAATAACAACTTTGTTTTACAAAAAATACTTGTATTTTAAAAAATAAAAAGTAGACTTACAGCAAGAGGAAAGGGCACAAAAAGAAAGCCCAAATTTAAGAACAGGCCGAAGCCCGAAAATCAACTTTCCTACTCTAACTAGTAGACCGTTGTACCACCAGCAGCCAAAATTTTGAATTGGCATCCCACCGACCTCGCTAGTCCTAAATCGATTAGGAGAAGTGAAAAATTAGTATAAATATCATAAGGGAACTCTCAATCAGCCCAACTTTTTCCACTGTCCCGATCAATTTCAGAGTTTCAGCTTCTTAATTTCCCACGGTTTCAATCATTCACAATGCAAAAAAATCATCCAATTCCCGTCGAAGATCAGTATCATCTCAAATTCAAGCTCTTCAAGGAAACCGAAACGGTTTGGACAGACGAAGACGACGTTCCAGTCAACGTCAGTCGTGAGCCGCCGCGCTTTGACTCCGAAATCGACATTACGCTCTCTCGCGCCGATTTATTATTAGTATTTGAAGAAAGTCACGGCACAAATTCCGCTTCCGGTTCAATTAGCCTGATGGCCGACGCCCTGGCCGCCATGGAAATCCCGGAGTTCAAACACGAGCACATCATTGGGTCGTTTTTGGCTTGTTTTAAGGCGAAGAAGTCGGAATGTTTGCCCCATGTGGTGAGCCTAGTAATGACGAAGAATAGGAAGCAGAGAATGGAACGACCGCAGATTAGGGGAGAGACGATGTGTGCGATTTGTAGGGAGGAATTTGAGAGCGGTACGAATGGGAATCGGCTTCTTCACTTGCCCTGCTCTCATATTTTTCATGTCAACTGCATTGAGAAGTGGCTCGAAACCTGTCCTAGTCATCGCTCGTGCCCCTTGTGCCGCTTCCCGCTGTGTCGTCGTTTTGATTATCAATTAGTTTTTATGTGATCAATTTTTATATTTTATCTTTGTATTTCTTTGAGTTTCATTACCTCTCCAAACAAACAAAAAAAAACTATTGTAAATGCAATTGTTGCTGCAAGTGTGGAATTATTTTTATGCAAGTACATTTTTTTCCTCCAATTCATAGGAGATTGGCATGAATTCAGATGGTGGATTGTTGGTGTGAATAATAATAATAATAATCGAATTTATAAGAAGAATAAGGGCGAATTTAGCATTGTTATGTTGTGAAAATAATCGATTTTAAATTCTATTTAGGGCTCGTTTGGGACTGATTCTCTAGGAAGTACTTCTGCTTATAAGAGCTTCTAACAAAAGCACTTCTATTATAAAAATCTTGAATTTTCATAACAAATTAAAGTACTTCGTGGAAAAGCACTTGAGAGTTCTTCCTGAAAAAGCACTTGAGAGTGCTTCCTGAAAAAGCACATGGCAGGTGCTTCTCTAGAAAGCGCTTCTAAAGTTTTCGGCCAAACGCTGTCAAAAATATTTTTAGTTATCAAAAGCGCTTTTGGCCATTCCAGAATCACTCCCAAACATGTCATTAGTTGTCTAAAGGAGATTTTGGACACAACACCGCGAACTTCGGAAATGAACTTTTTTCCTCTCATAGCATCACCGCGTGGCGCTTTCAGTTTTGCATTGGTGTCAGCCCGCCCTTTACCATAAGCAGCAGAGAAACGAGTCAAATTTCCAGCTGTCCCCTTCTTCTTTTTTCTTTTTTTTAACCCTTTTTTCATATTTTTATTGTATTTTCTGAAAATTACATTCTGGAAAGTTCATTGGCGGCTCCACCGTCCAACACTTTGCAGTGCAATTTGGTGAAAATTTCCTTCCTTTTTATTTATTATCATCTTTGTTTGTTTGTCTAATCGTAAAGCAGAATCTACACCGACCTTCTTTCTTTCTTCCATTATTAGTCGTCTGTCTCTTCACTCTCTGCCTCCTTGTTTTCATCTGCACGCCTTCTCTGTTCTGCTGTGACTTCTCCATCCTCATCGAGCCAAACTCCCAAGGTGATATGCTTCTTACCAAGAAACCATTTTTTTATTTTAATTCTCTTCAATTTCTTTGCTCCTTTTTTTTCCCTCTGTGTAAGTTCAAGTGATCATTTCTGTGTGCTCTGCATCCGATTTCCTGCTGTGTTTTAATATTTTTAGTCTTTGTGTTAATTAATCTATCCGAGTTCAATTTGAATTTCTGGTGTTTGATAAATTGGTTGAGTGATTGTTTCTGGCTGTTGATTTTGATCACTCAGTCACTGGTTGGGAGTGACCAACTTTGATGTAATTTCTGATTTTTGTCTGAGTGGTTTGATTGATTTGATCAGATGGGTTCTAAATTTCGATGGCATCAGCCCATCAGGGTATCATATCACAACCTCCAAGCATGATCATTGATCAAGTTTTGATTTTGTATAGTTAACAACGTTTTAGGACAATATGAAATTCAAAATCCCATTTCTCTTCTTATCAAGTTTTTTATTGTTGGCTGCATGTATCTCAGTTAAAAGCGGGATCTTTTATTTATGCGATCCTCATGGTTGGATTAAGTGCGTGCCTATAAATTATACCTCTCTTCATGAACAAAGATTAGCCATGCTGTTTCTGAACAAAAGTTGGCATGTGTGCTGGATGCAATCTTTGAAATTATGTGTATTTTCTTGGCCTGTTTTTGTTGCTGTCTAAGTCTTGCAGATTTCTTCAAGTTGTGAAATATTGCTATCTCCAAATGAATTCCTGTTTCAAGTATTATAATATGCTTGTTTATTATATTATTGTAGACACCCCAACATCCTAGACCAAAACAGAGTTATTATGATCTAACTATATGTATTATGAGGATAGAGGCGATTCGTGGTTGTTGAATTGAAGTATGCTTCTTAGGTTTCTAACAGATTTTTTTGCAGTGTTACCATAAAGAATGGCAGAGACCGATGACATTCAGCCTCTTGTCTGTGATAATGGAACTGGAATGGTTAAGGTAAGGCCATAGCTTCATTTGGTCTAGCAATGTAGGAAAATCCATCTTAGCATACAAAAACTCCCTTGGTATTTACCATTCCTTATGACCTCCTTGAACAGGCTGGATTTGCCGGAGATGATGCTCCAAGGGCTGTCTTCCCCAGTATTGTTGGTCGACCTAGACACACAGGTGTTATGGTGGGGATGGGACAGAAAGATGCCTATGTTGGAGATGAGGCCCAGTCCAAAAGAGGTATTCTCACACTAAAATACCCTATTGAACATGGGATTGTTAGCAACTGGGATGACATGGAAAAGATCTGGCATCATACTTTCTACAATGAGCTTCGTGTGGCTCCTGAAGAACATCCTGTGCTTCTTACTGAGGCACCCCTGAATCCTAAGGCAAACAGGGAAAAGATGACTCAGATCATGTTTGAGACCTTCAATGTCCCTGCTATGTATGTTGCCATTCAAGCAGTTCTCTCCCTCTATGCTAGTGGGCGTACTACAGGTTCGTACCAATTCAAAAAACTGGGAGTGATCTATCTATTTAAATTGTTATAATTCTGCCACCAAGTGCATACAAAGTAATAAATTTCGAAGAAAAGTTTTAATATTTTGAAAGTTCATTACCTTTTAATCAACGAAACATTTCCCAGGTATTGTGCTGGACTCTGGTGATGGAGTCAGTCACACAGTTCCCATCTACGAAGGTTATGCGCTTCCACATGCCATCCTCCGGCTTGACCTCGCTGGAAGAGATTTAACAGATGCCTTAATGAAGATCCTGACTGAGAGAGGGTACACTTTTACTACAACTGCTGAACGGGAAATTGTACGTGATATTAAGGAGAAACTTGCCTATGTGGCACTTGATTATGAACAGGAACTTGAAACTGCTAAAACCAGCTCATCAATTGAGAAGAGCTATGAACTACCTGATGGTCAGGTAATTACGATTGGAGCAGAGCGATTCCGTTGCCCCGAGGTCCTATTTCAACCATCATTTATTGGAATGGAGTCTCCTGGAATTCATGAGACCACCTACAACTCAATTATGAAGTGTGATGTTGACATCAGAAAGGACTTGTATGGTAACATAGTGCTGAGTGGAGGGTCCACCATGTTCCCAGGAATTGCTGATCGAATGAGCAAGGAGATCACAGCCCTTGCACCAAGCAGCGTGAAGATTAAGGTGGTAGCACCTCCAGAGAGAAAATACAGTGTCTGGATTGGAGGGTCTATATTAGCTTCACTGAGCACATTCCAGCAGGTATCGGTTACACTGCTTCTCCTATGACAGTAATTTATACTTGATTTTCCCTTCATTTCTATTGATCATAGAAGAAAGAAAAAAAAATGGTGATAGTGAATTCTTAATTTACTATGAAAAAGCTCATGAATTTATGCTTAGAAAGCTAGAAAAATATGTGAAATCTTTCTTCTTATTTTTCTCACAAATAAACTTCTAAAAGTTTAGTACTTTCGGATTGTTGTGAAACTTTTCCTCTTTTCTTGTTTTTTTTTTGGATTTTGATGCGTTGAAATGATTATCATGATGGGCAACTCTTCATTTTTTTTATTATCAATTCTTGTAGTATTTCTACTACGGCAGTATATGGTTCTATGATTATAATGCTGGTTATTGTTTTGCTTGAATGCAGATGTGGATATCTAAGCCAGAGTACGATGAATCAGGGCCATCCATCGTTCACAGAAAGTGCTTCTAGACATGTGATTGTACCGTCTCTTCCCCTTGGACTTTGTGGTTTTGGATTGTTTGTCAGATGTTTTAGTGGTGTGAGCTTGGTCTGTTTGTCATCTTGCTTCGGTTCTCTGTTTGTCGTGTCATATGTATACTTGATAGTAGCAACACTAGTTCTTGAATCAAATCAGTAATGTAGTTGTTCTGTACACATTGTTTATGTGGTTTTCTCGGTGGTTGAAATAAATAGAATATAATAGCGAGTAATGTTGTTGTTTTGGCTGCAGTAATTTATCAATATCGTATTTTTGGTTGGGAAATGAGTGAAATTGGCTGCATAAACTGCGTTTTGCCGTCTCCTAATATCTGCATAGTTTCGTCTCTCTTTCCAGCTGAATGTTATTCTTTCATATCTTAACTATGTATCGAGTCTTATCTTCAACCAACCGAAAAAAAGTATTACGACATAAGCACTGTGGGATGTTATGGTCAGTTGCGCAAAGCGACGTGCTTGACATGCTTCATGACTGACTGACCCAAGCAGCGTGCACGATTGATTCTAGCATTGCACTTTGGTTATGAAACTACGTTGCAAGTTCGCGGTGCGTTGGTACTTTTTGTAGAAAGAGACATTGGCTGGCAGTTCGAAACGGCTGCAAAGAGAAACGTTATCAATCCAACCCCATAAGTTATACAGGCACACACTGAACTTCCTATCTGTTTCTGTTTGCATGGATCAGCATTCAGCAGTTGGCCAGTAAGACAAGAGGCCAAATGCATGTTCAGTAAAAGTCGAATAAACCTGGACGGTTATTTTTACAGCTGCAGATAAGTAAAATGATCTACTTAATGTATATGCTGGTTTTTCGATCTAGCTAAAACGGTTTTGATAATTTTTGCTTAGTGATTAATTAGTACCAAATTAATTAAATTAAGCTATTATGGCACCAATTAAATAACTGAAAAAACTTCCAACTCGAATTCGAAATTACTAGTTACATACATGTTGTGTACGGTGGCTAGCTCTATGGACCGCTTTCCGGCGCGGGAATTTGCTGGGAACTATTTTCCGTGGTGGGTTGTGGTGGCGATGTAGGCGGCGACGGAGGAAGGCACGTGCGGCGGCACGTGGGACAAGAGGAGTGAGAAGACAGCCACTCCTGTATGCAGTGAGTATGGAAGCCATGTTTGCACCTCCCCAGCACTCTGATCCCTTCCCCTTCCACAAACTCCGACAAGCAAATGGCGCACTCCGCCTCCGCCCCCGCCAGCCTCGCCTTCATCTCCGCCGAGTAGAACAGCTCCGGCGCCCCCTCCAGGCACGAAACTCCCGCCACATTGCTCTTCTGCTGAGCTTGAACCAATTCTTGCTGGGTCTGCGGAAGATGACTGTTATCGTCGTTGTCTCGTGGGCTGTTGTTGTCGTCGCTCCCGCCGCCGCGGAGGAAGCAGCGGATGGCGGCGTTGAGGCCCAAAGCACAAATGAGGGCAGAGAGGAGGATGATTATGACCATGGCGGCGTTGGCCTCGAACTCTTTGGAGCCAGAGTAGGGCCACCAGCGGCAGGTGTGCGAAACGCATGTCGTTTGTCTGTTGGGGGGAGGGGAGGAGAGCGACGGAGAGAGGTGGACGAGGCCAAATTCAGCTTCTTGGGATGCCGCTGATAGCTCCAGTGATCTTCTTGGCGGTGGCGGGGGTCTCATTTATGTTTTGTTTTAATTTGCTCTGTTTTTCTGATGATCCGGCTCTCTTTTTGCAGAAAGGGGAAATGTTTTATATTAATTCTGGGGTATTTCTTTTTCTCTTTTATTTTTTTGGGTTCTTTGGCTTCTGATATGGGGTTGTTGGATGATGATGAAGAGAGAGAGAGAGAGAGAGAGAGAGTGATTGCGTGAGTGTTGAGATTAGGATGAATTATAGGTCTTAAGGCTGGAAGAAATGCATACGTGTAGTTGAGGTTTTACATTATTTTGCCTGGTGGCTTTTGAAACAAATTTGTCATTCACATGTGTGGGGCATACGATTCTCACTGTCTACCTTCTTCTGGGAGCTTCATCCGACTCCAAACTATTATAATTATACCTCACAAATGGTTAAGTAATAATAAAAATCCCAAATTTGAACTTGTTAAAACTACTTAATATCGCTTGCACTTGAAGTCATATGTTGGAGTCTCGTCTCTCTCAATATCTTTTGTATAAAAAGGTACTTAATTTCGCTTAATACATATGATTTATATATGTGATTGCGCGAATTTGGATTTCTTTTTGAAACCCAACAAGAATTATAAGAATTTTACTCGTTAAAAAAAAAGGGTGGAAAAAGTAAAATTCCAAACCATTATTAGGTTGACTATGAGTGTGGGTCTAGCATCTAGTACTTGATAGTTTTATCTTATCTTTGGTTGTTTGACATAGCATATGATATCTAGTTGCAAGAAGAATATAACACAACTTGAGCTAACAATATACTCGCGTTATGTAACACAAGTCTTTGATTTAATTACAATCTGCGACTAGGTTAAAGGGAAAGGAATGATTCTTTTTCCAAACACAAAGAATTAAGTCTCCTTAATTCCTAGACTTAATTTGGTTTAGGATCTGCTTTGTCACAGTGAAGTAAACAATTTATAAAGTTAAAAAAATTAAAAATTAAAAATTAAAAAAAAAAATTTTGAAAAAAGTCATGAACATGCAATCTCATAGAGACAGGAAGATTCATATCTATCCAAATGTACAGGGTTATAGGAGACATCCACAACCTAATCATTTTCTCAATTCCAAATTGCATTCTTTCTCATGATTGCAAAGAAATTATGACACATATCAAGATGCCAAATTAAATTTCATTTTTGACACGTATTTGAAACTTCTACTTCAAATGTATTTTAATTTACGTACGTACGTTACGGACTTTTACTTTTACTTTTATATTTTTTTTTTTTTTTTTTTTTTTTTTTTTTTAAAAAAGAGTTCTAATTTCAGATCTCTTCTTTTTCAAAGTAGATGGGATGGGAGTTATCGACACATGAATGAATATTTACATCGATTTCCACCATCAAGCAGCTTCATGTATATATTCTGAACTCCTTTTTCCTTCTTATTTAACACATTAATTTGGGTTAGTTTTTGTCTAAAATGATGATTCGATCTAAGTCGATCTAAGTCGACAAGGTTCCTCTCAATGGAACTAGCCGGCCTTTATCCACTGGAAACAACGAAGGAAAAGAGAGGAATAAAATAAGAAGAACAATGATTGTATGGTAAAGTGGAGCCGCTGGGTTTAGCGGATATATATAATTATATGAAGAAAGATCTGCAATTGGCTTTTCTGTAGCCCAAGTTAACAAAAATCTCTGTGCTTCTGCTTCTGCTGCAATGTGCAGTCGACCCCCGACCCCATATGGCTTTTTTTTCAAGGTAAAAACGTGAAAGTAAAAAAGCATTGAATTATGTGGATAAGCTGATAAGGGCAGGGAAGCTTTTTCTACAACTGAAACAAAGATTGTTTGCTTTTGGTATTATTTGGGGAGAGAAAACAGAGGTTGGGTCTATTCTTTCTATTATATAATTTAGAGAGAGAGAGAGAGAGAGAGAGAGAGAGAATTTGACACTTCTGAAACCCCATCCCATCCTTGTTTCCTTGATTGATTGCCAGATACTTAGAGCAAATAAAAAAGATTACACGCCTAATAAAGAAACTACTTACTATATTCCTTTCGAACTTTATAAAGAAAACTTACTAGTTAACCAAACATGGGGAAGTATCACCAAATATACTCTTAGTTTCATTCTTAGACATTATAAGACCATCTCCAACCCAATGGGTGAAAACTCAAATTTTGAGTTTTGAGTCCAAAATTCATCTCCAACCCATGTATTTTCAGGGGTGGAAATTTGAGATGGGTGGAATTTTGGGTGGAATTCCAGTCTGGGTTTTGCCTGGACTGGAAATTTTTTGTGGACCCCAACTCATGCTGCACAGCCCATATGAAGAGGAAAAATGGAGTGGGCCCTGCGCGGAAGAAAGTTGCAGCTCTCCCTTTGCTTTTGCATGACAAGTGGCAGCTCACCATTTGTAGTTATTGTTTCTTTCATTTTTCTTATTTATTAAACTTGCAACTTAAAGTTGCTCTGTTTGGAGTAAAAAAAAAATTTATGTTTTGAATTTTGGATTTTTTTAGGTTAAAATGTTTAGAAAATTAAATCACGAATGTTGAAATAAAAATAATATCAAGAAAAATTAATGGCAAAAAAAAATTGAAGGCTAACTATTTTTAAACAATTTAGATAAAGTAGTAGACTCAAATTATGAGTCTACAAGGTTGGAGGAAAAAACAATTTGAGTCATAAAAATACATGAATAGTTGTATTTTAAAGGGTGAAAATTTGAGTTTAGCCTCAACATGGTTGGAGATGGTCTAACATCGTTTGGTGGTTTGGCATGGATGGATGGACTATTTCAATTAAATTTGACTAATGTCTTGATCTTTGTTTGATAAACTTACCAAATTAAACAATAATCCAACATATTAAGCCTTACAATACAAGTATCGTCTAGAGAGTTGTGATTTATACATACAAGCCTCATTTATAGAATTACAACTTATAAGAGCTGGCTTAAACTCAATTCTAATCATGTTCTGATCAAGCCGCCAAACAAAGCCTAGATGACTAATATCCGTCAGCAGTAGAAAATTCAAGATTACTTTTTAAATTATGGAAAATTTGATTTTTTAAATCTCAAAAATTGAAGATAGGGCCACAATAGTCAATGAAAATGGGTCTGGTATGGGGTTTAGAAGGACGGTTGCATGGTTAGTCGGTTTACACAAGTGGAAAAAAAATAATAATAAAACAAGAAATCACACCACCAGTTAAGCCAAGCTAGCCATTTTGGAAATGAGTCAAAACTGAGGTTGCCAGCATCGCAGGGCAACTCAAAAACAGCAATTAATATAGTAGGGATTTGGGACACATGTCCATGGCCCCCTAAAATCAATGCGTTTGGTTGAGGCCGCTTTCAGCTTCAGCTCAGCCCACTTTCTGTGCAGACCTACCAACCTCTGCCTGCCGTATCGTTCATTTTGCTTATTTATTATTAATTTTTTTTAAACGTGTTTTGTGTGTCCCCACTTCTGCTTGGTGGAATTTGGCGTTTGGACTAAGATGAAAATAGTGCTCATAATTATGATGGGAAACGGAAGGGGCTCAGAATACAAATCGCCCATGCAAATGGCGGATGCATACAGTAACAGTGCCGTGGCGACCAAGATATTCAGGTGGTAACGATCGAGGAAAGTGATGGGTTAAGTAAATATGTTGCAATCGCTCGGAGAAGGTTAAAAGACGGTTAAAGTTATGGGCCTTGAGATGAGAGGCACCAAACTGCTAGCATCAACAATGTATGGTGGGTCGAATGAAAAACACTTTCCTTCTTATATTGTGACGTGTGATTCCACCATGCTAGTTTGATGAGTGCAATGTAAACATCCGTGCATGAATCGGGCTTATTGGGTTGCAATGAAAGTGAGATGGTTAGTTTTGTTCGTACTTATAAGGAGCCAAATAGTGTTCTAGTTCACGACTTGTGTTAGTTTTGCGAGTATAATGCGGACATCTAAGCCTCATACCACCCGCTTGAGTTGAAATGAAAGTTAGACAATTAGTTTTGTTCGTGTTTGTAAGAAGACAAGAAGTGTTCGTACATGCGGTGGCACAATAGTGGAAAAGTGGCCGAACTCTCCTCTTACCCCCAAAGTACACTGAATTCGATTCATATAAAAGACAATCTTAAAGCAACTCAATATAATACTCCCCTTCCTAACGAATGAAAAAACAAAAACAAAAAAGCCAAGCAGTGATCCAGGCAAATGACATGTTTGTTTTTCGAGTGCAATGCGGACATCTAAGCCCTAGCCGGCCCTCCCTGGTAAATTGAGACAGTTTCTTCGAAGTTTTCGGCTAATATATTTCAGTCCATGATGAAAATGTCCCAAATGGAAATGGACCTATGATTCAATAGTTGGGCCCAATAGGCCGTGTTTCACTGGTTCAAGCAAATCCGAAGCAGTTTGGACAGCGTATGCTGCAACAAGTAAAATTGGTAGGAGTTGGAGGGACTGAGAGAAGCCGAGCTGTGAAATGGCGGTAGCATCTTCCTCCTCCTCGTCATTGTCATCGCCGGTACGGTGGTGGAGGACAGCGTTTCTGACCGTGAGAGACGAAACCCTAACAACTCCTCTGCGCACCCCAATCCCCGAACTCCTCCACCATTTCATCTTCTCCCATTCTCACACTCTCCTCTCCGCCGCTCCCTCCCTCCCTCCCCAGGAAGTTACCTCCGATTTGCTGTTCGTCATGGAACTCATCACCACAAGGCCTCACGGCATTGAAGACATGACCGCTACCTTCACTCACACAACTCACTTGGTATGAACAGCAGAGAGTTTGGCTTTTTGCTTCTTTGCTTATTCGTTTTCGTTGTATATTGAGAATTCTTGTCGTTTGATTCAGATCCATGACATCTCCCATCGTCTTCCTCTTGAGATCAATTCAGCTTCGTGGACTCTCATCCTCGACGCTTTTAACAAAATGCTTCGAGTTTTCGTCAGCTCTTCGACATTCACCCCCGTTATGGAAGCTCTACAGACCCTAAGGTAAGCTTCTATGGTTTTCATTTCGATTCTGAGCAAATGTGCATT